AAAAATAGTAATTTTCCATCACAACAAAATATAAAATATATTAATCAGAGAAATTCTTGTAAAATTCTTGCAGTACCATATCCCACCATATTACATAATTTTCAAGGTAAAGTCTAAGAAAAAATGCTTTCAGTATATTTGATTATCTGAAAATATAAAAAATTAAGACTATTAAAAATGGAAAAAAGAGTCGTTAATACGGTATATAAATTGATGAAACGAAGAGAGAGAAAGCGACGTACCATCAACCTCGAGCATTTTACAAATACGCGCGCGAGATAAAGTCAATATCTCTCCCGAGCGATCGTGATCGATGCATATATTCGCCAAGGCCGAGAGAAGTTTCGCCTTTTTTCCCATTCTTGTTTGTCGATCGGCCGCGTAGAGCGTTTCGCAATGGGAACCCATCGTTAGCCGCTCGCCGTTGAAGGAAAGTGACAGTGATATCTGGACTCTCGATGTGGCCAGGCACGTCGTTGCTGGAAAGGGTGGGTAGTCGGGCGTTACCCTGTGCGGTAGAAAATCTCCCGGTGTTCGGTTTCATATGCATATATACAGGGGCGCGATATGTTTCGCCTTCGTATTTCGACGAACGAATAATCGCCTCTTGCCCCTTTAACCAACAATTCGAATTTACTCAGCATTATTGATACGCGGGGAGAATTTTCTCTTTCAATTTATTCGGAAAATTATTTCTGTTAATCGGAGGGTAATATATGATATTGCGAGAATTTTATAAGAATTTCTCTGATTAATATTTCCCACAATAAAGAATAATAATGTACATGGTAAAATTAATCCAACATATCTTATATGTTATTGTGGTAGATATTAATTATCATGATTTTCAGGGTAAATTCTGAGAGAAAATTCTCTCTGTGTACAATTTATCAAACTATCAAGAACGAATGTTGAGAATGATAAAAAAAACATTTTCGAAACTTGAAAATAAATTTAAATTTTTTATTTGAATACGATCACTTGAATCGAGGTAACTAAAATTTCGACTCTTAAGAGATCAAAATTGATGGGATGATATATATAAAAAAAAAAAAACTGCGCGATACCTCCACATAGATCACAATAGTTGTAACCCTTTAAGACCGACGTTGTTTTGATAATCGAGATATAATTTGACCTCGCATTGATCACAAGCTTGCGTGTCGATAATCGCGATTAAGTTCACCTGCTCGGCCTCGTCCCTCAAATTGAATGATTGGAAGAAACACACAACACACCCAGATTTATTTGTGTGCGAGGAATAAGAATATATATGCGTTCGGTCCATTCGTCAAGCTCGAGAGAGATAACGACGGGCATTTCGGCGCTCGTGAAAATGGTTCGACCTGTGTACGCGATCGCATCATCGGTTATAGCTTCTCCATGTCGATAATCGCGGAAAGTTCATCTCCGGATTGTATATCACCGGGTTGAATGAGTGAACGAGAAACAACGGGACGCGACGTGAAAGGTGGAAGAAACAACAACACACCCAGATTTATTTTTTCGTGTGCGAGGAATAAGAATATATATGCGTTCGGTCCATTCGTCAAGCTCGAGAGAGATAACGACGGGCATTTCGGCGCTCGTGAAAATGGTTCGAGGGTACAATAACCCGGGTGTGTACGCGACACCCAGGACGATCTGGCATCGAACATCGTCCCCTTCCTCTTCTCATTCTCCCCTGCATCATCGGTTATATCTGAACGAAGCGCATTCTCCATACATCTTCGTCGATGACGTTAGAGACGAACGGATAGCTCACAAAGTGAGCGTCTCCTTTCGTTTAGTTATGTTCTTGAGATTGTATATTGCCAGCTTCATTTTTTTTTCTTTACATGTATAAAATATAAAGCTAAGAGAATGACACTCTCAAATTTATATATCCGTTGCATATTGACATTTTTATTTTTCTATTCTTTAATTTAATTTTTAAATATTTTTATATGTTCAGTTAGTAAAATAATAATTTAATTAAAAGATTTAGGCAAGTTGACAAATTCTTGTTTTCAGTGTATGAAACAGCTACTTGAAATAAAGGACTGTCCTTTAGAATAAAGGTCTTCGTATTTATAATTAAGTCTGTAGTGAAAACGCTCGACATTATTCAGACACGTTACTGGGAGTCCGTGTGGTCTAAATCTTCTGGGTCGGCATTTTCTTATCGGTCCCTTTCTACGACGATCGCGTTATCACGAGGTTTCCGTCAATGCCAGGCCGCGAGGTCGCGCAGACTTGAAGAGAAGGTACATATAATATACACAGTTGAAAAATGTGTGTTAAATTTAACATATATCACATGTCTCAAACAGGCTATAGAAATTTTTGTGTTAATTTAAAAAAATATGAATATGTCAGGTATGAAACGGAGACACAATAAATACTGTGTTAATATTTTAACACAAAATAAATCCAAAACTTCAAGTAATTTAAAATAAATTTTGTGTAAAATTAACACAATTTTAATGTAAAAATTAACGAAAAATATGTTGATTTTAGACTTTGTCATCCCTACTTATAAAATAAAAAATCAACATTTTTTCTATAAATTTTAACAGATGAATCTTGTTACTAATAAAACAGAACATATTTATTGTGTAAAATTAAAAATAGATGCACATTGTGTGTGTTATTTTTACATTTTTTTCAGTAGTTTTAAGAATTTAACATTTTTAATTTAAATTCAATTAACACAACAGCAATGTGTTAAATATTTAACACAAAAATTTTAACGGAAGCCGTTTTTAACAAGAAAACATCAATTTTCCTACTGTGTATATATAAACATATACATACCTATATCTATCACAGTGTTTTTTGTGCGTGCGCGTAAACACGCATCGACTCATCGATGCATGTGCTATATTGCAACGTAATTGCATACATATGCGAGATATCGGCGCGATAGCTCTCAGAAGGCGTATCGCGCCTTATCATCGTAATCGCGCCTTATCATCGTAATCGCGCACGGTGAAGAACGCTGGTGAGTTGGGGAGATAGAAAGACAGCAAACTCCGGAGCGAGTCGGATGACTCGAGTAAATTACTCGAACGATTAACGTGTGACGTGGCCGATAGCGAGATATTTTTAGTTTTTATCAAATGCGTAATTCCCCTTCTGTTTAAGATTAAAAAATACCTCGAAATACAAACGAAGAAAAGAAAGAAGTCAAGAATTTTAGTGTAATAAAAATTAATAGGCTATATTTTTATGGTTTTCGCCTGTTTGCGTGTTTGCATTTAAATCAGATGGTACAAATTTTATTTTTATTATTCGTTCATATATAATTATCTTCCTTTTGAGTTTGTGTGTTAAAATTAAATAATAATTGCATAACATCAAATATATATTAAACAGGATTCTATTTTAAATCGCCACGCACGTGGTATATAAAAGATAATAGGGGAAAAATATGAAAAAAATAATATGAAAAAATAAAAAGCTCAAATCAATTTACGTAACTGTCGCTCTGCATTCTTTTTGTTTCGCGTTGGCGGTATAATTGTTCCTATTTTGCTATCTCTCCAAAATAACAGGGCATCGCTTGCGCCTCACGTTTCCGCTCATTGAGCCTCTCCAAAGCGACTTTTTATCGCGCGCGTTTATACGCACGCGTGTGTTTATTTCGGTCGATTTCCGCTCTTGGTAGCGATTGCATCAGCAACCTCGCGATAATACGTGCGTGCGAATCAGGTCGCGATGCACTTCGATTGCCAGAAATGCAGTGTGAAGTCCAGAAAAAGTTTCTCTTTCTTTTTTTCTCCCTCGTTCCATTTCGGGGAAATCGATTTTAATCAAACGGGAAAACAGCAGCGATAGAGTTTTCGCAAGCGCAACAAACTATATAATGGATGCATTTTTTTTGTTATCGGTTTTATCTCTGAAAATTCCGAATTCCAAATATCGCGGGGGAAAAAAAATACAACTTGTATATTCGACGCGTCATTTATTTAGAGATGAAAGGGCTAAAGAAAGTCGATATGTACCGATATATAGACCGGGATGTTTATGTCGGAGCGAGGCGACCCAATTCTGTCGACTGTTGCATACAAGTATTTTTCATCGATTTTGCCTTGGAATACCTTCTCTTGGCCGCGGTTCGCGGTTCGCTTTCTTCTCTTTCTTCGCGCTGCCTCTTTGAAGAATCAAACTCTCCACTCTCATTTAACACGCTCGTACAATTTCCACTTCCGGAAGACCCCTCGAATTTTATACGAATATTAAACACGAGTCTTGAGTCTCTCGAAAGCGATCAAACGAGAGCAGATGCAGCGAGAAAGAAACTCTTTTCGTCGGAGGATCATCAACGATTTTACGAGCAGATCGTTAGGTTTCGCGTATCAAATAATTTTTCGCAGAAATTTGTCTCGATTCTCTTCTATAGGCATCTTTAAAAAATCATTAGCATAAAAGCAAAGTAATTATAGATAGTAAATCTACCGTACACATTTTTATCAATAACTATATAGATATTTGTATACCTTATGTTTGTCGAAGAGAAAAGTGACTGCTGTTAACGATTCTCTCAATAAAGTATATTAATTTCTAATATATTTGACATTTAATTTTTCCTTTTCCATATATTTTTTTAAATATACTATCGCATGCAATATTTGATGGTGCTTTTATTTCCGTCGAAGATGATGATATATATATATATATATACAACACACATAGCACATAAAAATACTCAAGTATAATTGAAGCAATAAGCGATAAAAATTTATAAATAAAATATGAATACATATATTTTTATATCCCTCTTATAATTAAAATTTCTTTATAACTGTGTTTACGTAAAACAATTTTAAAATAATATTACCTGAAAATGACCTAGATGAATCGCCATATAATTTTAATTTTTTATCTAGATATATTTAAAACAAAATCTTACCTAAGATGACTTTACATATTTTTATCCCCTATCTTTATCTAGCTAATTTAAAAATGATCTAAGCACAACACCGATGATAACCGTCCCGTGGATATTTCTGTTTCAGGCAGCTGCGCGAAGGAACGCTCGCGGAAAATGGCCTACAGAACGACAGTCGGCTCACGTTGCTGCCGAGCGTGGAAACCGGACTGTTGGTAAGTTGAACTCTGCTGTTCCGTATTCTCTTGCACGTGGATAATAATTAAGTGAACCCACTGGCGCCGTAATAATGAGCAGGTATATCGGGGCAGGTTTTATCTGCGCATATCGCATCATCAAAGAGAGAGAGAGAGAAATCAACGAAAGGCCCTGTAAGGTCTCGATCTCTTCCTCTTCTGTCAAGTTTTATGAAACTGCATTATTACTGAAAAAATAAGAAAATTTATTCAATATAGAAAATACATTTTATTTTGCATTTCGAATTATATGGCACATATAATTATTAATAATTGAAATAATAATTCCAATTGGAATAGACATTTTATTTTTAATTATTCGAGATGATTAGATGATTCTCTGTCGGATGCTTCTAACTGGGATTTTTTTTCTGTCGCATCCGCGATCACAACCTGGATTCTCACACCATCCTGGAACCGTTCCTCGGCGACTCCGGTGACTCGGAAAACTTGTAAGAGAAAGAACGTACACGAAGAAGGTGCGCGATCCACCGCGGACACAAACGCCGTTAACTTCGGCGTTCGCGTATCGTCGGGTCACTTGGTTTCTCGGTCACGCCATATCGTCCCCGACACCTTTATCCTTTGATTCGCGGATCCGTTGCGATTTTAAGCTCCTCTCTTCTTGGTCCTTTGCGCATTTTAAGATGAATCTATATTCCAAAAAAATAAGATAATCGCAGACTTGCGAAACGTGTTAAACATGTTTTAGAAGCTTATTATTCGAAAAAAAATAATTGTCATTTTTGAAATATCTTCATTCTCTCTTCTTTTCAATTCTTATTTCGTCAAAAATCATTTTATGAAATTTTTAGCCAATTACGAATGTTTTGAAGATTAGAAATTTTTGATATAGTTGCATGATTAAATTGAAATATCGATGTAATAAATATTCTTGTAGTTCGGGAAAATTTATGCGACACAAATTTCAACTTTATAAAAGCCGCTTGTGACATACACACAACATCTGGTCGCGCAACGATCTGTTACAGAAATCGGAACGCATAAACATATGACGCCCAGGCGACCATATGACTTTAGGCGATGTAACGTTTCGTAAAGTCTGGTCGAAGTAACGTAACGTAACGTAACGTAATCCTAACCCGACCCTAATCGGCCGCAATGTACAGGTGTTGTTCCGCACGCGGAACACCAGCCTTGAGGAAACAAGTTGTATAGTAACGTTACGGAAACGACTCTCCTCCCTCCTCGTTGTGCATTTCCGTTTAAGAATTACACGACTGCGAAGGATGTATCGTAAAACGAGAGAAAACAGATAGTCTAGGTAGTAAATTTCACGCATACGGAAATGCTCCAAGATGCTTTCCGCGTACACGGAGAGAATTTTACGCGTATTATACATATGTTGGGAGAATAACTTGTGTGCTCGCGTGCGTTTTTTTTTTTTTATAATTATACAATTTTTTAATAACCATTTCGAGTAACTTCAAATCAAGTCCAATCATGATTAAATTGACATTTTAAAAAATATGGTAATGAAGAGTATAGATAAGATAGATACAAGAAGAAAGATAAACAGCTGGAGGAACAGAATTTGTGTGAACAGGAGAGACAGAATTTGTACGAAAGCAACCTATTTTTAAGAATTATTTTTTTAAGAAACTTATTTAAGAAATCAAGTTTCAACATAGTCAAATCTCTTAGAATTTACCCTGAAAATTATGGTAATTGTGGGACAATTTGGTATTGGAAGAATTTTATAAGAATTTCTCTGATTAATATTTACCACAATAACAAATATTAATATTCTATCACAATAAAATATAAAATATATTAATCAGAGAAATTCTTTATAAAATCCTTGCAATACCAAATTGTCCCACAATTACCACGCTTTTCAGGGTAAATTCTAAGAGAAAATTCTCTCGGTGCACAAACCTGAAGACAAGGAAAATGCGTACAGCGCATTGATCTCTCTTCAAGGCATATTTGAATAATCATTACACGATGAGGCGATCAGAGTAGAGGAAGAAGTATCGAAAATAAAGTGAAATAAATAATCCGGGAGAGTTTCCAGGAGATGATGACGCGTCAGTTTCTAGGATATCTCGCGATGTTTTCCGCGGCGCAGCTCGCCGTCGTCCGTGAATGAACTCCCGGTTTCGGAGCGTCGCGTCGGAAGGGTTAAAGGGGTCGAAGGCATTACGAGGGAGGGACACAACCCGGGGTCTTTCTCCCTTTCCCCCGAGGTCTGGAAATTGACTCTGGGCTCCAGCCGCTAGCAACAGCGCGCGCGCGCGCGGTCCTTATCGCGACCGAGACTTGTTCGCATGGCTGTCAAGGGGGACTGGCCCTCTCGCTCGGCTCTCTCGGTCACCCGCAGTCAATTTTAAAGGCTTGTCCTGGCTATGTACGTGTATGTGTACGATCGAGCCGAGGGCGCGCCTGTGTGTGTTCTTATGCGCGCGTCTCCCTCTCTCTCTCTTTCTCTTGCACGCCTTTTGCCTCCCTCTTTGCATCTCCAGTGATCGGTACACGGTATATAGGGTGTCGTGGAAAAACAGATCCGTTTTGTCATTACTTTTGAATGATTTTTTCCTGTACAATGATATATATTGATATTGATTGCGAGACGGAGAGTCTGCGTTGAAAAACCATGTGATTCGATACTTATTTCTATAATACGTGAAACATTTTTATATGAAACAATTTAAATGTTGCCTTTTTTTTACAAAAATTGAAATATTGGTTTGACATTTTAAGAGAGAAATTGAGTTTGACATTTCATATTGTAAACATATGGAATGCATTTTACGTAATTGATCGGGCGGTTTAGATCAAAATTGCATTAATAAAATTGTCATAACAATTTGGTAATTTTTCGTAAGCGTTTTAGAATTCGCAGCTACTGTGCAATGCCTTTTCGGTCAGATTATTCGAGACACCCTATGAATATCCTCGCTCGTGGGTGGTTTTACGGGTGGCAAACGAAGGGAAGGGACGCCTCTATGGACCTCTACGGATTCACGCAGCCGGATTCGGCTGCGAGTTCCTCGCGATCGAAGAGCAACGTTTCGCACAGCGCGCTTTCATCCTTTTTTCCCTCATCCGCTCGCTCGAGAGAGAGGGAACAACTCGGCGGTTGTTCGGCTTTTCGGACTTTGTTCGGCTCGCGAAATTACTCGTGAAATCATTAGACGTTGGCGAAATGGCAGAATCCATCTTCGACGCGGAGCCAGATTAATTTCGACTGTGGCTTCCCTATATATAAGCTTCAGTCAGTCTCATTTGACGATATTTGTATGCGTGATACATGCGCGCGTTATCATCCAGCTGTTTATCAAATTGCCAATTTGATTTAATCTTGCGATTATTGCTATATTGTCCACTACAGAGACAATTTTCTCTTAGAATTTACCTGGAAAATCATGGTAATTGTGGAATAATATTGGAAGAATTTTATAAGACTTATTCTCTGATTAATATTTACCACAATAAAAATATTAATTAATATCTAGCATAATAAGATATAAAATATATTCGATTAATTTTACTATGTACATATTATTATTTTTTATTATGATAAATATTAATTAGAGAAATTTTTCCAATACCATATTGTCTCACAATTACTATGATTTTCGGAGTAAATTCTAAGGGAAAATTCTCTCCGTGTATTATTCTAAGTAAAAGTTCAAAACCCGGACTCGTGCGATTAAAAGAGGTGTAATTTTTCACATCTTTATCATGCACGAGTTGCTACACACGGTAATTTTAAACGTACTCTATATTTGTTATATTATTATTATTATTATTATTATTATATACACGTGCAAGCGCGCTATATATCCTTGACATTTTAATACTCTTCTATATGAGTAAATAATTATGACAGTGGTTATAAAAAGCCGCGAAAGTCATACATTTAAACGTTATTTTATTTCGCAGAATACTTTGAGCGCTTAAATACAAATTCATCAATTGTTAATGGACATTAGTCAAATGTATATTTGAATGTATATATATATATATATATATATATATAAAGTAGGTTTGATATATATTGATAGGTATATTTTCCAAGATAAGATAAAGAAAAATGAAATCTTTCTCACGGATCTTATCTGACAATTGAAAATTATGTGTTAAATTTAACAGATATCACATGTCTCAAATCCACAGAAATTTTTGTGTTAATTTAACATAATATAGATATATGTTAAATGACGACATAAATACTGTGTTAATATTTTAACAAAAATAAATGCAAAACTTCAAATAATTAAAAATCAATTTTGTGTAAAATTAACACAGTTTTAATGTAAAAATATGTTAAGTTTAGATTTTATCATCTTTACTTACATATATTATAAAATAAAAAAATCAACATTTTTTCTGTAAATTTTAACTTAGATAAATCTTGTTGCTAATAACAGAATATATTTCTTGTGTAAAATTGAAAATAGGTGCACATTGTGTCATTTTCACATCTTTTTTCAGTTGTTTTAAAATGTAACATTTATGTTCAATTAACACGACAGCAATATATCTTAAATGAACACATGAATGTGTTAAATATTTAACACAAAAATTTTAACGAGGACCGCTTTTAACAAAAAAAAAACACAAATTTTTCATTTTACAGTATATCTATATATGCATATATATTTATTATTCGATATCTTTTGACGTTTGATATATGACGTTAAAAGACATTTAAAGACGATAGTCTTGCCTGGAAGAGGAACGTTATCGTTTTATTATCTAGAAACTGATAAACATCGTTGTGTTATCATATTGAATATGTGAAGTTTTTCGATCGACTACTTTATCCATAGTATCTAGATTTCCGGCGTTTTGATTCAATTGAAGACCGGCAATCGAGATTATCGCGTTAAGGCATGTACGATACACACACCCACTTTACGGTAAATTGATTTCGCGGTCGAAGATGACGATGGCAAGCCAATCGGTGTGTTGGCTATTTCCGTCGGAAATGCGTTTGGTCATTGGTCATTATTTCACCGTAGGACAGGAGAATTCGACGGATTATCATTGCATTTATTCTCTCGAGTCGAGCGCGCTTAAATAATCGATCAGAATTTCCTCTCATTTCTGGAATTTCAAGCGAGGCGGTAAATGAATTAAAAGAGACTCGCGGACAGGCGGGAGATTGAATTGAATAATTTTCACCTGAAAAGGGGCAAATAATGACATTATTTTCGGGGAAAAAAGAATTGTGCAGAGTGCTCGATATATTATATGTATAAAATTGTTGTTTCGCTTTAACACTCTTTATATGGTGCGATTAAAGAAAGAAACCTCAAACACGGGAGAAAATTCGATAAATAAATGATATTCGAATATCGAGTATACGAGAAAATACGTCGAGATTCTACTTTTGTATCTTTATGTTATACTTTTTATATCGATTTCTATTCCTCGTTCTTTTATTTATAACAGTTTAATTCCGATAACGAAAAGTCAACAAGTTCATCGTCAATTACGCGATCAACCGCGTCAGCGTTCAATCTATTTGACCCGCGTGTATCGCTTTTATTATCGCTTTCACTCATTTATAGTAGTTAATAGTATCAACTTTCGAGGAGTTCTCAACAAACGAAATATATCCTATATATAAGAATAGAAATTTCCTCCAGTACAATCGAGGAAGTTGAATAATAACAATGATGTAACACACTTTTTGCGGCTATTCGGAGAAATTGTCAATATCTATGATATACAAATTGAAAAGAGATTTCAATTTTTCATTTTTTTTCCTCGCACAGTTAAAACATTTCTGTTTTTAACAGATATCACAAACGGTCCACAGAAATTTTTGTGTTAATTTAATTGTTTTAATGTAAAAATTAACTGAAAATATATAGAATAAAAAATCAACATTTTTTTCTGTAAATTTTAACGGATAAACCTTGTCACTCTGTAATAAAACAGAACATATTCATTAACAATAGATACACATTGTGTTTTTACATCTTTTTCAGTTGTTTCAACAGTAATCCTTTCCTTAAAATATATTAAATATCATATGAATGTGTTAAATATTTAACACAAAAGTTTTAACGTGGACCCTTTTTAACGAGAAAACACAAATTTTCCTACTGTGTGTGTGCAAGAATCTTGAAGAACGAAAGTTACAAAGACGTCTCGCAATTCTTACGCGATTCTGTCGCGATTCATCCGATCGATCGTTGCTCGTCGAGGAAGTTGGGTACCAGGGAGTGTGAACCCGATTGGTTAATCGTTTTGCAAGAGCGTTTCACCGACGAGATCGAGTTTGTTGACTCGCTGCTCTGTTCTCGCGAACGTACAAAAGAGCTCCGGATTTCGCGAGAACGAAGGAATCTCGATTTAAAGTCCAATATTTATACAAGTATTTTTATACATAAATATGTATATATATAATGCCGAAGAGATTTAAAAAGATCGGAATAAAGATAGCGGTCGATTAACTTGTCCATCTTCCAGCGAAGTTATTTCTTTCTTAATCTGCTATTTATTTAAATAAGAAACTTTTTTATCGAGAAAGTTCGCGATTATTTATACATTCTTATTAATATTTAATTAAATATTTAAAAATTGATTAAAATTTTTGTTATCGAGAGACGAAGTAATGTTCTAGGGAAAAATATTAAAATGACATGCCTTTCTCTGCGCGTATCGATCTTTGAGGAAAATAGAATTTAAGAGATGCAAAAGAGAAAGGAATCGATACAGTTGTGGAAGAGAAGTATTTCAACGACGTGTCGATTCGCGCGAAACTACTGCTTCACACAGTAGAAAAATTTGTTTTCTTGTTAAAAACGGTCCTCGTTAAAACGTTTGTGTTAATTTAACATATATTGCTGTTGTGTTAATTGAACTTAAATGTTAAATTATTAAAACAACTGAAAGAAAGATTAAAAATAACACAATGTGCATCTACTTTTAATTTTACACAATAAATATGTTCTCTTTTATTAGTGACAAGATTTATCTGTTAAAATTGGTTAAAATCTGTTAAAACGTTGATTTTTTATTTTATAAGTGAGGATGATAAAATCTAAAATCAACATATTTTTAGTTAATTTTTACATTAAAACTATATGTTAATTTTACACAAAATTTATTTTAAATTACTTGAAGGTTTGCATTTATTTTCATTATTATTATTCATTTAACATATCCGTATTATTTTTGTGTCAAATTAACAGAAAAATTTCTGTGGATCGTTTGGGACATGTGATATCTGTTTTTAACAAAAATTTTTCAACTGTGATCGTAACTGCGAAAGTAAACGCGCGTTATCATTCCCGTTCTCTTTTGCGACCCGATTAACACACGAGTATATCTTATCCCTTAGCAAGGTTTAATTTTAATGCGACACGTGCGACGAGCGCATCTCGGTTCGATAATGGAGAAACACTGCAGGTTTTATCGATATCGATTGCTTTCTTATATTTATAACGTGTCGGCGATGAATAATTCTGATTAATTAATAATTTATCGTCCTCGCGATTATATGTGTAAAATTTTAGAATTTTGTGATCTCCTTCCGCGTGTCATTATCTATCAACGATGACGACGACGACCTATGAATATTAAATATATGGTATACGGAAAGTAAACTTTGGTTGATAGTAGTGCATTTCTCTCTCTCTTTTCTCTTTCTCTCTTTTTCGAGATAGTCAGTTTCGCTGCGCGAAAATGATAATTTATATTTGTTTATAGATATACTCGAACGCAGGATATACTTGATCGCTCTCTTAAAACTGCATATTACGAAGAACGTGATATGCAGGCACGCGTGAAGGTCACATTCTTGCATGTAATATTTTTACATATTGTTTTTCTGCGTATTGAGTCTACATATGATTAGTTGCATATTAGGAAAGACAGTTATTCCTACCAAAGTTCTTAATTTTTATCGTGATAATTGTTTAAAAAAAATTCAACGATAATGCCTTTTTTTAATTTCATCTTAGAATTTTATCTTCAGGCGATTGGCTTGACATTATAAATAGTTGGAAAATTGATTAAGAAATATATGTGCATTTGTATAATTATAGAATTTTTGGAGAATTATAAGTGATATATAATGATTATGCGCAAATAGATAGCAAGTTGTTATGTCTCATTTAATTTCTAGTTAAATCGAACTTTAACGTACAAAATTAAGAAGATAGAAAGATATGGTCTTTAAGATTTACGTTGCAAAATTGACTTTATATAATGATTTAAAAATAAAATAATTTTTTTTGATAGATAGTGCTTTATATAGCATTTTATTTTATCGAATTATTTTTTTCCGAAGCTGCGAATTCTGCACGAAAAGAATTTTCTTTTAGAATTTACCCTGAAAATCATGGTAATCGTAGAACAATACGGAAGAATTTTATAAGAGTTTCTCTGATTAATATTTACTACAATAAAAATATTAATGTACATAGTAAATTTTACTATGAACACTGAAGAAAAATTTATGGAATTCGAATAAATATTATTTATTTCAATATTGCCTAATAAATTATTTATTTGAAACTAATAATAATATTGATTTGATGCGAGAAATATTTATTTGACATAAGAAAATCCTTTTCAAAGCAGATAAATATTTGTTCAAATAAATGCTTTATTAGGCAGTATTGAAAGAAATATTTATTAATAATTTAATAATTTTTTTAGTGTATGTACATAAAATTAATCGAACATGTTTTATATATCTTATTGTAGTAGATTATTAATATTTTTTATTGTAGTAAATATTAATCAGAGAAAAACTCTTATAAAATGTTTCCAATAACTATATTGTCCCATGACTATCGTGATTTTCAGGGTAAATTCTAAAATTTTCTCTGTGCGTATGAATAAAATAATCGCTTCGAAATGGAAACTTTCCTTGGTAAAAGTCCGCGAATCGAATTACCGAATCCGAATGATGACCACGTCCGGCAAAAGGAAGTCCGTTAGGTGTGCACGAGGGATGCCTAACTGTGACTCGTCGAGGGTTTGAGCCTCGGTTCCGCGAGGTTTCCTCTCATCTGCAGGTCTTCTCGCACCTCTATCTCACGTCGCGGTCGCATTTTTTTTCTGGCGCCTCATCTTTCATCTCACAGCACATTCGGAAATTTTCCGAAATTTTTATATGCTTCTCTTTCCTACAATAATTGATATTCAATAATTCTTATATCAATTACGCGAATATATCCTATATTACATTGTAAGACATATACAGAAGTAATATTATAATTTATAATTATATAGTATATATATTTAAATAAATTGAAGAGATGAGAGTCATCGATTCTCGAAACGGAATAATGATCTCTTTCTTCGCGCCCCCTTGTTTCAGGCACAACGGCCAGAGCAGAGTGTAATGCAGGCCTTGGAGAGTCTGAATGACTCACAGGTGAACGACTTCTTGTCCGGCAAAGCTCCGCTTAACCTAACAATGCGATTGGGTGATCACATGATGCTGATACAGCTGCAGCTGTCCACCGTAACCCCGGCATCGCCGACTACCAATCCAGCGACGAGCTCCACCAGCAACAGCAGCCACAGTTTACCCGCCAGTGGCAGTAGCACGAGCAACGTATCCGGCTTACCTAGCGGCCATGTTTCGTCCTCGTTGCAGGCCAGAAGATGCCTGGCGGCTAGATCGCCAGGGAACATCGTCAAGTCGCAAAACGCCAGCGGTGGATCGAGCGGTAGAACGTCGCATCTGATTAGCAGCCTCGCGAACGCCCTTCATGCCGCCGCTGGTTACAGCAATAGTAGCAATACTCTGTCTACAGCAGGCATCACCACCACCACCACCAGCCCGGTTTGCTCCAGTCGCGTTACGTCACTCTCGTCCGTCTCCGCGACGCCGATCAGTCCGGTGCACTCGTCGTCGTCCTCGTCAGCGTCCAGTAATTCGAGTCAGTCACCATCCTCGCGCAGCAATTCGCACGGCGTCTCGCCTACGAGCAGCGGGTCCTCCAACGCCTGCCAACCCTGTCCTCTGTATCATCACCACCATCATCATCACGGCCATCATCACGGCCACCATCACGGTCACCATCATCACCACCACCATCATCATCATCATCACCATTCGAGAAACAAGTCCGGCTTGCCAAATCTTTCCGCCTCTTCCTCCGCCTCGGGTTCCGTCCCGATGCAGGAGCAGACCAGCACCGTGGAGCCGACTATGTCCCACGACACGAGTCTACCCAGGAAAAAGCTCTGTAGCGGCCATCATCATCACGGCCAGCAATCGTCATCTGTTACTTTCAATGGTATCGACGTCACGAGGAGTCAGCACGACGAATCGAATCCACAGAGTCCCACTTGCACCTCGTCGCTGATGCTGGAACAGTCGCCGCCGAAACCTGCCACTCTCGATACCCGCGCGCTCGCCGAGGCTTCCCGGAACCTCACGCAGAAGCTGAAGCAGCTCTCCTCTGAGGTACTCACCTCGCGGGTCGACCTCGCAGAGGTATACATTGTTACCGAAGCCAGTTCCCCCCTGTGTATCATTATTTGTGATTTATATTTGTGTATTTATGATTGACGCCGCGTCGATTAAGGTCCTAAGAGGTGCACCATATGATTGAGATCCGGTTTCTTTGATAAATTCAACTGTCCGTCTTGAAATGAGGCGAAATTTTTCATTGATACTGAATTTATTCCTCGATGAATGTTTCTGCTTTGTATACTCTCAGGTCCTTAAAATGATTGTGTAAGTTATTATGTACACTCAGTGTTATTTTAATGTTATTTATTTATGTTGACGATATACAAGTTCTATTATTTTACACAATTAGGAGAACGCGAGACGTAGGCAAGGCGCGATAATAGAGAGTATGCATCACCACGGCAAGGGTGTCTATTCTGGCACGTTCAGCGGCACTTTAAACCCAGCTCTGCAGGACAGACACGGTCGACCGAAGCGAGACATCAGCACCATCATTCACATTTTAAATGATTTACTCTGCGCGACGCCGGCTGCATCCGCAGGCCACTACAGGCATCATCATCATAGGCATTCTCACACCCGTCAACAGTCCTCGTCGATGTCCACATCCTCTGCCAATACAACCACTGCGGGTGGATCGAATACGTCGGTCGGGTGTCATGATTCTACCCCAGGATACTCCAACGGTATGTATTTACAATTCTATTCAATAGAGGATATTAAAATTAAAAAAAATTTATGTGTGTATATATATATTAAATATAATATCAATTATAAAATATTTAATAAACTGTATTTTAATAAATAATTTATTTAATTAAAATATAACGTTGTTGTAGTAACTCTCTCTCTCTAAAGAAAATAATATTCAATGATCCTTTATATATTTCTATAAAGCTCCGTCCATTCTCAGAGATCTTGCCGTCACTGAGATCTTCATTAATACTAATATCGATAAACTGTGTAATATTTTTGGAATGCAGAAGAATTGTCAAAGGAGAACGAAGCGACAAAGGGCAAGATGCGTCGGCTGCGCTTAGTCATGGAGCAACGTCGCGCCAAAAGGAAAGCCAGGCGACAGGCTCGCGCGGCACCGTATACCACGCAATGGGCCGCGATGACTCCTGCCGATCCGAATCACGAGCCGAACACGTCGACAGCGGCCTCGAGTACCACCACCACCACCACCACGAGCACCAACAGCGCGGAACCGCAGAACGAGCCGGAGCTTCAACCGTGCAGTCCCGAACCGGTCGTAGCTTAAAATACTACCGAGTCACTAACGAGTCAATTCACGGCACACAGTAGTAGTAGCAGCCTCTATATCGTAATACATAGAGAGTGTAATTGTCTCTCTTTTACCCGTTCTTACCTGATCGCACTGATTTATTCCAAGAAAAACTGAAAAAAAAAATTATAATGCAGGGTCGAACGTGTCCTACCACGATAATTAGATTCATTTTTTTATACAACTCTCGTTCCGTTCGATACAAACGCTGCAAAAATGTTTTGATTTGATATCCCGTTTTCGTTGAGTACCCCCCCTGTATAATCTAGATCATTGCCACCGAGATTCATACAGAGTTTCTCTCGAGTATGATGCAACTGTCTCGCTTTCTACGATTTGCGTTATCGTCGTACGCGACTAAAAACGTTATTGACGAGACTTGATTGACGGATCAAAAGGTGAAAGGTTCAATCTACCTTTTTTTTTATTTCTGAATGCATAGTGCTCGAAATTAACTTAATTAATCAAATGTAAAAGTGTTTTTCTTATTATTTTTTTTCTTTAAAACATTTGATTTCAAAGTTAGATCTTTTGCTTTTTTCCATCTTCTCTTCCCTTTTTTTCTTCATGATTGTCTCCACGTCGACAAAGCCAAGTCGTAGACGCGTTGAATTAGAATGTTTATGCGTTGATAAAAAAATGATGGTGCGTGACATTATAGCTATTGTAACGAAAGATATATAGTGTTACCGCTGTAATAACGCTATAAAAATATGTATATTTCATTATATATATATTATATATATATAAATATACTATTAACGCGCGCTATATTATTAACGTGTCACGGAATACTGGGTATTTTAGGGCTATCGTTTCCGAACGTTAATAAAACGGTGATGTCGCAGTGTTTGGCCGGACTCAGGACTTGATCGTAGTTGACAATAATTACGCTCGGCGAATGAATCAGTGTAACGGTTTTACGTATCTATACATCGACACACATCGCGCGAGAAGTCGATGAATCGTTTTAAGAGACAGAGAAAGAGCAAAAGCTCCTATAAAGAATCCTATTAAGAAACTTCCTGTTAGGATTATAAAACTCGCCGATAAATACATCTCATGCATTTGAGAGACGAAAGGAAAAAAAGAACAGTGTCGTTATTGTTCTAACTATGTGCGGTTATCATGAGACTCCGCGATAATTATTATCCTCTCGCTATCATCGGGCACTTTGATCGAAGTCTTATACGAATAAATAGACGAGTAGAACTTTAATCACGCACGAATCGCGAAGCAGGACCGTGTTTCGGCAAGTAATGACGAGGCTTTTCACCGAGCTTTCGACGCAGAATTCTCGTCGCGTGAAGCGAATGGAAAGGGAAATACTCGCGCGATAAAATTCGCACGCGTGAAATTTGTGCAAATTTGTACTTTGCGGCCCCCTACGGACCTATACGATTGATCTAAATCACTACGATCTTTTGTAAGTAGCAAGTGCACTTTCCCATGTCATTTATTTTGCAAGAGATATATATGCGGACAATATTTGTTGAAATATTTTTTATGTTAATCTTTTAGTGAACTTTTTCTGCGTTAAAGGATATGTGTACAGTTAGATTTTCCGTATTATCTACTTTATTCTTAAATTTTGGAGGAGAGTCCGGGCTTGTTGTATTTTAGAGAGTATATAATTAATGTTTAGTAATGTAGGCAAAGTTTACTTTATCCTATTCTCAAATTTGGATTTGCTTTATAAATTGCAGTTGATTGCGTAAATTGATAATCAAAATTGAGGTTTAATATACTTTGGAAGTTTATAATGCTCTTCAGTTGTAATTTATATAAATGCTCATTAAAAATTCTTTAATCATTCTAAAGACTGAGTGATGCACGTGATTATATTGGAAGCTTTCCAGCGAGAAAACATAACAATGTGATGCAATTGGCTATCGATTAGAGAATTTTTAAAATCTCGTTTCTTGCTGGAAGTTTTTATTTCCATTTTATTCCTTGAGTATTGGACAAGTGGAAAATGTCAAGTAGAAAAATATGAAAAAAGGATAGAAATGTGTGTGTGTGTGTTAAATACAAAAAATGGATAATACGGAAACTCTATATTTTTCACTCAAATGTTGTTTTTTTTTGATAATTAAAAATTATAATCGAAAAAATGATAATCGTAAATTATATATAAGACGCGAAGTGTGTCTTACTTTAGATATTCTTTATTGTGCTTACATTTGTTATTCGTTCTTCGATATGTTAGTTATTTATCCATTTAATGTCATATTCCAAAATCTGTCCAATTTGTTTTCAATTATCGATTCGTATCTTTCAATTCTTAATCGCATTTATTTTGTCATTAATATAAGGACGATACCTCGATGGCTAATATTGTCCATTTATGATTTAAAGGCGTCGATGTCTCGATTAAGAAACGAAAGAGAAAGGCGAACTAAAAAAAATGAAGAGGACAAGAAATGAAAGATTATTTTTTTGCGTTGTATGTAATTCGTAGAATAATCTAGGGACAAAGGAACCACGATGTTGCGTTGAAATAACGCGATCAAGTCGGAAATAGGATATTCATATCAGTTTTTGCAGAGTATACACATTTTTGAACATGCTGTACTACTTAATCGCTATTGTGAATCATATGCTTGGTTGCCCTTTGTTAGAATTACGCTAATAATATTATTCACAAACGAAGAAAGAAGAGCTAAATGAAGAAAACAGTACAGAGAAGAAGTTGTGTAAGAGACAGTTCTATAGCTGAAAAGTTTGCGTGATCGTACTATATGGTATACTATATGCCGTCACGATTTTGTTTAAGTTAATTAGATACTACAGATAAAATACGATGTCACTACTAATAGAGTACATTGCGTTTAGGTTTACTTTAGAAGAAGAGAATATTATTACTATTATTATACATTATTATATTATATATCGTTAGTACCGCTATTACGATTTTTGCAAAACTGGCTCAAGATTGTAATATACGATTATCGGAACCTTTATCGAGTACCAAAATAAATAAGATTGCTTGCTAAGCTAAGAAGACAACAAGTTCATTTTTAGTTCTTATTTAAAATGTGTTTCTTATCGTTATAATGTTTTCTATCATTATACGATTAGTATATCGATGGCGTGAAAATGTTGATAAATAAGTTATTCAACAAAACAGGTTTAAGGAAAGGAAAGAAACACGAACGGCATATCGAATTAAAGTTTATCTATCGTAAATTTGTTTATTTAAATTATGTCGTAAATAATTACAATCGCGTTAGAAATCTACCGATACTTAAAAGTTATACTATCATAATATAACATCTTTTGTATAATATATACGTCGCGCGTATCCTAAAAGACAATACAGCTATTATTATAAAAAAAGAGAAACAGAAGAAAGCTAATATCATCGTGACGGAATCAGATTGCAACACTATTGCAAATTATACGTTTCTCTTCGTAAACGTCGTAAAATTCGCGATACGTTACCCTGTTCTCGCCCCAATATATGATTCATAAAAAATCCTTTTTCGACTCTTTAATCACTAATATACAAATTACTAATATACAAATCACTAATATACAAATTAGCTGATATAAAAAAAAGAAAATCGATTGATTATCGCAACTTCGATATACATCGTGATACATCTTATTAAATAGAATTTCTTATGCGTCTCGAGAATTTGAGTTTTTCGTTGTGTCGAGTAAAAAGGCAAGATATCTAATACTGATCTATAAACAAAAAATTACCCAAAATTAATTGGTTTACAGCTCCGTAATTTGAGGATCTCAAAGAGATTAATCCTCGTGTTAATAAGTTTGTACCTCGATAAAACTGTCGACTTTTTTATTAAACCGCGAACTCGATTGTTTTATTTTAGTTCGACATGCATTCGTAACGGGAAGCGCGCTTAAAATTAATTGGTTCCATGCATTGTCGCGTTGACTGGATCACAAACGGATTATTTTATACAATTATTCTATCTAAAAAAAATTTGGCTGGGGATGTTTGCTCTTAACGTGTCTTATTTATTATGCAAAAAGATTCATCGAAATCATACGCGAAATACGATAAGGGAGAAAGAAGGGGGTTGAAATTTAAACATTGGAAGAGATTCGCAAGATATATGTGGGGAAAAAAGTTTTGCAAATATTTCTACATCGATTACGAAAAAAATCCTTTTCGACTAAATGCTAGGATTAAATTCTAAATGTGCCCTCTCTCCCCCTCCTCTCTTTTTTCTGTTACATGTCAAATAGTAAAAGTTTACACAGTCTGAAAGTCTTGGAGCACTTTTATAAAACAATATCATTTCGCAATAATATTGGCGATATATACACGTACATTTCTATGGATTTCTATGGATTTCTATGATTCTTACGGCATAGATGGTCAATGTCTTTCGTAAAAGTTAAATTCGAGAGGAGCTCTCTTTAAATGTGGATTAAAAAATGGACGGGATAAAGCATAGGCAATACGCCGATTCATGAGGAACACTGAAAAAAAAGTTATTGGTTTCAAATAAATGTTTATTTCAACGGTGTCATTAACACCATTTGTTTGAAACAAATAAATATTTATATGTTTTGAAAAAGGATTTCTTATATCAAATAAGTATTTTTTTACGACAAATCAATATTATTAGTTTCAAACAAGGGGACCAATAAAATTTACTACTACTACTACTAGTTTCAAACAAATGGTGTTAATGGCATTATTGAAATAGATATTTATTTGAAATTAATAACTTTTTTTAGTGAAGGAGAGCGTATAATAATTTATTATATGCCGCACTCGTTCGCCAAGATACGAGATATCTTCGTAATAATTGATCTAGATTAATCTTTAAAAAACAAATTAATAAAAGATAATGTAAAATCGAACTATCTCGTATCTGGGCGAATGCGAAGTTCATGATAATGCGCGTAAATCTTTCTCGACATTACGTCGATATAATGAAGCTCGCTCTTTCACGTTGCAAGTTGGAATAAGAGAAGTGTACGCGTTTTGGCAGTTTAATTTTTTTCAGCACACGAAACGTAACGCGCGCAATATCGCTACGATTAACTGATAAACATTTTCTACGCTAAAATACCACAGTTGGCAGAATTCATCATTTTGTTTTTACATTATATCATTTGGACAAATGTTATATGTATATATATATATATGTATCTTAACAGGATATCTTGGAAGGTAATTAGCATCGATCACAGTAAGTAAAAAAAAAAAATACCTGTGCGAATACCTTCTTTTCCGAATGTCCCCCTCTCCGAGTTTATGTAGCGGCCAAATTATTTAAAGCCAAACATACGTTTATCACAACCTTGTCATTATTACTACGCGGTCAAAGTATCGATGCTTCCTCCCGGGAGACGTTGTATATCGCTCGAAAAACCCAACGTTGATATTTCGGGTATAAACGTTTCTAGTACAAGTTAATCTTCTTCGTGATCGTTTTGCGACACATGTGACAGGTCTTTAATGGGGCAGCGCAGTGTTCGCAGGCACCGTGACCGCAAAGGAAAGCGACGTTACGACGACGTTCCATGCAGATGCTGCACATATTCGCCTCCTCGAGGTCCGCGACTCTAGTTTCGAGATAACGTAATCGTTCCAAGTCCTTGTCCTTTTCCTTGTCCCTGTCGTTGATCTCCTTTCGTTTGCCTTCCGACGATACGTCTTTTGTCTTTTCTTCCGAATTAGCTATCGAAACCTCACCCATTGCCAGCTGCCCGTCTAGAGAAATGCAAAAGTAACGTGTAAAATATCTAAGTTTTAGTTTCAGTTAATAAAATAGAGTAAATCTTTTTACTCGACAGACATTTAGAAAAAAACATCGAGTACCTTGAACTGGTTGCGCTTTGACGACAGTATGTCCGCAACGTGCACAACCAAGCGTGATACTACTAGTGGGATCGAGTCGATTCTCTTGTTTTGTGCCGGTTATAATCCCTGAGCAATCCCGACATTCCGCAGCGTCACCGGAACCGGGGATACTTTTCCTCGCGCCGCGCAATCCTTCCGATTGTGACAAGTTATCTATCCGATACGTAGACGGTTCTACGTAATTATTCGAAGGATTGTTCTCTATTCTGTAAGACAAAAATTATTCTTTCAATACATTTATCAATAAGTCATCGAATTATCTCAAAATCAATTAATCTCGTTATTTTAATAACTTGTTGATAAGTTATTGGAAGATGCTTGTTATAATTTGTCTTATATCTTACTCTAATTGTGTGCTGTGACTTTGGTATTTATAGGATCGTAAAAGATCGGCGAGCAGAGCGGCTTGTGGATCGCCCTCCAAAAGATCGAGCGGCGTCTTGTCCTTGTTGTTCCTGACCTGCTCGAGGAGTTTGCAGCTTCTATCCACACTTATGAGAAAACAAGCTAGTGCTAATTCAGTCTTTGTGCTTTGCCTCGCCAGATTCTGCCAGATCTGTCCAAAGAAAATACTTCTTGTCAGAGAAAAATAGGACAAGTCTATTTTCTCTTTTTATAAATATACAGAATAAATCTGAGAACTTTAATTTACCTAACTTTTCAATGAGAATAGTCATTTCGTTTTTATATAAATTTATGAATATTTGAGTTAACTAAAATAAATTTGAGTTAACTAATTAAAAAGATAATATCATAAACTAACATACCGCGTGTATAAGCGGCGAATCCCGGCTGCTTTCCGGCGTGGGCACGGCAGTTTGTTGATTCGGGCTCTTTGCTATCGCAATGTGTAGGACGGTGTCACCGTCCTCGTCCGTGCTGCCGACGTCCGCGTTATGATGCACCAGTAGTTCTACGAGCGGCCAGTGTCCCTGCGAAGTCGCCAAGTGCAACGGGGTTTGTCGTCGATTGTTGCGCAGGTCGACCTTGGCACGGCCGCCGTTTTGCGAGAGAAGAATTGCCGCGACTTCCTTGTGTCCGTTCAATGCTGCTAAGTGTAATGCCGCGAATCCATCCTCCTTCTTCGTGTCCACCAAGTGACGTGCGCGAGCAACTAGCCTTTCTGTTGCGCTGCAGAGATTCACGATTTTATGTAAATGCGTGAATTAAAGGACACGAGCTCAATTCTTGAATTTATTCGTAAAGAGAAACGTTTCTCTTGTGAATAAATTCAAGAATTAAGCCCCAGGTGGGCATCAAATAAAAGGACAGTTCAATTCCACTGTAACTGTCCTGTATACGCACTGAGCGTTGCCCTTGAGCGCCGCATGATGCAGAACGTTGAAGCCCCGTTTGTTCCGAAGAGTGAAGTCTATTCTCTCGCAGGCGCATAACGCGTCGATTACATCTAGCGCGTCCTTTCCGATTGCATCATGCAACGCTGTATCGCCGTAGGAGTCTTGCAGATCGACATCGCAATGGTGACGTAGCAGCACTCTCACGCATTGTGCATGTTGTTTGTTAACCGCCACATGTAAAGCGCTGCATCTACCGTTGTTTACGGCGTTGATAGCCGCACCTCGCGATAACAACAGTTCCATTATCTCCGGTTGATTACTGTTCAATCAAAAGAATAAAAAACATTGTGCATAATTAATATTGTGCAAGAAAATAAAGGTAACAATTTCCTCAAGATAATGTACCCGAATGCCGCATAATGTAAGGGGGTGTCACCGTCTTCGTCAACCGCTCGTAAAGATGCGCCGGCTTCCAGAAGAAGATTGCAAAGCTCGCGCAGGCCCTGATGCGCGGCCACTTGCAAACAAGTTTTTCTGCCGCCACCGGGAGCACGCGCGTCCACTCTACCAGGGTACTTTTTCAGAAACTCTCGCACCGCGGCCACACCGGCCTCGCCCCTAGCCGCGTCCCTCAACAGCTTCTCCACTTCGGTATCGGTACCCTCGACTGGAAAAAATTAAATAGAAATTATATCTATAGTATTACAAGCAAAATCGATGAATCAATGTTGTATTTTTATTTTTATTGAATTGATATTTAAATGAGTTTTTTTTTCAAAGGACTACTTTTTTTTTATTATGGCATTAACGAATTATATATAACTTATCCTTATTATACACTTGCACATTATTTACATATTTTCTATATAAAAAATAAGAATGTACCTGGACGATCTTTAAACCTATTAGCATTATCGGTAGGTATGACATTTGTGGCAGAAGATACGACACTTAACGGATTAAATGTCCACGTGGAATTGTCCAGTGCAACGCGCAAATCCCCATCAGGATAAATTTTGATTATCTTTCCGGTTTTTCCTAGAGCCTGCAACAAATATAAATTATTCGTATAAAGTCAAATCATAAATATGAAATAAGAAAGAGAAATGAATAAATATATAGAGTTTCTACTAACATTTTTCATGATATCTGTCCATTCACCATGACCAACTTGATACTGTTTGACGGCAGCTAAATCGCTCTTTACACGAACTACATCACCGAGGGAAAATGTGCTCTTAGCGGGGACTTTGGTCAAAGCGCCCGGATGGAAAGTCCATCTATTGTTACAACCCTCATACTGCACGCGAATGTCTCCCTTGTCCGTAATACGGTGCACCATGCCAATCTAGATTTAAAAAAATTAATTCGATTAATGTGTGCATACATAATAACTTGAGGTATAAATATATTGAATGTATCATAGTACTAATATAGATATTAATTAAAATTTAACTTTTTTTTCTACCTCATTCTCTACAGATAAAACTTCAACATTCAAGATTTGCAATCAGTTAAACTTTAGTTTAATTTATGGCAATAGGACTTGTAAATGAGACGACTCTATTTTTGCAAAAATACCTTTCCTATGTATTCGGCCATGCGCGGATTCCAACCACCGTGACCGTCTTGCATTTCCTTTAGTATATCGACCTCAATTAGTACTTTCACTTTATCACCGACATTAAATGTTAGATGATGTGGACTAGACGTGATGCTGGGGACACCGTTTTTTGTCGGTGTCGAGCTATTTCCGTTATCTGATATGGTCAAGATTGGTTGACCGAGCAGTGGAAGGTGCTCCTTGTAATATGTACCAGCATTAGCCTCTTCCATGTAACATAGATCTACGCAACCTTTGTAACCTAATCGATATACATTGGTGCTACCCGTGGACCATGTAACGGTCGCTACAGATCGACTGCTCTCATTGTCCCATCCACGTATATCCATGACTCTGCCAGTCTTTCCTAAAAAATAATTTCAGCAAAATGTGATTGATAATTTATTGCATAATTATAATTAAGATTTATAATTAAAATATTAAGTACCACGGCCACCATCCTGATCTCCCCACTCCCAGTCTGGCCCACGTGTGACTTTTGCTCCGATAAAGATTCCTTTTAAAGATATCTTGGTGCATCCTTCTCTCGATCCCAGTTGGATTCTATATGCATTTGATTGGACACAATAATAATAGTTTATTTATTAAGTTAAAAGAATCACTTGGTTAAATTCTGAATACTCACCCCACAGAATTGGCTGTTTGAAATCTCTGAAATGTGTGAGTCAATTCGTGTACATCTGCCATGTAGCACTGCGTGCAGAGATCATAATCGAAGCACTGAGAACACTTCCACCTGATGCCAATTATCCCGTGCCTCTTACAACCATCACAAATAATGTTGGAATGCTTGACGCCTGCTGCTGCATTATCAAACATCAACAGATCATAAGCATTCTGGTAACCAACCCTGTAATTACTCCTAGAACCGTGGTCCCACTGAACAATGACAGTCTTGTCCGGCGTCCGATCAGCGAGATTCGGACTGGAGGCTGAGCTTCCTGTGGAAGGTGGCTTTCCGATCTCCACTACTGTTCCAGCATGACCCTCACCACCATCCTGATCTTCCCATTTCCAATCCTGACCGCGAACGACTCTCAAACCAACTTCCAACATCTCCAAGTGTACAAAACGTTTGGCTTCTAAAAAGAATATCACATATTAAACATTACACTATTCTGTAATACATTGCATTGTATTGTAAAATATAATATATTGTGATGCATATGCAAATCATTAATTTATTAAATAAATATAACATATCACAATATTTATTAAGTAAATATAACAATCGTAATAAGATAAAAAAATGTATAGAACTACTTAAAATATTCTATTAAACATATAATATGATTATCGACCTTGGGAAGTAAAAATGCTCCAAACCAAGGGTTTATACATAGTAAAATTCGATCAGTCCAACTTTCATTTCGCGATTATCAAGTTTGTCTGATCTCTAAAGAAACGCGAAGAACGAGATCTTCTCGAGGAAGATCCCGAGATCGTGTACTTACTCGAAAGCAGTCTCGAACTCGGCTCTACGAGTCCTATGAATCATACGCGGCGCAGCAACGACGACGCGACCGATAATTCGGGAGATGCGTGTTGGAGCTAAAAATCGGCCTCAGGAAAGAGTCGTCGTTACGCAGCATCCTTGCTGAGTAATCACGCACGCTCCATCGTCGACGAGAATGAGGACACGACGACGAGGATGACAGTTACGATAACTCCTACGTCCGCGAGACTGACGACAGTAACCTCATAACTGGGCTCGTTGATGATGGCGCTTCCTTCGGCCCGGGTACGTCGGCCCGCCAGATCCGATACACGGGAAACTAATTAAAATATCTCCCTCCCGTCACCCGCTTGTTATGATATACAATTATGCTTATATATATATATATAATATATAATTATGTAAAATGTCAAATTTATTGATAAATATAAATATTAATGTCATTTTTTGAATTTAAGATTGTTAATTTACCTTTTAATTAAAAAAAAATTATTTAGCAAAAACAGATTGTATTTCTTATATTATGAATCTTTTAATGCAGTGCGGCAATAATGTCTTCGAAAAATCATCTGAGTTAATAGGAAAATATATTAGGCGAAGAGGTAGGTGCAATACTGCAGCGATAAATGTCTTATATAAAGTCCGAAAAATCGTCTGAGTTAATAGGAAAATATATTAGGCGAAGAGGTAGGTGCAATACTGCAGCGATAAATGTCTTATATAAAGTCCGAAAAATCGTCTGAGTTAATAGGAAAATATATTAGGCGAAGAGGTCGCTATTAGAAGAACATATTTGCAAAGAGGTCTGTTGGTAAAAGCAACGTCGGTAAATTACCATCGTCGGTAAGTTACCATCGTATTTAACAGCTATTACCGACTTAACCTCTGTTACCTCTTTCAAAATATGTTCTCTTAATAGCGACCTCTTCGCAAATATATTCTCCTAATAACGACCTCTTCGCCTAATATATTCTCCTATTAGCTCAAATGATTTTTCGACCATAAAAAGACATTTATTGCTGCACTGCTTGCACTGTTCTCTTCGCATAATGTTCTTCTATTAACTCAGACGATTTTTCAGACTATTATAAGATATTTATTGCTGCCATTATTTCTTCGCAAAATATAATTTATGTAGACTATTTAATTTTATAAATTTTGAACAACTATCAAACTAGAAAGCGATAATTATAAGCATCAAATAAATTTTTAGTAAATAGAAGACAAATTTTAGAGAATAGAGGTTTTATTCAAATAAGAATTTAATTATTTAAAATAAAAATAAATTTTAAACATATACATTTTTAGGTGTTTTATTTTTAAAATCATTTTGTATTAAATTTTTTTATTTTTTAATATATGTATATATACGCTTTAAATTGTCAATTATAATATACTATATGTATTAATAAATATGTATATTGTTTATTATAATCAATCTATATAATTTATTTAAATGTAGTGGCTTTATACTATACTAAAATATTTTATAGAATACATATAAAAATATTGATTTACATTATGAAAAACTACATTTGCAATATCTTAAAGAATTAACATTCTATAAAATGTATACTTTTGAAATACACATGTTCATTATAAAAATATGTATAATTTTGCTCCTAAAGAAATGTATTTACAATATCTTAAATTTATATATAAATCAATATAATGCTTTAAACAAATAAATTATGTCTATATTATATATTATTGTTTTATAATCTTATGATATATTTATAATAAATATATATATGTTAATATTTTCGATTTTTCTATTTATTATTAATATTTAAAATTTTTGCATCGTGTTATATAAAAAGGATTTGTATAACACAATGCAGAAATTTCAAATATTAATAATAAATAGAAAAATCGAAAATATTAACAAGAGTAATACCACTCATCAATAATCTAATGATTACACATCAAAAAATAAAGAACAGCAAAATTTGATTATATATGTACATAAAAATTGTAAAAAAATAAATATTGAAATTTTGCTATATAGGATTTAATAAAATATTTAGAATTTGTTCCTACCCTATTTGTAATATTATTTAAAATTATTTTTTTTATAATAATCAATATCATACAATAAAATATGTGAAAAAATTTAGTGATATTTAAATATAATCAATAAGAGAATTTTGACTAGCCTTTCAATTTCAATTAAATTAATAATTATTGCAACAAATAAATAACTCCCAGAAATTGATTAGAAAAAAAATGATTTTGTCTTGATACCATAGCTTGAACGTTAAACTTTTAAAGTTGTAGCTCTAAGAGCTTATTAAATAATAAATTATATTAAATAATAAATTTTATATTATATATTAAATAATAAATTTTTCTTTTATCAGAAATAAAAATCATCGTGTTGTTTTTCTTCTAACTATATATATATATATATATATATTCTTAAAGGTTTATCTTCTCCATTACTATAGGTATAGGCGTTTGTCCCGCGTAATTTGTGACATTTGTAATAGCACCGGCTTTCAATAGTGTCTGTGCCACCGCTGTGTGACCGTTGTCCAGTGCATGAAACAGAGGCGTTCGTCCTGATCTCATATCCTTCAGATCTACAGTTGCACCAGCTGATATAAGCGCTTTCACTCCTTGCCAATTATTGCGCATACTGCAATAATGTAATGCTGCGAGACCTTCAAGAACAATAATAGATTCAAAGTGTGTTAATTAGAATTTTAATTTCAATTCTACAACTGTTTCTTGCATATGTATCAGTGTAAATTTACCTTCTGAATCTATTTGATCGAGTAATATCGCATCCGAGACCTGATTAATAAGCATTGGTAACAAGGGTGATGATAGTTTACTGGCTATGATCAATGCCGATTCGTGTATATATTTTGGTATCACTGGTTGTGCTCCAGCCTTCAGTAAAAGTTCCACAATTTCACTATGTACATCAAATTTGACTGCAAGCTCTAAACTTGTCTGCAAAATGTATCACAAGATTGTAGTGTCTTTTAAAAGATTAGAGAAAATTAAATTTAAAAAATTGAAGACATTAAACTTACCTTTTCATCCTCAGTCAATATATCGACACTTTCTTTACATTTCTCAAGTATCATTAATTGTCTCCGAACGAGATGGATATTATTGTTTATAACAGCATTATGTATATTTAGCATGCCATTTTGATCATAACGTTTAACCGATTCAAAATCTCTTTCCAAATGTTCTATAAGATTTTTACATCTTATCTTTGTATCTGATAAAGTTTCCTTCATTTTCATGACATCTAAATTTTCTTCCACAAATTCATTAAGAAAACAATCTATATTGAAATCATTTTCTTGTTCAATTATAGAAGCTTTGAAGAGAGGATCCGAGTGTAAACTATTTGTTAATAACTGATTTTGATTAGAAGGTATATCACAAAAAGTAATCTGATTTATTCTCTGAATATTATCCTTGTTAATAAATATGAAAGATTCAGGCTCTAATAAGCCAAATACCATAGTTTGTATTTGTGTGTCGTTCACAGCTTTGTGTTTCTCTGATATTGGAACACATCTCTCAATTCCAATTCCACATTCTTCTAAGGCCTTTAGTGCTAGTGTACGCAGCTTGTCATCTTTTACACTATCCATTGCTTTCTTGATAATATCCAATTGATCTGATAAACCTGTCTGAGTTGAATCCTTTGTATAATCCTTGTTCTGTACATCCAGTTGTATAATTGAATCAACAGTATTTGTAATTTGTTGCAATTCCGGAATGCATTGCACAGGATTGTCAACTGCAACAGCAGAACAATTGTTTTCAGAGACAGTCTTCGAAACATATTTACTTTGCATATTTTCACCCTTTGTATTATGCCTTGATATAATCTTGCCACGATGTACATTAATTCCATTTTTTTCATCTACTGATGACTCAACATTATTATACTGCGTCAAAATTGCATTCTGAATAAAAAAATTTCATTATTAGGCATAATTGTCAACATTTTTTTGTGTTGTATCATATACTTGATTATTTATAAAACCTACATCAGAATTAATTTGAAATGAATTATTTTTATTATTTAAAATTTTTCAATTATTGATATTCTCTTTACTATTGCTATTTAAATTTTTTACTTAAAGTACTATTAATTTGATTATATTTGTGAGTAAAATTTACTGTATTTTTTGAAGATGTAACTATTTGTACATTTTCTGTGTTTTTCATACTAGTAATATACTTTCTTTTACTTACTTTGAAATAGTCTTCAGACCTATGCATATCATTACTATCACTAGAGTTTAGTACAAGCTTTTTGCAATTCACTATAGGAAATGGCGATTTCATAATTTCTTTAAAAGATATATTTTCAGCTGGAGTTTCTTCATTGTCTTCTATTGTAATTAGTGGAATTTTGTTATGGCTATTTACATTGCCTATTCCATTATATACTATATGCTTTTGATTACTATTGATAATTTCATGCAAGGATTGTTTAGAATTTGTCCCATTTGTAGAAACTGGTAATTTGACTTTAATATTGCTATTACACACTTGCGCTTCCTTATTTCTAATCTTAGTATCTTGAGTCTCAAGCACGTTATTTAGTGTTACATTTGTAGATTGTTGCAACACATTAATATTATTTGTCTCAGAATTGTTCTTATTGCAGGATGTAATATCCACCAAATTTCTCGGTACCCTTACTGTTCCTTGTTTAAGTATCCGTGGAAATATTTTGCTCTGTGAAGCTAGAACCGACATTGGCTTCTCAGGCTTGGGAGTATCCTTGGTGATCGTGATTGCCTGTCCTTTCACTGGATCATCAGTCCGCAACTGCAGATTAAACTCTCCCAAATCTTTTCCATTCGCAGATATAATTCTTAATTTCTGCGGTTTGCACGGTACTTGACACTCAACATCAGACTCATTTATATTTCTGGATTGGAATTTCGCGATATTCACGATACCCTGCTGCATCGCCTGTTTCCACGTGCTGGGAAACTGTTGAGGCAGCTGAAATTCCCGCACATGTTCCATCAATCGTACTTTGTTGCCGTTTCTCATAATGCATCTCTTCTTCGCCGGGGGTCCCACTAAGCTGTGCATTTATCAGACAGTGACTCGTCAAATCGTCTACATACAAAGTTTATTCGCGCCACACTTTTTCACGGTGAAATCCCCTTATATATCGAAAAGAGGAAGATAATCTGAAATAGAATAACGAGACACGTTTGATATAAATTTTCGTCATACGGTAAAACGCACGTTCATTTTGCGATGAAATAACAATGTAAAACTTATCAACTTCGATAAAAATAATTTGTTAAAATGACATACGTAAGAAACGCAGCGCAACATGTGAACAGGAATTACCGAATTTTCCGCGATAAGAGGGGACGTCCCTGAATCCTTCGATCATTCCCGTTCTTTGACACTGCACCTAGTGCACAGTGCACCAGCAATCTTCATTGACGATTTGGAATAAAAATTGCGCATGCGTATAGAAAAGACGCTTGATGTGATGCATATTCTTGTGGATGCATCGAATATCTAGATATTCATACGTTATGGAAATTTAGTTCCTTGTATGTTGTATGCATCGATGTCCCTAGAAAATTAATTTGCATATTGCATTGCGTTCCGCTTGACGTTACAGACGCTTTATTTGAGACTGATGAAGACTTCTTGATATGATCAAATCCTTCGAAATATTTTAATATCGAATGCATTGCATATTCAAATAAATTATAAAATTCCACAAAAAAGAATTCTTTATTGCTCCTTTTTAGATGTTCCAATTAATTAAAAAATAATATAGAAATAGAAATATACTATTTTATTATCATATTTTATTAATATCATTTTTGCATGTTAGATTAGCTAAAAATATTTATAATAGCAAAAGCTTGAACTGCGTAGACTATATTTTCTATAATGCATTTTAAAAGGAAAATCTGAACCGTAAAATCATTTACGAGATACACCAATGGATACGATTGACTTATTTATTCGAATATATATAGCAGCCTATATATATTTTTTAATTTCTACATTCTGCAGCATGTAACAGCCTCGATTATTTACTATGCTTATCGCCCATAATGATGAATTTATATAATTATAACACGATTGTATTATACTATTTCATTTTTATATAAATGTTTTACTTATCAAACAATTGTAATGTTGTAATATATTAATTTCATCATATTACTGATCGTATAATATTCTTACATGAACAAATCCTCATACATTGAAGATAATTTCACATAACACTCTTTCAAGTTTCAGTCAAGTATCAGTCTCATATTTACAAATCTGAGTTGTATCAAAGGGCATAAATAATTTGGTTTATTCATATCACACAAACTTGATAAGCGTATGGGCTTATTACATGCCTATGTCGACATAATGCTCTTGGATTCGATATTTTGTATTCGAGGACTTAATTAATTTCCCCAATAAAATTGTATAAATCTGCAAGAACGTATACTGCTATTCCACGAGACATTAGTCTCTGAATGTACAGATTCGTCTTTCGTCTATTCAATCGAGTGATGTCAGAAATTCGCTCTGCGCGCAACATGTGATGTCCAAATTCAATGATAATTAATTTCAATGATAATTGAGCTATATTCATTTTTCTTTATTTAGCGCTTGAATAAATTCTTCTAACTTCTCTTGAATCTGCCTAACCCGTTCTGAAATAAAAATAAAATGTAATAAGATATTTGAATACTAATTTAATATTAATTTATTAATCATACTTTTATAAATTAAAAATCATTAGTGATTGAAAATATATATTGCAATACATACTGAGTTCTTCAGCTAATACGACTCGTCTGCCTGTGAGTAGTTTCTCCTTTATTTCACTGTCTTGACTATAATCCTCCAAAACTTCTTTAATCTCTTTATCCAATCTTCGAGCTTCTCTGTTCATGATTTGTTGTCGAAGAGCATTCGCAGTAACTTTCAGCATTTGCTGAATTCGCCAAAAAAGCACTACGTCATTGCATTCCATCTGAAAGCATTTTATTTACTTTTTGCTCGGCTTATACTTGATTTCTAAAAATAATCTAACGTACTTCATTTTCGTGCCCAGTATGATATAGATAGTAGCCTTTCCTGCAATCGTATGCTCTCGCTAAACTCTGTTGTAGGAAAAATCTTCTATATACAGGATGCCATGTTTCTCGAATAAATTCGTTATCGACTTCAAATCCATTACGTTGTAAATTCTTTCTAACAGCTGTAAGCTCATCATGTGTCAGAGTAGGTGCATGTTTCTGTGCAATCAAAAATATACGCTTTAGATATGCAAAAAGTTACGCTATAAAACAGAAGTTTTATTTAGCTGCAAGTATTTGATGTATGCGTACTTTGTCTGCATAAAGAATTTTATCTAGCTCATTCTTAACCGCCGTACGTTTTTGTTGTTCTTCCGTCTGACTCTGCCAATAGAGCCACCGTTCCTTGCGATTGGGGCCCAACATATCGCGCAGGATATGCTCTGTACTTTGCAGTTTTTCCTTCACCGAAGTTTCTAGGAATCTTACCGCTTGATCCCATTCACGTTTATCGTTCACGCTTCTGTCTTCCAAAATGTTAAGTTGGATAACGCGTAGCATTTCTGACGCCTACAATAAAATATGTTTTCCTATAATTATTCCTAATTATTATTCTAATTTACCAATTAGCTACTTTATTAATTTTTTTATTAATATTTTTAAATAAAAATAAAAATAGAAAAATTCTAGTTTATTTTATAAAGCGTGAGCTTAAATTCTTAAAAATAGAAAAATTGCATTTATTTAGTATTATAATCGAATTTACCTTCTCTTCCCACGAATGTCGTCTCATTGCCTCATTCACGACGGCATTCTTGAGGTTGTCGAAGATATCGTCGTGATCCTGACTAAGTCGAGCTTGCGTCATAAAATTCTGGAATTCTTGCTGTAAACATTCCCATCCGCTTTCGACGCTACGCGCAGGTAGTTGCTGCTCGGTCCACTGTCTCAATTTTATGTCGACAGTCGTATTAAATGTATCTGAAAATATTTTTATGAAACTTTTCGCTTGTTTGAGGAAGAGAATAGTTTATCAATATATACTGTACTTGGATTTCCACTTTGAGCAGCAGGCAAGTAGATGTTTTCAAATACATGCATGCTGACTTTATCCCAATTTCGAGTCATTAGCACTTCTTCCCAATGTCTCGGCGATACTTGCGACAAATTGACAATTTCGTCCAAGATTTCACCTCGTGCTTTTTCAAAAAGCTCGTCTCTATCTAGTTCTCTTAATCTAAACAAATAATATATCGTGGAATAAATTCATAAAACTACAATTAGACACAAAATATTTTTTATATGCAACATTCTATATATTTACCTTGGAAAATTATTTTTCCATTCTGTTTCCAAGTTAAATCTCGTTGCTTTAAATGCATCTGCTTGTTGTTCTACAGTCTCACGAACCATCTTCCAAAAACATTCGGCTACCGCCAAACTCAAATTTTTTGTAGTTACTTGACCCGACATCGCTAAACCATCCCTGAAGAGCCAAAACTCGTTAACAAACTGTATTTAACGCTTTTAAATATTTATATTCGTTTTTATACTTACTTGAAGAGCTTAGAATTTCTAAAGAATTGTTGTTCGTAATCTTTGATTGTTTGTATACTATCGTCTTTTCTGCCTCGACCAGTAACTACAGCAAAATAGCCTAATGCTTTCATCGGAAACAGTTTGCCAGATAATATTTTGCGCAGTCTATCAGGATTAGTCAAATTCTCTTCCGCCATATCGACCTGCCACAAGATTACCAAAATGATACAAGTCTGCCTCTATTTGTTCAGTTCAATTAATGTTAGAAGAGAAACATTCCCCATACTTTTGTCAAGACGAAAATTGTTCTTTTACCCGATGGATCCATTTGGGCAACAAGATCGGTCACGTTACTTCTTTCCGCGTCGACGGATCCGTCTTGTATACAGAGAATAATCGCATTAGGATTACTCATATACTGTTGGCTCATCTGTTTAATTGCTTCGCGAGTGTCTTCCGCCATATCGACGGTTACGGTCTGTCACAAAACAAAATTCGAAATTTTATAAGCAAGTTATAGGAATTTTCTTAAAAATTTATAAATTTAATTATATATACATACGCTAATAATACCAGGTAAATCGACTAGAACCATACGTTGAAGACCTGGTCCTTTAACAGTCATAGATATGACATCCGGACTAACTGTTTTTCCATTTTTAACGCTATTTTTCATTCGCAGTTCTACCTCTCGTCTGAGCTCGGCTAATTCCGATTCTTTCGTAAGATCAAATTCCCTGGAACTATCCTTAAATTGCGCTATATGATAAGGACCTTCGCTCAATGTGACTTTGACTGGTGCTCTCGTCATCATTTCACCTCCGCCTCTATATAGGAAAAAATAGCAACGGGTTAATACACGATTGAATTATATAAATCACGTAAAAAAAGCATACCTAGGAAATATCCTTGCTTGAGCTATCATTTCAAGCACAGATGTTTTACCGGAGCTTTGGTCACCAACGACTACTACTCTAGGTAAATGATCAGCAATGGAATAAGTACTATCATAGTCGCTAAGTTCATCCAAGACATCGCTGTACATATCGATTAACGATTTCTATAAAAATATAAGAATAATTTTAGAAATGCAATCAAAATGAGATAGATATACTGTACGTATCAAACGTATATATGTGGTTTACTTACTTTTATCTTCTTATTGTTAAACTTTTGATTTCCTCGCAAAAGTATTTGTTTGCGTAACTCTTTGTTCTCCCTTTCTAATCTCTCTATTTCACGCTGATATTTCAATTGCATCTGCATCAACTCATCTTGCATAGCATTCATTCTCTGTTGTGACGATTCTTCAATGAAAAAAAATAAAACAATAAAAATATTAAAGCAGTTTTCGAGAATAATAAAATTTAAAATCTACAATGTGTACATACGAGCTTTCTTACGTTCCTCTCCGGTACTATCATTAGCCAATGGACGTGCAAAGGCAATCACATTTTTGGACAATTGATCTTTTGTTTCTGCTTAAAAATAAAAAAAGATACATATGTATATTAATATGTATATTTATAAATTACAAGTTCTAATTTATTCCACGGACGTAAATGTGCAAGAAAGCTAGTATCAATTGATGCAAAACATTAATGAAGCTATTTTGTATTTGCATATAAGCAATTTTACATGTGATAAAATTACATTAAAAACAAAAAATAATAAAAACAAATATGCAATTTACTTATATATACATATATAAAAAATTATATACGTATATAAAATTACATATAAATATGCAAAATAACGATAAATAATGGTTGTCCCATTCAGTATTTAAAATCGATATCCATGTTGCAATTATATCCACTGCTATTATATATATGTCGCAATTATAAATAAGCACAGCTTTGACTTCTCTGCATTATTGGAAAATATACATTCAAATCTTTCTTTGTGAATTACTTGACTACAAAATGCTGAATGGACAGAATATGCATAAAATAGTCCTTTAAAATTTTCTTTACACACCTGAGTAAGCTTGTTTAGCTACCAATGAGATGGTATCAAATGCACCTGAACAGAACAGACCACAATAAATCTATAATACAAATGCATGTGGAATAGTGCTTTGCTAGTATAAATTATATTATTAAATTTATATAATATGCATGTGTTTAAAAAATAGAAACATTTTTTTAAGAATATCCAAATCATTCTTAATCAATATTAAAAAATAATAAATAAATAAAATAAATAAATAATGCATCATGCAAATTTTTGCATACAAGTGGTAAATGGAAGTTGCATATAAGAAAACACAGTAAGCGTAAAAAAAAGAATTGCAAGAATAACTATCATTTATCATCATTAGCATTTTTCATAAAGATTGATGTTTAGATAGGAAAACGTCAGGCAAATGGAGGAGTATATAAGAATTGAGGAATGGATTATAACATAGGATATATGAATAAGATTATTAGACAGAATTAGAAGTAATACACAAATATAAAAAAAAGATTGACGCGCCAATCACTCACTCTGTATCGAGTTATTCTCTTGGTAATCTTTTTGGCGACTTTCCGCTGCCTTAATAGCGTCATCCAATCTTTGATCAAACCACATCCTGTATTCTTGATATTTAGTTAGTCCAAACTCCTTTATACGTGGATCTGTTTGTGTTTGACAATGTTTTATCGCGTTTTGCTTTGCCTCACGTTTTCACAGACATAAATGTCTACATATTTGTTATACTTACCAATCTCAATCTTATCACCTACATTATTTTTAATTGTTATAAGTGATTCTCGAAAATCTTGCCATTGTTTTTCATCAGGCATCAAATTGTGTACCCACTCCAAATTTGGTAATCCATCCTTCCATTGTTCATATTTCTATTTGCATAGAAATGTGATTGTATTAATGTTATATAATTTCATAAATATGACCATTGACAATATTATATAACAACTGATGTTGTTACATATTAGATAGTAATATTTAATAATTGATGCAATATAATAGCACTTAAGAAAAAAGCACTTAAGCAATTAAGAAAAAAGATGTAATAATTATCAGAAAGGAAAACATCAAATCTTAAGTTTACTTTTTGCAAAGTAACACCGCCACCAACTGCACCTCCCAAAAGAAGATATCGAATTTTTAATGCACCCCTTAAGATTCTTGTTATCACCATAGCATATCCACGATATGGATTTGCAAAGTGTCTCAGTTGTGGTGATGCTAATAATGGTCTACATTGCCTACTAAATTTTCCAGACATTAGTTTCCGTGTATTAGTGATTGTTACCGGATGTCTGCAGGTTTTGGAGATTAATAAAATGCCATGCCTGAAAAAGAAAAGAAAAATATATTAATTTAGTTACAAGAAATAAATTGTTATAACCAATAGACTAAATAATTTATCAAGTTTTAAATAACAGAGTACAATTTACTTACATACAAAAAAAAAGACAACAAGTCAAAATATATTTTAAGCAAGTCATAAAAAGTTTCAATACAATAAAGTATTATTAATTTGAATAATAGAGAAACATGTTATAGCCTCAAATTCTTATATCGATTACATACATATGTGAAATATAAATTGTAGTTGTGCTAATAATTTTATACATTTATTTTAATGTTCATATTAGGAGTATCCATTATTATTTTGCTTTATTTTATTAATAATTAAATTGATCTTACCCAAATTTACCACATATGATTTGCTCCATTTTTTAAGGTTGATCTTTACCCGTCGTCGATAAATAACTATGGGCGCCGCCATTAGAAATGCAGGTGTGTCATTTTGTTATTGTTATTCCCTAGCGATATTGTTCTGAATCTAAAGGGACATTTTTACAGATGGTAACACTGCGCGCAATATAAGAGTGCAACGCGCTAAATTCGATTTATGTTTATGAAAAATAAGAATGATCTTTCAAGAAATATTATATAAGAATAATTTTTCAAATAAAAATATTGCATTATTAAATGCAATGCAAATTACGTGAACAAAAATAAACGCTTTCTAGTTTTCTATTTTGTATAATAGCAGGTTATTTAATATATTTATTTATTAAATGAGAAAAATAAATGTTATATTATATTGTTGAATAATTTTATTTTTCTTTGCAATCCTTATATTACAAAACATACTTTTCCAGACACATTGAAAATATGCTCTATTTACATTGGGTCGTCGCCTATAGTTTTGTGCTAGAGATTTTTTTGAATCTTTACAGAGGAATAATATTATAATTACTATATTTTTCTCTCGCATAGGCTTTTTTTCGTATAATATATATGATTATGGCAGTACATTTACATTAAAGTCTATAATCATTTTTTGCTTTTTTTTCTTTCATTTGCGTATAACATATATAACATTTTTTCGTAGTATATGAAAATCTATATACTTGTCTTATGTGCACGATTTAAATATGAAAGAACAAAAGATAATGCTCGCGTTTTACGTAACAAACAAGCAACATTTTCCTTCGAATATATATATACGCGTAGCTTTATTTTGTATCGTGCAAGCTTGAGATCTACAAAAACTCATTAAAAATCAAAACAAATTCGCCTCTTGCATTCGTTCGCATTCATAAGCATTTAAGCTCCTCAAACGTGGTATTTTCAAAATCATTCTCGGACCTTTCATATTTGTTTTTTTTTTACCTCATTCTGCGATATGTAAGAATACGTACGAATATATAAGAATATGCAAGAATACACGGAGAAATACATTTTACGAATCACAAAAAGCTGCATAGAAGCGCTAAAACTTGATTGGACCCGGTTTTACGTTGTCCTTTTTTTTAAATAAGCGGCTGTGACTGATTTCTTTCCTCTTCCTTCATTCTTCCTCCTCTTCTCGCATTGTATGGGAAACTCCCCTACGTAACTAAATGTTACAAATGTCCTAGTATTGTCTAAGGGTGCCCTTTTCATTCTCTACTACTTCTCACGTTCAGTCTATATATCGCATACTTGCATTATTTATATAAGATTTCAAAGTTATGTATATGTGTGTACGTATGTATGTCCACATATACACATACATATATATACATACATATATACACATACACACACTTTTAGTGCAACGGGAGGATACTTTTCTAATCTCTAATTTTTTCTTACTCTAATGCCATAAAGCATCTATTTACATTTTATATCTCTTTCTTCGCTTCTTTATATCGCCTTTCATTCGCTGATATCATATTCGCGCATATCACTTTCATTCGTTCGATATTCATCTAACAAGAAAAGAAGAAAAAGATCGAACACAAGAAAAATGACTTCGCATCGTGTTCACTTGTACACAATTATCTATCTAAATAGAATTGCCTGACGGATAATCACCGTAAAATAAAACGCAGTTTTAATTAAAGAGACAAATTCTTCTGGTTGCACTTTTGCTTCTATATAGTTCTAGAAAAAACCGAGGTGACTTAATCGTCCGTCACACGCGGTTGCAAATTTAATCGTGAAACACGTATCAAGAGGTACTGTTCCTATGCTTTTTGCTCTTCGTTTTGCCGGATTCAAACTCGTCTTCGCTCCTGCGTCGCTTTTCCTTCTGCTGCTTCTCCATCGCCAACATCGTGATCATCCGCTTGTGGGAGTCGCCCACTATCCATCCATGCTGCTCCTGTCGATCGTCCTCTTCCTCCTCGGGTACCAGAACCGGCTCCGGCGCCTCTTCTTCATCGCTCGAGCTGGACCAGTAGTATAACTGCTGAAGAACAGCAGTGCGTTTTCGCCTGCCGATTGCCACTCCGACACCCTCCTCGACCTTGTTCCATGACTTGGTGGTCTTTAATTCTTCGTCGTCGGAGTCGTGTTTTCCGCCAGACGATCTGCGCTCTTTCGAATCCTTGTTATTACTCGCGGATGTCTTCTTGGACTTCTCTGATGATTCTTTAGTCTTCTTGCTCGCCGGAATCTTTCCGTTCTCGCCGAGTTTGGGAACTTTTTTCAATCTCACCGGTGATTTCAAGAGCTTTTTTCGTTTAGATGACATTGATAAGTGGCCGTTGTTCTCGATGGTACTCTCTGTAGAGGGAAACACAGATTTTAAATTACTGTGAATGTCTTCTGAACTGCCAAGGGGAGACTGATTGGTGGAAGAAATGTGTTGTGCAGTCTTCTCAATATTCTCGTCGCTGCTTTTCTTTTGCTTCTCCTTAGACTGGTATTTCTTTTTATGGATCTGCCCAGAAACGACTTTGGTTTCCTCCGTATCTACGTCTGTGCTTTGCACGACAATCTTATTTCTCTTGCCAACCTCTCGCAAAATTTGCTCTTCGATCGCTTTCTGCTCTTTGGCGAACATCTGCTCGTGTTTTTTTTCGAGATATCTCTCCTTTCTTTTCTCTTTCGACTCTCTCTTCTTACGCGATTTGTCATGATCGTTTCCTCTCTTGCTGTTATCTCTAGCATATGATTCCTCATCTGAACTGCTTATTTCCGCTAGCAACCCTTGCTTGCCTATCGCGCACTTCCTCTGTCTTCTAGTCGGCTGGAAATCCATGAGTATTCTCTCCTGCTCTTCTCGTAATTTGTCTAATTGTTGTTGCTTTCTCTTCTTTGATTCTTGTACCTTTCTGCTAAGGAACACGTGTAGAGGAAGATTGTTATCGGATTCTTTCTGCGGTTTCTCGTTGCTGGATAGTTTCTCAGGCAAAGCTGGAACATCGTCATCCGGTTCTTCTTTCTCATCTTGTGTCTCCGTATGATCCAGATGCTTGTTTTCCTTGTCCACGTTAACGATTCCATCGTTAGAAGCTTCGTTCACTATATCTATTATATCATCATTAACGCTATCATTTTCAGTTTGGACTTTCAAGCGTACAGTCTCAGATTTCGGTTCAAGATCCTCGTGTCTATCCAAGAAATCTAAAGCTTCTTCCAAGGGAATCAATTCATTCTCCGGTGCGTAATCATCTTTCATATTCGAAGTTTTCATTTGCAAAGTTACGTTTTCATCGTCCAACGCTTGCATTTCAACTCTGTCTTTTGCTTCCTCGACCATCAATGTCGGTTCTTCGTTCCCTTCGACCTCCGTCTCCGTCTCTGAACTATCTTCTCTGTACAGATCTTCCAGCTCAAATGTCCTCTCGTATTGATTGTCCGCATCGTCATCACTGTTTCTCGCTTCGTCGATCGTCTTTCTCTCATCTATCACCAACGAACGATCCGACATTTCTGACTCTGATTTAGCGACTTCGTAATCCTTTTTTACAGCATTCTTCTGCGCCACTTGATTCTCCCAATCGCAATTTACAATTTGATCTTCGTTCTCGAATTTGGATTCGTTGATTACATGCTGATCACAATTTATCTCATCGGTGTCGACGTCGAGCTGTTTCTTTAGGCTCTTTCTCGACTTCGACGACGGAGGCTGTTGTTCGTTCGCAATTACATAATCAGCGTCTTCTTCCCGCTCATATTCACTCTCGGACGACGTCGACAATTCTGCAAAGAGATTCTGTTTGCCCTTCGAGCATGCGCGTTGACTCTTCGAAATGCCAACGCCAACATCTTCCGCCTTCGCAGCTGTCCTGAACTCGTCCGAGCTGTCATTCTCATACCACGCGTTTCTCGCTCGTTTTTTCGGACTTTTACCTCGCTTCTTGAGTTTGCTGGGCTGTTTGACACTCTGCTCAAGACGCTTCAAGCGTTGCTGTTTCCTTTCCACAAAATCATCCATCGGTCCAATGATTGGGTCCGCAACTTGCTGCTGCTGCTGCTGTTCTTCGCTCTGGAACGACTTCAAAGCGCCTTTCGTCTTGGGTGCAAACTTCTCTAGCTCTTGAAACTTACGATCGATTATAGCGTCTAACTTTGTGTCCGCGATGTAATTAGTTTTGCCGTTCTCCAATGCGCCGAGATCCTCATCAATATCCTTCTTCAACCAGTTGCTGTCGTAACTCTTGTCGACTTGACTCCTGTAGGACATTACACTACCCAAAGGAGGCGCAATTTGGCTCTCCTCCTCGTCAAATTCATACACGTCCTTTATCCTGTCCGAGTCCCCCTTTCGATCGAAGGAATCGCGACGCTTTTTCTTCTCCATCAAACCGCCATATAGCTCGTTTCTTCGAATCAGCGGGAACTCCTGCTGCTGCTGTTGCTTCTTGCCCCTTTTCGGTTTGCGTGGTTTCTGCACGTTTGACTCCTGGGTGGCCTTTGAACGTTCCTGATCCTTTCTGTCATTTATCTCCTTCTTGCGTTCAAATAGCTCTTTGATAGGGTTTCTAGTCTTCTTTGTCTGAGATGTTTTCACCACCGTCGATCCCTTCGTCGGCTTCTTCGACAAATCCGAGGTATCTTTGGTCGCTGTAGCCGCTGCCACAGTTGCGGCGACCATCTTCACCGATTGATGATTCTTGCCGCTGTTCGTAGTGTCCTCCGGTGATGTGGAGGTAGGAGCTCGTGCACAGGCCAATTCCGCCAACAGTTTCATTGGAGCGGATCCGCTGTGGAATGAAATTAATATAATATAAGCCATGTTTATTAACGAGCGAATGCATCGATAGCAAGATTCGTTATTAAACTTATTAAATTTGTATGAGATCACCTAATTGAGGTATAAAATATGATCGTGTAGATGATTATAATCATCCATTAAATTAAAAGGTTTTGTATTATTAATACTTCGTTACCAAATTTTCATTATTGTATTATACACAGCACAGGAGAAAATAAATGAAAAATATTTTTTCAATAACATGTCGATGTGGGTATAAAATTAAAGAGGCTGTTAATTAGATTTTCCAATTAAAATCTCAAAATCGTTTATTATTACGGGTAATTACTGAGAGTAGAAAATAAAATCGAATGCAGTAAATAAGTGAGAAAATACTGCAAACAAATAAACTATTTTTTACTTGTAATTATTGTATAATTAAATTAAATTGTATAATTAAATTAATATACTATTCTACAAAATTTCAATTAATTAAGCTATATTTTTATTTCATAATAAAAGTATAACAAACGTTACTGTAATTAATAGCAAAACATAAAATATAAATAAAATATATGGTATTATTGAAAATATTAATTCTGATGTTAAAATCTAAACACTTTATTCTATGTTCGAAATTTATAGAAGAGGAGATCTACTTTTTTTCGATCCATATGTATATTCCTTATCTTCGAAAATCCTTCTTTCTATCTCCTAAACATGTTTGTCAGTACGTAACCTGGCCGAATATAATGAACGTCGTGTATACCGAGGGCTATATATAGAGTCCTATACTGTAAAAACGTTATACGTCGATGTTATTGCAGGGAAAGATCGCTCATCGTATAGAGTGGAGAACGGATCAATACGCAACGAACGAATGGGCATTGTTCGTCCGAGAGACGGTCCTTGCAACTATCCTTTGTTAAGATTATAAGAATCATCAAACATGCATAATTAAATGTAAATTTAAAAAAAGGAAAAGATAGTAACAATTATTCGCGATGACATTTTAACGTCGATTCCGGTTTCGATTTTCGAGAAGCTAATGTGTCAGGATGATCGCGCTCGAACATATGGATTATTTCTTTTTTTTTTTTGAAACCTGATCATCCTTTATCCTTTACGCGATCATACGCTACATTTAGTTTAGCGTAATCGAAGACTGGTGTGAAAACAAAACGTATAGTCGCGTGTCGATGAATAAACGAGCGATCAACAGGTGTTGAACCGAAAGCTAAAAAATGCACTTTGACATGTGATATTCATTCCTATATAAAACACAGTCAAATATATTTTTAATCATCTAGCTTGACATTTCGTTGTATGTGTTTTTTATCGACCTCGAAAATAGTTTGCTTCTATATTGAAATTTTATAGACACAAATTAAAATGCTCATTTTTATATTAGCACAGCAATATATACATTTCTCTCTCTCTGTGAAGCATTTTATAAGAAAAATAAATTGAAGTCTGCCTTCTGGCGTAAAAAGCAAAATTTTATGGTATTAGCAAGTCGTTCCAGAGCTTCCTACCCAAGAAAATTCCGTAAATTTATTCATGAAGTATTTATAAAGTTATAAGCACCTTCGTTTCTTCGAAGTTCGAAAGTTTATTACATCAAAGTATTAATTGCATCAAGCTTTATTATTACGCTAATATTCATAATTTGCGTTTTTCGTACAGTTGAATATCCTAGAGAAACTTAAAAATATTTAGTAAACGTGCGCGCGATTACAACTAAAAACATGCGAATGAGATATAACGTCTAGATCGAGATACTCACTTGTGGTCATGTTTGCTGTTGCTGTGCAACAAGTTGGACAATGCCTTGTCTACCAGACCACCTAGAGTCGAATTCACTTTATTCTTGTGTCCCGGCGACGGTACTCGTTCTCTATTCGACGCAATCGAGGTAGATAGTTGTTCCTGCTCGTGTATGCTCGAAGAATACGACGAGTTCCTGACGCTGCCTCGCTTGTCATCGTCGGGATAATCGTTGTCGTCGGTCTTCTGACTTCCGAATGTGCTGGCTATCAGATTCTCGCTCTCTCTCATACGCTGCTGAATCTTGTCTCGGAGCTTGTTATTATGCTGAAAAGCTACGTCCAGACTGTCCTCGTAACTGAGATTGTCGACTCGCGACGCGTCCGGACTGGCGGATCTGCTAGATTGTTCGCTACCGCGCGTTCGATAGCTTTTGTCGTAACTGTTGCACATCTCCTCGCCGAGCAACTAGAATTTTCAAATAAAAGATACTTTATACCATGTAATATACATATATATTTTTTATTTAATATTATATTATAATAATTAGTATATAATTACTATATAATTATATATAAAAGAAAAAATATGAATTAAAATCTTATGGCAACTGAAAAGATTATTTCCGCAAGTCATTTTATATAAATATAAATTAAAAATCAATAAAATTGCCACTATCGCATTATCAAACAGATTAAATGAATGACAACGCATATGTATAAAAATTATTGCCACTAAAATTATTTAAAATACTCACTTGATTCACTGATTCCAGAAGACTACCAAGACTGTTTTGGCTCTCCACGTCCCTCCATCGGTCTCTGTTAACTCTGAATCCTTGCGGCTGATCGTCTCGCCTGTGATAAGACTCTGTGTGGTCTAGCTTGATCTTCTTCGCGCCTCTCAGTTCATTCTCGCTGGTGGCCTTCAATCTCGAGCAACACTCTACAAAGAGCTCCTCGTCAAAGTTTAGGATCTTACCCTGTCGCGGCTCCGTCATCGACTCAATCTCTCTCGGTACATCTAAAGCGTTATCCTCGATCGCGTCCGTGGGGGCGATCGTCACCACATCCGATCTGTGACCCGATGACGGCGACCTGATGACGATTTTTTCCCCAGAGAACTCACTCGAATTCTTTCTAGAAGTATCTTCGTGCGTCATTCTTTCTTCTTCGTCGCCATCTTCATCCTCGTCCTCCTCGTTGTTGGAGCTACTATCTATCGAGCTGTCTCGGGGAGTCTCGCAAGCATAGAACGGCGACATTCTTCGACGTCCGAGATCATCGTCGTCGTCGTCATCATCGTCGTTGTCTTCCTGCTCTTCCTCTTCGTCGTCATTATCAGACTCCCGAATCGCTTGAGAATTTACGTCGAGATCGGCGAATTGATCTTTCACAACTAGTCCCGCTAAATTGCTGTGCGACAAAATCGCGGATACCTCGTGCTTCTGTCTCAGCTTCTCCTTCTCCATCGGCTGATCGTCCTTTGCGAGATCTTCCTGATCGAATTCTAGATTTTTCATGGAAAGTTTCCAATCTTCACTGGCGATTCCCTTTTTGCTCTTTCTGGAATTTGTTGACTGATGATTTATATCCGCGAAAGATTCATAAGTATTATCTTTGACAGTCAGATTCTTGGACCGGTTTCTCGATTCACTTGTAGATCGAGTCGTCTGATCGTTTTGCATTTCGTCCTTCGTTTTTTGATTTCTTAAAGCTATCGGTGAGTCATCAGAGTTATCTGAATTTTTTGAAATCATGTCATCTGTTTTCGTCTTGTCGGTTGTATTAAAATTCTGTTTCTTACGATTATTCGAGTCCTTTTTCGATTTTCCGCGTGCATTTTGTGCTTCAATCTGCTCTTGATTTATAAAACTGCTATCTTTCCAAGTGTCATCATCCTTATGTTTGACACTCTTCGAATTATTCAACCGATCTAAGTCTCCAGATTCATGAAATTCACTTTCTTGTTCCTTGAAATTCTTACGTATCTCGTTCAAGTCCTGATCAAAAAGACATGCTGAAGTTTCGTTATCAAAGGCTTTCCAGATCCTTTCACCGGCCTTAATCTTACTCTCTCTCTGTCTGCATTTGAACATGTTGAATTGCGAAGGCGAAGAAGAACGCTCGTTCTTCGCGTGAGCATCCTGTTTTTTACGGTTCGAACTGTTTTTCGATTTTCCATAGACATCGTGGTCGACTCGAAGATTCTCCCAGTCTGTAGAAATCGGGTTCCTATCCTTCGTTCGCTCCTCCTTCCATTCTTCCTCGTGATATCTTCCTAATTCGTCATCCTTTTTACTCAAACAATCCTCGTCAAACTGGCTGCTCATTTCTTTAATCTTGTTCACATCTTCGTCGTTTTCCCAAAGAATTAGCGACTCCGACGAGTCAAAAGTCCGGAGTATCCTCTCATCCGCTCTGATCTTGCTCTCTCGATGTCTTCGCTTGACTGGATTAATGGGTGACTCGACAGGATCCTCGAGCGTCGTATTAAGATCCTTCTCTCGTTTCCTCCGGTTCTTCAATTTTCCATGAACCTCGAGATTATTGCTTTTATCGCTTCCTTTTTTTCTGGGAGACAACTCAGCATCCTTTTTTGTGTCGGAACTCGAGTGGCGCTTTTTATCCTTCTTGTGTCCGTTCTCGGAGATCTTGGTCGGTCCACGTAAACAGGATCTCGCCTCGGAAGCGCTTCTGGATATGTCCGAATCGTCTTCCGACCGCGATACCCAGTCATTCAGCACCTCCTTCACCTTGTCTGCCTTCTCGCCGCCGAATACTCTGCCAAACACGCTCTTCACGATCTTGCTTTTGCTCGAAGAAGCAGATTCGATCCCATCGAATTCGTTCTCGCTGTCGCTCGATAATTCAGTGATCTTGGCTACGGTAGTCTTTTTTCTTTTACCTCGAGAGGCTTTTGATTTCTTACGACCAGTTTCTCGTTCTTTGCCGGCCGACTGAGAACTTCCTGAGAATAATCTCTTGCTAGACGATTCCGTTCGAGATGTTCTTTTATCGGGGCTACTATCAATATCTAAATCATCTATCGTCTTCTGAGCTAACAACTCGGAAGGAGTTGTGATGAGAAGAGATTTATCGTCAGTGACTTCGTCCTCACTGTTTTCTGATTGCGATTCGAGCTTCGTTTCTTTTTGGAATATTTCTACCTCCGGATGTTCCTTTCCTGATTTCGTTTGTTTCTCCTCCGAAATATTTGATGGCTGCTGAATCTCGCAACTCTCAAGTTTATTTGTTCTAATAGATTCAATTGATTTCAAGTCATCAATTATAATTGATACTTTTTCAGTAATTTGCGAAGAACATTCGGTTAAAGATTCGGCTGTTGAGTTGTTTGAAATATTTGCACTCGTATCATTATCAGATTTATCCTCTGACGTAACTTTTCCATCGTCAGCGTTTTCGTTAATTTCCGATGTATCGACAACTTCATTTTTTTCTGATGGAATGTTAAAAGCAAGCGTGTCGCAATTCCTTGTGAATATATCGGCTATCTTGATGTTTGTAGATTCTACCTCTTGCATCAATTGGTCGTCAGAAGTATTCACCTTAATGAATGGAATCTCGTTTTCTTCATCAACTTTTAATTCGTCCTTCTCCGTTTCCGATAATTGCGATTCTCGAATATGATTTTTACTGGCAAGAAAAAATTCATCATTCGATTCTGAAGAATTTACCAAAGTGGTCGAAGCAGCTTTTTCAGATTCAATTTGTCCCGTTTCTTCTTTTACTACTTCGTTGCATTTTGATTTCATCGATTCGGAGGCACTAGAATCTTCTGCTTGTATTGATAAATTGGTTGCGTTTTGTACAGGATTCTTTCTAGGTCTGCCTCTACTTCGTTTAGGAGGATGAATATTTGGATTAATATGCGCCGACTTGCTAGCCTCGTCAAGATGCTCTTTAGTATGAGAAATTAATTTTTGATCCTTGATTTTTGATTCTTCAAAATTACTCGTAGCGATCTCATTTTCACTAACTTCCAATTCTCCGTGAGCAGAAGTAGCACTCGAATTTGAAACAATTCGATCTCGAATTCTCGGTCTCCCACGTTTTCTCTTTTTAGTGTCATTAGTCGACTCTGGCTTTGATTTCACGACTTCCGCGTCCTGAAAACTTTTGTTTTCAATATCAGTCGTTTCTTCTAGCGGGTCCTTACTAATTTCTTGTTCCGCTTCGTTCTGTCTCTTTAGTGAGTCATAGCTAGTTTCCATCTCGTCGTTGTTCATCTGCATAGAAACGTCTATAAAATAAATATCAGCTTCTACATCAGATTCTTCATAATGTTGAATGTTTTTATTTCTTCTCGGTCTCAGACTAAAACGAGTCGTCTCACTTGAAGTTTCACTTTCTTCCTTCTTATCGTTATCTACTTTGCCGACTTTCTTCAATGTACTCCTCGTAGTCCTCGTAGATTCTATATGTTGTTTATCCTTCATCTCGGTGTCACATAATAATTTTGAATAATCTACTTCATCGTTCAAAGATTCGACAATCGAGTCCATCTCTTTCTTCGTTTCGGCTGAATCCATAAAATGAATTTCTTCAGGTACGTCTTTGGTTTCTTTTTCTGTTTGTACGATTTCTTTTGTCGAACTATGCTCGTAAGATGGCGAAGAAGAGTTTTGTACAAGACAATTAACCGTATTTGATGCCAATTCATTCGGATCAAATTTAAATTCTTCCAAGTCGGGAGAATCCAAGAGCAAATGTTCCTCCGCCAAGTTCTTTTTCTTCTTGTTGCGCTTCTTATCGCCGCTCCTATTTTGTTCTGACTCGTCTTGTTTCTTTTGGATTTGTTTAGGAGTAGACGACGATATTGGTTCCTCTGGCGTCACTTGATCAGTCAGAACATATTCCTCGTGACTCATGTTTTCAGTGATTTTGCAAATTTCCTCGTCTAACAATTTATCTTCTAGCGTTTCCTGCTTCATTACTCCTAGATCTAGAGATTCCGTGACAACTACATAAGGAGTATAACTCTCATTCGAGGTCTTCGGAATGATTTCGTAAGCTTGACCATCGTTTGAAACACCCTTCGCATTTCGATCGCTCACTTGATCACTTTTCTCTTTATCGGTTTCTTTAACATTATCGGACTGTGTACTGTTGTTAGCAGGTTCGAGTTTATCCTTGGTAGATTTCATCTGCAAATGGGACTGCGACTGTGTATGCTTCTTCAGGGAACTGTTGCGAGTAAAACTAGTGGCACACACATCGCAATAAAATTTAGCTGCCTCCTTCGTGAGCTTCTTTCTCTTCTCTACTATTAGAATTTCACCGGTTTTCGTGTGTACTACAACAAAGTTACCTGCCGTGCGTTTCTTCGGAGCAAGAGCATCATCCAAAGAATCAAGGTTACTCGCTATTGTTTGTTCTGTGGTAGCATCTTTGTTTGATGATTTATTTGTCGATGGTGTATCATTTACTGGAGCATCATTTACTGGAGCATCATTTACTGGTGCATCATTTACTGATGCATCATTTACTGGTGCATCATTTATTGGTGCATCATTTACTGATTCATCATTTACTGGTGCATCATTTACTGGTGCATCATTTACTGGTGTATCATCTACTGGTGTATCAGCCTCGTTTTGTAATGCTGCAGATTTCTCAGCAAGTTCGAACTCTCGCTCGATACTCTCTAAAGCTTTTGTGTTCTCCAACGAAGCTTCGATATCTATTGGAATGTCGAGATCGTCCACATCAGAAAGATCGAGATGCTCATCAAGCAACGATTTAACTTTTGCCGTCTCCTCGTTTAAATTTTCTTTATCACTATTTAGTGTTATCAAATCTGCTTCTTCGTTATCGTGAGCTACGTTTTCCTCCTTTCTCTTCCTCTTAGCGAATCGCTTCCTCCTGAAATAGCTGGATTCGCTGGCGCACGAACTCTCGGATAAGTCATCCGTACTCTCAGCGTCCTGACTACGAATGCTGGCAACGGCAAGATCCTCCTCACTCGATAGCTGTGTTTTCTTGAACATGGATCTCGTCTTGACTACAGATGGAGTGAGACCGATCGAACCTGAAGAGCTTGATCTCTCGAGCGTCTTCGTGATCAATTGTTCTTGTATGTGTTCCTTGAATTCTATTTGTTCTTCGACTTTCTCAATCAAGTTAGACATCTCGTTAACTTCTGCGAGTTCTTCGTTTATCCAAGATTCTTCGGAAACAGTCTTGCCATTACAGCGATCGTCCTCGAGCAGCACCTTCTTTTTCGGACCGCGTTTCTTCACGCTCTGCAACAGATCCTTTACTTCCGGTATTTTAAAAGGTTCTAGGCTAGCAGATAATTGCTCGATAGAATCTGCGACATTAGGTCCCTCGTTAAATTTCGAAGTAACTTCGGCAGGCTCGTCTTCTGGTAGAGTCAGATGTTCATCGGCTAGTGACTTTTTCTTTGTAGCTTGTTTCCTTGTTATTTTTGAAGATGTTAAATTATCTGCAATTTGTATTTCATCTCGTTTTTTTGATGTTGTTTCTATTGTATATAAAGACTTTTCTAAAATATCATTTTCGTTAGTAATCTCGATTTTAATCTCATCAGTAAATTCCAAAGAATCTTCTTTGCGTGAAGAAGATAATAGCTCATTAATGGGCTTCACAGAAGTTTGAAGAACACTTGAAAGAGATTGTGATTTCCTCTTGGATGTACGTCGAACTGATTCGCTTGTTTGGTTTTTCTTCCGAGTTCTATCCTTAGATTTTTCGCTTTTAACAGCCTTCTTTAATGTCGAGGATTCAATATTTTCCTCGATTAATTCTATCGCTTCAGTATTAGCTTCGACAACTTCTTCGTCAGAAATTATTTTGTTAACGGCTTCTTCAAGATTTGATGTTAATTCAGCCGCTTCTTCATAAGCCGCTTCTGGGAGGTTGGCAAATCTCTCCAAATTTGATTCATCGTCTTCCGCAAGGATTTTCTCTAAACTCGACAACTCCAAGTCTTTGCTTTCACTATGTTGAAACTTCTCGACTTTAGCATCTATTTCCGAAATTTTCATGGTTTTATCTTCTTTTTCAAGCTCATGTCTAACGTTGAACATCTCTTTTTGCTTGGGGATGGACGCGATAATGTCGTCGAGTCGGAACTCTTTCTGAATATCCTTTTCATTAAAATCTTCAACGACTTCTAATGACTTTCTTTTGCTTTTCTTCGACCAGCTTGCATCCTCCAGAGATCTTTTACTAGATTTCCTTCTAGATTTTACGCCACTTTCTTTCTTTTCGAGTTTCTCTACATTTAGTTTTTGTGTCGTAATTGACGAAATGGAAATCTCCGTTAAAGTATCTGTCAATGATGATGGAGTCTCATCTGGGATCTCCATTGGAATAATTGCTTCTTCATTCGTCGCCGATTTATTCTCGCAAGATTCAACTTGCGATTCCTCAACAGACCGCATTGTATCACTCACTTGTCTATCCACAACATAATTGTCTTTTGTTTCAGCATCTGAAACATCATTTACCTTAGTTTGATTCTTGCTCTTTATTTCAATTCTCGTTGCTAAGTTTTCTTCACGATTATCTTGAATCATTAAATCCGTTGAACGTTCCGCAGTGGCATTCTTGATAATTGCATCGTTTTCCGATCGGTTTTCAGAAATGGCAATTATTGGCGATTTCTTATTGGAAGATGTACTCGTTATAATCGTACTTTCATTGTTCTCGTTCTTCGAGGCATAGCTTACCTCGCCAAAATTCGTACATTCCGTATTATCGGCCAAAGCAGGCCCGACTTCGTCAAGAATGCTGGTCAACTCGTCGGCGGCATTGTCCAGAAGGGAACCTACCTCACCCTCCAACAAAGCGTCCTTCTGCTTGGCTATCTTCGATACAATCTTCTCCAGGTAAGAACCCTTACCCTTGGATTTTCTTCTGGACAAATCGAGAATGATGTCGTTGGTCGGTGAATTTACCTTGGCAGTGGAGACTTTCGACGACGTGTCGGTCTGATCCGCAAAAGCATTTTCGTCCTGCGTTTTATCAATACAAGGACGAGCGTTCTTTTCATCATCCGCATGATGATCATTTACATTCGTCGCTACAACTTCATTCTCTGTGGATTCCTGCTCATTCCTAGCGAGAACTGTTGTCACGTTGTCCTCGCCAACAGGTTGTTGCGTGTTTCCGTTACGCGTCACTCTCTCCGGATTGTCTAGACTAGTTTGAACCGTCAGTACCTGCACGCTTTGTTCTACGGGAATGTTTATGCCTTCAGTCAGAATGCCAATAACATTGTTCAAAGATCTCTTCCTCGACGATCTCTCTCGACGCGCGCCCCACGTTTTCTTGGGTTTCGTCACCTTCAGTTTATTGTGAACATTCACTGAAGTCTCTAAAGAATTCTCCTTACCGCTATCCACTGACAAGTTGCTTGTTTCGGATTGCAAGTGACTCAGATTAAGATTCATCATCATCGAGTCACGATTGTCGCAATTGTTATTATCGCCTTCGGTTTCGTTCTTGTCGATGGTCTCTTCAAATTCCTGCTTCTTCTGAGTTTCCTTCTCGCTCGGTATGACATTCTCACTGTTATTCTGTTTTTGCGTCGCATGTGTGTTGGTTTCTTCGTCAATGGATTTGATGCGACTGCGGCGTTTCCCAGACAAACCGCTAGCTTTTTGGGAGCTACTACTTGTAACTTCCGAAGACGGCTCACTCCTGGCTTCAATCAATGATCTTCTAGTCTGTCTGCTGTCGATCTTATCCTCGATATCAGTGCTATCGATTTCCTTCGATTTCGCGTTTGCTCGAGTCTCTTTTTTGCTTTGTTGATTTCTTTCGTTTTGCGTAACATTGTTAGTCGCATCTTTGATATCCTTTTCCAAATTAATTGTTTTCACCATCTTTTCGTCGTCTTTCTTCTCAACGTTTTTCCTAGATGATTTCCTAATTGCTTCTACCTTCTCTTTCTTTCCGGCTCCTTTCGAGTTGTCCAATTCTTCATCAAGTTCTCGTGGGCTTTTATCATTTGCTTGGAGCGGTTTCGACCTTGGCGTCGATTGTCTCAGACTGCGTTTCGAGCCAGTATCGTTAGACGCGATTTCTAACGTATTCAAAAGGTCTTCTTTGCTAGCCGAACCCAAGAGCTTCTTTACTTCAAACGGGATGTCTGGTAGTTTCATAGAATCTTTTTCTATTTTGCTTTTCGAATTACTTCGCGTTTCTTTCGTTTCTTCCTTCTTTGACTTTGAATCCTTTTTAACATTGACTTCACCTTTTGATGTTTCTTCCTTGCTATTTTCGCCGTTATTAATATTCTTGGTGTGCAAAGTCTTTCTGATTTTCTTTTTTCTCTCTTTTAGCATCATCGAGTTATTTTTGGAAATTTCGTTTTCTTCAATTATCTCTTCCTTCCGTTTCGCTGTGTTTTTCGGTTCCTGTTTCGGCTTTCGTCCCCGCGTTGATTTCTGCTCCTTTGTGCTTTTTTCTGGTGCAACCTCAGTATTAGTCTCGGTATTACTTTCTTTCTCTTTCGAAACGTGCTTTGCAGAAGTTCGAAGTGTCTTCTGATCCTGAAGAGATCCTGATGATGTCACCGGCGACAAGATGGGCAGGTCGTTCGTCGATTTATCGGCATCGTCCTCGTTGGGGGACACAATTTGCATTGCTGGTTCTAAAGTCGGCATCTTGTCGCTGTCCGATGATAGCCGGGTGACTCTTCGTGGCAGCTTCACCTTGGCTTTCTTCAACTTTTGGATCGCCTTCGGCTTCAATAATTTGCTTTCGACCGAACTGACAGTCTTATGTTTTCCGTCGTCCATTTTCAGCTCTAACGATTTTGTCGGTGCTTCTTTATTCGGATTGCGAGCGAATTTACCGTCTTGCGTTCGTAACTGCGACTTCGCTTTGAGGGAGGCTTTGAGGTAGGACGTCATCGGATCCGCGGAACGTTTCCTCTTCAGGACGCCCTGCATTGTTTTCTTCTTATTCCTTATTCCAAGAACCGATATTCTTTTCTTGCCGGGACCGATGGTGCCTTTATTAGTCGTCCTCGACGTCGTTTTCGAGTTCTTTGGTGTATTCTTTGGAGAGGACGTTTCCTCACCTTTTACATCACTCTTCGTCTCCGACGAAGTACCAGTGCTCTTGAACTTTCCAGATTTGCCCTTCGCTTTTAAATTCGCCAGCTTATCGTCTTTACCTTGAAATTGAGAATTGCCTATTTTTCTCTTCATGTCGATTTTCGCCTTTTTATCAAAAATTCTAGGTCGTCCAACTGCTTTCGGACGAACGACCTTAACGTTCAAATCTAAAGTCTTACTGGCCAAGAAAACCTCGTTGATCTCTTTGGCATCCTTCTTATTCTCGTCCCCGACTTCGACATTCTTGCCGTCACCGTCCGATCTCTTCTCCGTCTCGTGACATTTTTTCACGACGCTCTCGATCACTGCAGTTATGTTGTCGCTTCGACAGCGATTCCGTTGGATCGACTTGGCATTCTTCAGCAACTTGTTCCTCAGGGCGGCTTTGTTACGCGAGATTCGTGACACGGACGAATTGTCGCCGATTATGCGTGGCCTCGTTCTGGTCTGCACCTGTTTCAACAAAGTTCAAAGGTATCACTATAACGATGATATCGAATAAATTGCATATCTTTCGTTTATAAATTTCAATTTCGTTGAGATAAAATTTTTTAAAATTCAATGAATTATTTATATTTATATTTTAATTACAATTTATAAATTTTTATTTATGAAATTTACTTTTATATATATATCATATTATATTAATTTGATAAACATACAAGGCAAATATAAGTAGAAGGAACATGTTGATTGAAAGCAAGAAGAGAAGCGTTTTTTTTGAAGAATCGAACGTTACACGACAATATAAAAATCATTTTATCTGTATATGATTGTGTGCAATCATGTAAATGTGTATTTGTGACGAGCATGTATGTCAACTAATCGATGCCTCCGCTCATGTGCGACGAGGCGCGCAGGACAATAACGCTTTATCATCGTCATTTCGACGAGTCTCGAGTTTTTCGTGTCTCTTCCTCGATTATTTAGGATATATGTGTCATCCAGATTAACATCAATATTATAGACATTTTGTTGCTTATATCATTTGTCTTGATAAAACATAAACTTGTATCAAATCCTTCTACAATTTTAATTAGTCTCATTTATTATTTCTATAGTTAACTGATTTCTTTACTCGAGATGTAAATAATAATAATAATAATAATAATAAACTGTATCATTGTCTCTCTTCAATAATCTGTAGAAAAATACAAAAAAAAAAAAACAATTATGTACAACATAATGAAGAAAACATTCTAAAATAACATTTAATTACGTGATTTTGAGATATATGAACATGTTGATTTCCATCAAAATTGCTTGGAAGACTAATATCTAATCACATTATCACAAGAGCTATATATATATAGAAAGCTTATTAACGATAGATATTACGCCATCAATATCCTAATTGAATCAGTTGGCGATAATAATCGACGCCACTAATACCCTTTACGATTCTAATATCGATCCAATTTTGATCGAGTATATTATTGAAACGAGATAGAGTCATTGTTCTGCACGATTAAGTTACTTACGTTACGTAGTTTGCCTTGTGATCGCATCGCATTGTCCTGCAAAACTTTCCTCGTGGCTCTCTTAGCCGGCAGATTGGCTAGCATTTTCTGAATACTTTCGCCTGAGAATAAGTTTGTATGATTATTGACTGTAACCTCGCATGCGGTAACGAAAATTTTCTAAGATAATTTCTTAAATATTATATTCTCTTACAAATTTAATTCAAAGTGTCTATTAAAAGATAGACGTTCTACTTTATGAAATTATTAAAATCATAATTTATTTCTTATATCTTAATTCACTTTTAAGTACCTTTGCATAAAATGTAATACGAAATAAGAATAAAATACGAGATTAAAATTAATTATGTAATTACGTAACGATCTTAAAATAATAATTAGAGGGAAGAAGCAGTAAGAGCCAGCGCAATAATTTATTAAAATAGTGTAAAATTAAATTAAAAAAGTTAAAAAATTTAAAATAATCAAAGCGCACGTTTCAATCCCTTTCTTTGGGACCAAATCTTCAATGCAATTAAAAATTGACTTAAACATTAACATTAGAAATTAACATTAAAAATACGTTAGAAATCAATTAGTACCGCCGTCCATGGATAGAATGAGTCATTAAACAGTCGAGTCTTAAATTATATTTTACAATGATAACTGTAAAATTTAACATTTAATATTTTAAATAAATCTCTATTTGCGTGTTAATTAATGCATTGATTTTTACTACTTTTTTCCTCTCTATTTAATTAAAATACGGAAATCATATCTAAGAAGTTCGCACATTTTCCAGTATCCAGTCTGCTAGTAGAAAATTTCTTACGGTCGCTCGGTCGGACCCTGGGTCCGGTCGGTGTCTGTTTCTCCTTGGGTCGTTGTTCCGCGTTGACAATCCTCGGCTGCGTCTGCGAATTTTGTATGTTCCTCTTCATGCCGCGCTGACGTCGTCGACGGCTGCGGCTGCCGAATGGCCGCCACTTGCACTTCCTCTTGCCGCTGCCGGTGAGACCGAGCAGCCAGGCGTGATCGCCGCCACATTCCAGCATATGACGATGCAGCTCAGCCACATTCAGGCAGCTCTTGGTGCATTTGCTGCACACCGTTTCCTCGAGCGTGGCATCGCGAGCTTCATCGGTGGGCTTGTTCTGTCCAGGAAGATACAGATGCGTGTAGTGCTCGCGCTGATCGCCGGTCAGCTCGAAGTGCGAGCACAGGACGCGCGGATGGGTAGAGGCCTTGTGATCCTCCATCTCCTTCAGCGTCATCTGCATCGTTACAAAAATATCGAATTCACAGATCATTCTGATGGATCGCGTCGTGTTTGCGTATCGATCGATACAAACACAAGGTTTTTCAATTGGTGTAAATGAGATTAGTGCGAGCTTGAGCTTTATACGGTTTCTTGCTTTTTCTCGAAATTTTTTATTTCCAGATATGACTGATCCGGAATCCGCTTAGGCGGAAGGCTTACTAGATGATGTGAAAGCTGAATAGACAGTTATTTTTATGTCACTGACATTACATGAAAATAAAAAGTTCTATTTTAGCGCGTTATATTAGATTGCATTAGATAATCTATTCATTCCGGTGACTCGTAATAAATCCATCATAGAAACAGAGTTGCACGAATGAGTTGGCGATTTGAACGAATCGCCACAAGCATTTACCATTCAGTTCAGAATGTATCGCGTGAATGTCAAAGATCAAGTACGCTACTTGATAAATTATCTAGACCGCATTCGCACCAATTGAAAAGCACCGTCCGCCACGCGACAGTAACATCTGAAATCATCTTAAAGGCTTGTGTATATATAAGCTTGCATATTATAATTTATAGTATATATCACATCTTATCTAATCGCTATATCCGCAATTGTACATCTCTTTAATCATTGTTGCATATCTTGCGTTTAGCTCGATTCGCAAATTTCGTCCGACATATATTTTTATTACAAATATTATCGTAACATACACAAATTAGATTTTTTAATTATATTTCGTAATACATTTAATTAAAATTTTTATTTGTTTATTAAAATATATTTAAAGAGAATAGAGAAAGACAAAATTTTTTAAAATAGTCTTGATAATAAAAAAGATTAATAGTACCTACGTATAAAATAGTCTTGATATTATTGCTCCAGCTGATGTTTTGACTATTGCAAAAGACGAGGCACTGAGAACAAAAGGCAGGGTAAACGTAATAAAAATCACATTTACCCGAAATAAAAACTGAAATTTAAATTATTGTATACAATATGATTGTGGGATTTTTTCAAAAATGTTTTCTCTATACCTGACTTCTCAGCACCTCGAATATTATAAAGAAAAAAAATATAGAAGCTCTATATAAAATAATATACACACTCACGTGTTTGGAACCACAAGCGCCGCATATATAGATTCGTGTTCGCGACCACTCGCCACTCAGCTCCGCGTAGATAATCTTCTCAATATTGGCCTCATTACCGCTTTGCTCCCGCCTGTTTAGTCTCATAAAATCTGCGAACTCAATGGTGAATTCCGTAGTAATAAACGATTTCGTTGAACGCGACGATAAAGTTGCCGCGGACAATTCTTCCGTCGTCTCCTTCTTGATCTCGCTTAAAAGCGATTCGCCAGGATCGCAAGAGACAACGTCGAGAATCGCGGAAGCCGCGTCGACGCTGCAACCTCCATCGACATTATCTTGATTACTCGCTGCCGGTTCGACGACAGATTCAACATGCTCTCCATCGCGAAGAGATACTTCAGTGGTTTCGCAAGACATTAACGGGATTTGATGTAGCCTATTAATGGTGAGGCGTTCCTTGATCAGCTGCTGTTTCTTCCGAAGTGATAATTGCGTAGAGATGTCGAACTTGTTGAGGTCCTTGATCGAGCACGTCCACTGTTCCCTGCCATCGTACTTGCGCGGGAAGTTGTACTTCTCAAAGGAGACTCTGCGCGGACGCGAACCGCTACTAGTTTTACCGGCTTTACGCGCGTACTCGCTCGAGTTTTCGTACTCTTCGCCGGCCGAGTAGTCCTTGCTGTAAACCGGCGTCGCCGCGGTTAGCGAGATATCAATAGGTGATTGAAATTGAACCTGATTGACGCTATGCTCGTAATACGATTGTTGCGGTGGTTGTTGTTGCTGCTGGGATTTTAATTCCGTCATCATCGTTGTCGTTGTGCTAGAGACGGTGATGGATGATGAGCACGCTGACGAACCGCCAATCGTCTGCAGCTTGCCGTCCAAATGGTGTAGCAAGTTCTCGCGGATATTGCAGCTCACATTGCTGTAAAAAGAGCTGTCAAACTCTGGGCTGGCCGGGTTATCAATGGAATCCCGGGTTGCGATGAGTTTTGTCCGGGTGCTGTCTAACTGTCGACTGTCACCTTGACTTGTCTCCAATTCCTTTTCTTCAGATATTCTCTCTTTGACTGATGGTACGTTCACCTTCTCGCGATTGTAAAATTCCTTGCAGGGCGAACCTTCTTTGATTTTCTCCTGAAAAAATGCTTCTTTTAAAATAATATGAAAACGAATTGTTCGGATGCCTTAAATTTGGAGGCTTAAAATTGAATGTATAAAAATTATATTTAATTAAAAAATTAATAATTATAAAATTAGATTAGTAATTTACAATCTATTATAAAATTACAAAAACTTGACAACGGTCATTATGAAACACAATTATTTAATACAACAGTTGCATAAAATAAAAAAAGAAAAAAATAAGAAAAATTAAGAAAAAAAAATAATTCTTAAAAATAAATAAATATTTAAATGTAGAATAATATCAATAATATGTTTAGGACTTAAGTCAAAAGTAAATCAACAAAAAGGAATGGAAGACTAACAAACTTTGAAAGATTTAAGTGATCTTCAGCAAAATAAACACTGAGCAAAGTTTGAATGTAGATTCTATATTCTATTCTAGAACACGTGAACAGAAGCTGCGCTGCTCGTTGATTTTCCATGATATTTACCTGAACTTGACTGGTGGACCTTTCCGTATTTCCGCTATGCGTCTCGTTCACGTGCCCCGTCAGAGCTTCACGAGTAGGATACCTTGTTAAACATTGAATGCACGCATGATACTTGTCTCCATGGTTGCTGATCATATGCTGGAATAGCATTTCCAAGGTATCGGCGCACTTCTCCGAACAATATTGGCAATTCTGAGAAGGTTTGCGCGAGTTTCTTTCCGATCTTCTACCACCGAGTTGGTGCACTCTTTCCGTGTGTCGCTGTCGTAGAGATATAGAGGAGAACTTCCTATCGCAGTAGAGACAAAGGAGTCTAACTGGTGGACTGGTGCTGGACGATGATTTCGACTTTTGCGTCGACGGAGCATTCAAAGGCGATCCTGAAGAGAGTCGCGAGGCCATCGATTCGCTAGTCTGACAATTTTGAAGCACGGACGCGACCTTGTCCAAAGGTAAACTGCAGTGCAAGCTCTTCGTGGTTGATTCCTGAACTTTCAAATTCGAATCTTTGATGTCCTCTACCTTCGATTCAGCCGTGTCGCTAACTTCTTTTATTTTCTCGCATTCTTCGACTCTCTGTTGGCTTTTCTGATTATCAATCGTTAAATGAACATCATTTAACAACTCATCCAGTAATTCTGTGCAGATCGCTCGCACCTCCATGTTTTCCGAGATGACGTGTTCATCACGTCGGTCTTCTCCTCTACCGTCGTCGACGTTTGCTCTCTCTTCAACTTGATGCTCGCTTAACCTGTCCATTATGATTGTGCCCAGTGTTCGATTTTCCTTTTTCTCTCTCGAAATGTCTCGGTCATTCTCGAGCGACTCTTCCTTTTCGATGTCTAGATGTTCTTCCTCCGTTCTCGAAGATAGTTCCTTTGAATCCTGATTAAGTTTAACTTCCGAAACTTCTATACTCTCTTCCATCGCTCCCTTTGTATTCGAACAGTCTGCCATCTTAGAAGATTCGGCATTTCCGATCTTTGAGGAATCCTCCAAACACGGCACCGCGGCAGCCTCGATATCACCTTCGTTCGAAGACTCGGACTTCGTACCTGTCGGATTCTCGTCGTCGTCAGCGTCTTTTCTGCGTCTCTCCGGTTCCTTCGTATTTTCTACGCTCTTTCCCTTGTCCTCCTCCTCATTGTCCTTGATCACACCATTCAACACCGTCATCACGTATTTCTCGAGCGTCTCTAGATTTCTCTCGACGCTGTTGCGATCGTCTTCCTCTTTCCTCGCTGACTCCGCGTTTCCCTTAGCAGTTCCGTCCGGCACCTTCTTACGCAGGTTGTTAATGACATTACTCAGTCTCGATCGTTTGTCCTGGGCGGTCTGCGCCGATTTGTAAGCGTGACCGTATCGCTCCTGCTGTTGCTGCTGACGATCGCCGTTGCTACCTGTCGCGTTGGCAGAATGGTTGACGGCCAGATCCTCTAGGCTCTGCATCGACGCCACCATTCTGTCGGAAGACGACGTCGCGTCGGATATCGAATCAGAGATGGTGGCCAACTTGGCTGTGTGATAAGCCTCGATCGTGTCGTCGTTCGGTGTCTCGCTACCAGCTACGGCCGCCTCTAAAAGGGATTCTCATTGTAATCGTCGCTATTCATGCAAAATATCTTGTTTCAAGAGAAAACATATGTCAAATATTTTATGTCGATTAAATCGTGAAAAATTTGCGGAACCAGACAAGGGATTTCCGATTTGTTACAGCTTTGTGGGGAGTCTTTGAGAGAAATATAGCTTTATTTTTAGATAAAAAAAAAAATAAATTTTATTTTTATTTTTAGAATACAAAAGTAATTGTTCGAGTACGGACGGAACAAATCGTTGCCATCAAAAAGCAATCAAAATGCGATATATATGGCTATTTATTTATTTAAAGCTGACCAGGTGTCATGGACTTTCGTATATATAAATTCGTCACGATGAATGCTGTTTAACTGTTAAGTTTAACTCTCTCCATTCTTTTGCACTGATAAATTTGGACTGAATCAATTTTTCATTAATCATTATTTCTTTTCAAATTAGTATATATAATTTTAGAAGAAAAAGAATTTAAAGAGATAACTGTTATCTTCATATATAGTATATCTAAATAAGTGCGAGAAATTTTAGGAGATGATTCTTTGTCGAAAATTAAAGGGTGGGGTTCTTATATCTCCCTGAGGAATTAAACTTTGCTAAAGAGGGAGGTAAAAATTAAGTTTTTAATTTTTTTCTCTTTCAGACAAATTAAAAAAATTAAACGAAAAATATCCACCAAGTTAAGCCATCTAAATTTTTCGCACTTATTTAGATACACCCTGTATATAAAGTTAATTTAGATTTATCACGCCGAGGTAATTTTCGTTTTAATTCTTTCTCTTCTAAAATTAAAATCACAGTTCTGAAAAAATGACAAAAAGTTAAACTGCAATCAGCATAGATTGAAAATCTTTGTTTTACAAAAGAATGCTTCATATTGTTGAATATTCTGCTGTTATTTTCTTTGTCTCAATCTTGTTGATGTTATTGCCTCATTCTCCGCGTAAATCCTTTGGTTCTTCGCCATTTTGTCGAGAATGGAAAAATACAAATACCGTTTCAGAGAGAAAATGAGAAAGAAAGAAAGAGAGCGCTCTTCGACTATATCTCTGCCGACACTTTTTTATCCGGAAGTCGGGGAGAAGGGAGGCTGCGAGAATCGATAACCGTCCCTCTGCCATGTTGAAAGGGGTTACTGCTGTACGAATAGCGTGTGCTCCAAGGGGGAGAAAAAGAGAGATGGATGCGTGTATACACACACACATACATACACATACACAAATACAAATACCTACATGTACCATAGCCCCTGACAACAGCCCCGAGGTGGTAAAAACCGGCCGGCTTAGTTGATACCTCTGCGACAATCTCTTCGACTATCCGGTTCGTTTTACGAAAGGCGTCGACAACAATGATAATTAATGGTTTGTCTATCGAGGCTTATTAACTTATATAAAATGAATATACGCTCCGTTATATAGGTATATATATATGTATATATACGGTATCCCCACCCACATAATATCGATTAATTTCCCATCTACCTCTTTTGAATTTTCCTCCTACTTCTACATGGTTTCGTGACACAGTAGAGTGGGACCTTATCATTGTTCAAATTGGGAGCGAATCGATTAGGAAAGATTCCGTGGAATGTAAGGAATTTTCGAAAGCAACCATATCAATAAAGAAATATATTTTTTAACTAAACAATGTTTATTTTTTCATGTCAAAGGAATACTTTCTTCTTTTATCATATTTAATCTCGAGTGAGTAATTTTCACTGTTGTCTCATCAAGTATATACATGCATATATATGGTAAGTAATCAAGCAATAATAAAGTCATTTACTTGATATTAAAACACAGCGGGACGTTGTGTAATTTCATTACCTTCATAACGTAAAAGCTCATAAATAAAATAAAATATACAGAAGCCTATATTATATTGTAATCAACATTAGAAAGAAAATTAATTCTCAAGTGGAAGTATACTATAATTCGGCATTTCCATTTGCTCGTATTTCTCTCGGAATAAAAATTTCTCAATCTTCTCGTAATACTTTTAATGGCAAATTATGTTATAGAAAATTTTGCGAAAGATGAAAATTATATCCAGAAATTATTAATTTCTCTTTCTCTCTCTCATAGAAATTTTCTTCTCTTGAAAATAATCCTAAGAGTAATTTTCTAAGAGAAATAATCTCGGAAGAATTTTCTGAGAAATTTCTTCCTCGCGAGAAACTCCTTTCGGGAAAATTTCGCGAAATATTTTTCCTCTCAAGAGTGCTAGAGTCATTTTCTCTACATCAAATTTCTAATAAGATTAAGTAAAAGACGCAGTATTCTAACGCAGACAAATATAGACGATTACAAAAATGACTGCCAAGACGAAGATTTAAAAGATTCAACGTGAGAATTAAATCGGATTAAATCCATGGATTTATAAGACCCTTTTGAAGGAAACTTTTTGCGGAGTTACATAGAAAAAAATGTCTTACGAGAACTCTGACTTCGCCCAGAAATTTCACCCATCACAGAGATCCCTCTTTCGTCTCTAATCTATAGAAAGGGGTCGATGCAGCTATCGCTCGCGGCGTTTATCAGCGTGATTTACCGACGCCGTTGCAGTTGCATCCGAGAGCAAGTTCGATAATTGCTCAGCCGTCGTCGTCGCCACGGCGATTATGATCTCGACCAGCGTGACTACTTTCAAAATCCCGTGTGCGTTATGTTTGTATACAGCTCGAACTACCGCGGGTCTCCGCGCGCGGATGACGGATATATGCGTTGCGCAATGCAACGGAGCGCAATCGCGAAGCGAGAATATACGCGTACGCATGGAGGGACACCGATCACGGCCATCGCATCGAGGTACACGGACGCCGTTATTACGTGTACGCCGTGATGGTGATGCGATGTGTACGAGGCGTGATATAAGGAATAATCAGCGAAATTAAGAGCTTTTTTCCGCACAGCGTACGTGTCGGTTTAATCAGCGAAACGAGACGAAAGATGTCGCGAGCCGAAGCTTCGAATTCAATTATTTTCAGGAACAAATATGACAATATGTTATATATATATCGCAGTCAATACGTATATAATTGTTGAAAAAAAAAAAGAGAATTTTCTTAGAATTTATCCTGAAAATCATGGTAATCGTGTGAAGAATTTTATGAGTTTCTCTGATTAATATTTAGCACGATAAAAATATTAATATCTATCGTAATATATTAATCAGAGAAACTCTTATAAAATTCTTCCAATGCCGTATTGTCCCACGATTTTCAAGATAAATTCTAACAATAAGAGAAGATTCTGTTTGCGTGTAAGATTTTATATACAGATATGAGATGTACTCGATGTTTTTATTAAAACAAGAATTATTTAAAAAGACCTGTGATGCATGTTGATTCGTTCACGTTTCTGAGACACGCACTTTGCAAATGAGAAATTACCTCTTGAATATACATCCTTCGCAAGATGCAAACATCGCTATTACATCGGGATCTTGAAAACAATCGTTACGCCATCATAATCCGGTCGTATTCAGGTTTATAGTCGTGTGTACAAAAAGGGACCAACAATTGAATTGTGAATTTTATGTGGGATAAAGTTCGCGGAATTGTCTATGTATGTTTGTGTATGATATCCCTTTTCGTCTTATCAAGTTTGTTGATTTCTTTTTCGAACAAAACAAATCTCTGAATTTGCTCGGTATATTCTCTGTTTTCCAAAAGAAAAATGATTCTGAATTATTAGAGCGTGTTTTCTTCGTATCGTACCTTCTAGTGTGCAACTTTTTTTCGATAAACGTATAATGACGATATTATTGATTCTTAGTAAGAATTTTGCAGCTTATTGTATGTATAAAAGATTGTGTATGAATATTTCATTTCGCATAAATATATTTCCTCAAGTAAATTATTAATATTGCCGTGCGTATTAATTTTTAACGGTAAAATATCTGACAAACTTAAATGAATTTTTCTTTTATCTAGAATTTACATAAAGATAAACGTGCAACAGGTTTCGTTAATTTTATTCGTGTGTTAAATATTTTTCCGATCGTTCAGGTGGTTTCACAAAAATATTCAGGGAAAAAAAATCTGCTAAAAAATAGCACAAAAAAAGTGAAATCGACGAAATATGATAGCAAAGATATGCGACACTTTGTGTCTCTAAAAGAATTATGATACTGACGTGGCACTAATCCCTAAATTGATGACAAGAGATATCTTTTGTACCTGTTTTCTTGTTAGAAAGCGCAGGTTCTTTTTCTTACAATTTTACAAAAAATAAACCGGACAAAATTACACAATGCGTGTTATTTTAAGATTTTGTATATAATTATATAAATTTCTTTTTAATATTAAAGTATACAGACTCACCTCTGCTTGGTGCCGGTGGAGCCCTTTTCGGGGTGTCGTCGGCAGAGGGTGTCCTTTCCCTCATCCTTACCCTTGGGATCTCTTAGCACCATTATTTAATTCTGAAACAAATAAGAAAACAAACGAATGAATTAATAATATTGAAAGAAATATTATTATTTCTTGGTAATATTTTGTGTTCTAATTAAATCTCATTGCACAAAATAATAATAGCACGTTTATGTAATTTTGGAAAATAAGAGAAAAAGACATCAATTAATTGAGATTTATATTTCACAAGTGTAATAGTGTATATAAAAAAATAAGATGCATGACAAGGATCTGTAAGACTTCAAGTCTCTCCATTTTTATCATTTAATTAATATTTTCTCTCACTTTTGCTTTCGGTGTGCTATTATACACATAATGAGTAATAAAAATGATGTTTATTTTCATCTTTTCTTTGTTTACTCATAAACCAGTTATAAATAAGATACGAAGCAAAAAGTGGCTCGATGACCCAGTGGCGTTCTTGATTATCGCGCAGTCTTGCAAAAATTAGTCTGCATTTTAATGATTTTAAAAAAATGGTAGTCTCGATACGTTCGCTTCACTAGTCATACGGAAGTTTCATAGTTATACGAACGTGAGAACAGAGATTCGGCGAGGGTCAAGAAGAAAGAAGGCGGAGAAAAAGAGAAGAAAAAAAACGAGAAGAGGGCAGGGAGAAAGGTGTTTGCCTTCACCGAGGATCGAGAGTCGATTTTCGAGACGACGCATCTCGGCTCTGCCAGTGTCAAGAGAAAATCTTTTCAAAGAATATAAATAGAAAAAAAATGCAAAAGGAAAATAGAACAAAGATTTCTCGCTGCATATTATCAAACATATATTCTTCTGAGAATAATGTGCAAAAAATAAATGAATGGTGCAGAAAATAAATGAATGGAAATCCTACAAAATAGGATTTAAAGAATGCAGGACAAAAGAGTAAAACGATACAAAATTAGTTTTACCAAGAATATATGAAAATTGATGAACAATAAATAGATAGTAGAATAAACAAATAGATCGGCGGAAGAAATCAATGTAAAATACGAATAAATATACAAATGTCGGAGAGTTAATATATATTCATTGAATAAAAAAAAAAAAAAATTAATTAAATCTAAAAAATTCCATACTTTCTCATACAACTATCAACTATTGAATTCCTATTTAAGCTCTTCCTATTAAAGCTGTATTCTTACAACTTTTACAATTTCAAAGTTTCACAGACTTCTAAATTAAAGAAGCCCTTTGAAAAATCGCATTACGCAACATAGCATATATGTATAGAGAAAACACGAGATCGCAACTCAAAAGTGAACTCGACAGAAAGGAAATAATGATGACACGCGATATATTTTGCGTTCACCGCGAAAGTCTGACAATAAGAATGATTCGTGCATAAATGGCGATTAAACGATCAAAATTAAGCAAAAGGTGAGATGTGAAAAAGAGTGGGAAGTGCGAGAGAAAGAGAGAGAGAGAGAATCGGCCATCGGGGAGAACCGCCCCGTGATCTGGGTGGAACTTAAAATATCGAGCGTCACGCACATCGACGCTGGCGCCGGAAACACGGAAAACGCGGCGTCGCGACGTCGAGAAACCTGGAAATAGAACTTGGACGCTACGCTACGAGGAAAGGGAGAAAAAGCACCGGTTGTCACCTCCGTTGAAATTTCCCGCAGGAATCGCTGGAATTTTCAACAGGTAAAAAATTGGAAATTCCGAGCTGCGCCGCGATCTTTTGTTTAATAATTGCTCGGAAAATCCCTCGTAAAAAATGACCGGACTGGGTATAGAGGGGCATTGAAGGATCACTTGTCAATTTCGAGTGCATCGCATCAATCATTACGCTACAAGGATAATTATACTAGTGTCCTTGTTGATGCGCGAGACTTAACGAGGGATATCGTGGACGAGGATGACAAATATTGATTTCAGCTTGGATCGCGCTGACTAATTAATCGATTTTCTCGAGATATCGATATTTCGTTGATATAAATATTGATGTATGTGACGAGAATCGAAATACTTTGTTATTAACGCAAAAAGATGACGCCAGCAAAAGGATTATAGTAATGCTTTCAGCAAGAATACAGCTAGCTGTAAATCGATACTTTCTATTTCATTGATACCTTTTACATATTTCCATAAATATTCACTTATTAATATTTTGATAAATCGAGAAAATGACTATCAAGATTAGATTTAAGACAGTTCATGCATGCTGCGATTTAATTTAGTTTTTATTAGAGAGAAAGTTATTATATGTATTCATATAATCTTCTGTACACCCAAGTGATTATAATTTGGTGATAATTAACCCTTAATTGTAATGATTTATGAGAACGATAATAAAATATGTTAAATAAAATATAATAAGAGAAAGAAAAAGAAATCAAATTTTTTATCTTTCTCTTTTATCACCTTTGTTAAGTTTGAATCGGCTTTAAAGTCACAATATACACACTTATAAGTCCAGAAAAATATTTTTCACCTTATTACTAGTCAATTAGTTGAATATTTGTAAGCTTAATCGACGTACAAACTTTTTTGCTTTCACTAGGAATGTTGATAATCGCATTTCAGAATAAAAAAGTTAATAAAAATTCATTTTACGACCTTATCTTTTTAATTTTCCTTTCGTTTCACTTTTAGAAAATCCAACGTTAGTACTCTATATAATATAGCTTTTATTGTTGTATGTTTTTATTGCTGAAAAATACATAACCAGATTTATGATATTCTGTATCATATTAATGTAATATTTACGACAATATCTCTATAATTACCGAGAAATATCAATAATTAAATGTCTCGCCGATTATGATAACGACAAATTAATGTAATTTTATACACATTTCATATAAATTTTTTTTTTAAATCACATTAATTTGCTATCAATTGTCGATATTAAAAGCAATGTTTTTACATTATTAAGATAATGAGCAATGAGAAAATAAAATGAAGATTATTATGTTTATATGTAATAATACTTGCCATAAAATTATCATTAAAGAATAACAATTGGTACATAATGTATTTTTTCTATGTATATTTAGCATCTAGAATTTAAAGTAATCGCGATTGCGTTCAAATTCTATTTTTGACTGATATTTCTTTTCCATTAAAAGTATTAAGTAAATTTTTCCAGTTTATATTAAACTACGAAACGATCATGCGACTTATCGATATTATTCGAGGAAAAAGGAGCTGCTGAGAAAATATTGACATCCTAAAGATAAAATTATCTCGGTATTAATTTTGTCGAATTATCAATACGAGCAGGACTCGTATTTAAGTAATCACAGATTATGAATTCGTCGTTATCTTCGATGATAACAATGTTATCGAAATATGTATTAATTTATTTTCGATTATGGCACAAAGTGTATACTTTTTCGTTGCAGTATATAAAGTTGCTATTTTCAGATTAACAAAGACAAACGCGAAAGAACAAATTGGCCATCAGAAATTTCATTTTTTAAATATATTTGCATCATAATGTATGTACACAGAGATATGGTAAATAATAATTTCTTCTAGTATATATATGATAATATATAATAATATTAATTTATTATATTAATACATTTTGCGTGAATAATTTCACATAGATAGGTCAAACTCATTATCGGGCTTTGTTGTTCCAATTACGATGATTAATTTTATAAGGGATTTTATATACATATATTTGTACAATCTTAAAATATCTTTTTCATTTTTCTGTTTTTCTTTTTTTCCTTTAAATCGGGATTTTGAAAAATATTGACGATCGAGTACTCAATTAAAATTTTACGTGAGAATTAATGTATTAATAAATTATAATTATTCAAGTTATGTAATGTATACGATCATTTTTCACGCTTCAATCTTTTCTGCAAAAACTATATATATATAAGAACCTTATAATATTTTTCTTTTACTTATTGTTAGTGAAATTTGTAAACGCGCGTTTTTCATAGAATGTAATAAATCTCGGCGAAACTGAAATGTTATTTTGAAAAGTTTGAAACAACTATAACTTTTTCTCGCACATTTCTTATGAGTTTTTCCGCTTCTTTTCAACTACCTATACCTACAAAGTGCTTCGCCCGCGACTCTGGCGATCGATCGATCGAATATTTCCATGGTAATGTAAATGTAATCCAAACGTGTATAATTAATACTGTTTATTCTGCGTTATAGAGCTCGTACTTGTTGATATGTCTATTTTACCTATATCCCGTTCTTTAACTCTCTATCATGAATCTGTCAATTGCTATTATATGACATGAACATAGTCTATTCTGAAAAGGGAAATTTTCTGTGAACAGTCTGTTTATATCCAACAATAATAATCGGCATGCTCAATTTGAGAGGTAAGTGTATATATGATATATTTAACAGATTTATTATTCTAAACAGTGCATACATTTTTTCTTCGCAAGGAGGTAAAAATATTACCGTTTTGCATCCAAGATAATATATAAATTAAAAGAAATACATATAGTATCTGCACACGTAAGATAACCACAGCGATATAGTAAGAAGATGACAATGGCACCGCGACAATTTACATGTAACTACCGCAATTGTTATTGAAAAATCACCATTTGCAATTACAAATTCGCCGAGTGACGTCAATACGAGAACTCACGCGCGGGAGAAGTAATAGAGTAAAGTTTGATAGAAAATTAAGAATTAATCAAAATTAATAAAAAATTAAGAATAAAAATGAAGAATTAATGAAAAATGATATCTCGATAGAGAATGATGAAGAATTCCAATTGATCGTCCTTTAAAAAAAATAAATATTTTACGAAACGTAACTCTATCTTTACGCCCATATTTGCACTCTTGCATTCTTTCGCATTTCGTTTGCACTTGAAAGGCTAAAATATTACGTAATCCGCGTGCTTGTGCCCTCTTCGGACAACTCGATCCTAGTTTAGATCGAGAGTTCGGTGAAATGCGGAGTCGCAGGCTAAAGCGAGATCGCCTCAGTCGTTAGCCTCGCTAACAAAACGGTGAAACGGTCTCGCAAACATCGCCTCGTGTGCCTCCGCAACGCGGCGAGTCCAGTTGACCTACTTGCAGCGACGACGTCGACGTCGACGTCGCCGGCATCGGTGCTCGCCGTCGTCGTGCCGACGCCTCTCTCGCTAAAGAGAGAAAGAGAGATCCGATCCCGCGAGTCGTTTTCTAAGCTCTCGCACTTCAATTTCTTAACGTCATCCTGACGTCACATCGCGGACCGCGTCACATGCCGACGACTTTCATAATACGTATACACTGTAAAAAAAAATGTAAAATTACATAAATAATAATTGTAAAATTGCACGATAAATAAAATAATGAAAATGTATACACTTTTATTATTTATCGTGTAATTTCACACTTATTTTTATGTAATATATATTACATATTTTTTTACAGTGCGTACAAACACGGAATTTTTTCTTCGAATTTACCCTAAAAATCATGGTAATAATATTGAATATTTTTTATTGTAGGAAATAATAATCAGAGAAATTTTTATAAAATTCTTCCAATACCATATTGTACTCGCACTATTACAATGAGAGATTTTCGGGATAAATTCTAAAAGAGAAAATTCTCCCTGTGTATGTATGTATCTTGTTGTCAGATGTGTGGATGCATGTTTCGAAAAGCCTCTGCTGCTTAAAATCGATATCGTTAGCCTCGCGTTTATTTATTTATTTATTTTTGGTCGTATTCATGAAATTTCGAAACCAATTCGTATCGCAACCTCGAAATAAGTTTTATGGATTTTAGCGGGAAAAATATTATAATTCGCGATCGATAAAATTTCTTCACTGGCTTTTTTTTAAAGGTGAATGTGCGTAACTGTTTCGAGAATTTTTTCGTTTATTAATTTGCGATTTTAATACATTTTATATCTCATTCTTTAGAATTTCCACGGATAGTTTTATTTTTTAATGGATAATCGTTATTATGATAATTGTGTGTATTTTATAAGACGTTGTCTTCCTTTCCATTTTTGACATAAAACGTAGTTATCCTAAGTCGTGCTCTTGCATGACATGAGAATCGTATTCAATGTTAGTATAAGATTCACTTTAACAGACATCTTGGAGTAAAATGAGACATGTATATTCATGATTATCTTGGTGCACGATATAACTTTGATTTTTTTTTTCTTTACAGCTAATCGTAAAAAAATATTATTACTACGATATTTTAGAACAAATCTAGATTATATGTATATATTAAAATCCTTTAGAAATATAATTCATTCTTTTCAATATCTTTTCCCCTCTTCTTCTCAAAGCGAAAATATTATTTATACGTTCTCAAAGTGAGAAATATTACGTACATAAATATTATATACACGTTACCGTAATTCGGTTTCGTGGAAGACTCAAACGCAATAAAGTTCCGCGTAAAAAAAATAAAAATAAAAAAAAAAACCGTGAAAGAAGAGAGATATCGGGCTCCGCGAATTTGATGCTGGTGTGAAACCTATTTTTCTCTTTTTCTGATGAGAGACTGAGAAGCACTGCTCGGCCGGCAAGATTGGTCACCGTCCCTCGTAATGTCGTGTATATAACGTGTAAAACGTGTATGTGAATTCACAAAGCGAGTGTGTCCTGATTCGCTTTTTAACCCTTCACGATCTTGCGTCGACATAGAAAAAAAACTCCATAATGCAACGCGAGATATGGACAACAGGTTTTTTGCCAGATGATGCGATGCGCGATTTATAAATTATAATTTTAAAATGCTTTTTTTTCTTATAAAAAAACGATACATAAATATAATGACTTATTAACATTTCACACGCAATGTATATCTTGAGATAAAAACAAAGTTGATCGATTCATCGTAGATTTCTTGCAAAAAGTTTGTTCCTTGAAGACGAAATATAGAAGATAATATTTATTAATATTAAGTTTCTTGTAAATCGCGTAAATTACAACTTTAACCATAAAAAATGACAAAGATAATCATCCTTAGGATTTAGAAATATATATATATTACAAGTCGAGTAATTTTACAAAAATATTAGCCTCAAATTGGCCAAAAAAACTAGTAATCTACAACAATAAGATATAAAATACGTTCGATTAATTTTACTGTAGTAATTATATGTACATATTAATTTTTTTATGGTGGTAAATATTAATGATTTTATCCTATAAAATTTTTCCAATATCATTGTCCCACAATTACCATGATTTTTAGCGTAAATTCTACGAGAAAATTTTAGCTGTCCCTAATATTACAACCTGAAATTGAGTTATCATGCCTTAATTTTAACTAATATTTTTAGCTAGTTAAATGAAGATTAGGCATGATAACTAAATTTCACGTGTAATATATTGATAGTTAAAATTAAGCTGTAGCTAATTTTTTTTTCTTAATATGAGACTATTAAAACGAATTATCAGATTAAATATCAAATAATTAAAACTTTGGGAACATTATAAAACTGCCAAACGTTAACTGAACTAATTATTGACCGACTTTAACCACAAGTAAAATTATTTGTATTTCAGTCATTTCGCTGCTGATTAATTCTTAAGTTTGCGACTTGTTAGTTTTATTTATGGGGAAAATTATCGGTATAGAAATGATATATTGAGAGAATTTTTTTTTAGAATTTATCCTGAAAATCCTAGTAATCGTGGGATAATATATGGTATCGGAAGAATTTTTAGTTTCTCTGATTAATATTTCGAGAATGTTTTCGTTTATTAATTTGCGATTTTAATTAACATTTTATATTTCATTCTTTAGAATTTCCACGGATATAGTTTTATTTTTTAATGGATAATCATTATTACCTATGATAATTGTGTGTATTTTGTAAGACGTTGTCATACTAAAAATATGAATATCTACCACAATAAAATATAAAATATGTTCGCTTAATTTTACTATATGTACGTATATTAATATTTTTATTACGGTAAATATTTTTAATCAGAGAAACTCTTCTATCGGAACTCTTCCAATACCATATATCGTCCCATGATTGATAATATTTTCGGGGTAAAAGTCTAAGGGAAGACTTTCTCCGTGCACAAATGCCGGAGAGGAGCTTCCGAAAAGGCCGGTGGACGGAATGAACCACCATGTTAGCGTCAACTTGCGGGAGGGAGGCCACATCAGGCTCGTCCTACTGCGCAGTAACAATACCGAAAAGCTTTCTTCTTTCACTTAATGACACCGAAATCAATCGCTAGGGTCCTTAATTAAAACATTAATTCCATTCAAAATATTTTACAAAATGATCTGTCAAGAGCGAAGGTTCAGAGAACTGAGGAACCCAACCGAGCGGAGCTAAATAAAATGAAGACTGCGACACGGGAGGGAAGTTTTTTTGACTGCTAACAGGTTGAAAGAAATATAGCGAGAAGAGCTTAAAATAAAGAAAGAGAGAGAAATATTATCCGACAGATCCCGCGGTTTGTAATTATTTTGACATTATCGCGAGATATGACACTGTAACTGTTTTCTCTTCTCGCGCGGAGACGAAGTTGTTTCACGATTGCTTTATTGCTTTCGATTTTCTACCTCAAAGTGAAGGAAACATGACTCATATAGCACTGTTCCACCCAACGAACTCATCCATCTTCACGGTGCACTTTTACGATACGATCAATCGTCTCTCTCTCCCCGGAATGCTGCGTTTTCTTCCGTGGCAACTGTTACGCGACACACTTATTTACTTCCTCGCCTTGCGCTTCCTGAAAATTCGACGCTTCTGCTTCTACACGAAGACTAGGTTTATTTCGTCCTCTGACTAGGTTTATCTCGAATCATTAGCCCGAAGTGTCAATCATTCGAAAAATGTTGCAGGTCAATTTCCCAAGTCAATTTCTCCCGAGGAATGTGTTTAGTCATTCACGAAAAACTCGTTCCAGCGAGAAATCTTCCAATTCTTGCACCGCGATTTTCCTGGTCAAATTAAAAATCGACGGACACGAGAGACAACTTTTTTCTCCAAAATCGATACTTCCGGAAGTATACATATACGCGTTGCATCATCTCGCGCGTTTGTCGAACGTGTCTCACGTTGCTCCAAGATTTATTACAGATCCATTTTTCGCAGAGAGAGAGAGAAAATTCGCCCGACGACTCGAGAACAAACGGGACTTTCGCGTTCGCGACGGAAGCAGAAGCGCCGGCTCGACCGTCGGCTCGAGAAAAGGGCCACGTTCGAGGAGAGAGAGACAGAGAGAGATAGAGAGAATCGATAGATGGAAAACCAGCCGCGATTTCGCAATCTCTCGGGAGGAGCGATCGTTGTTTTTCCGCGGAATACGCGCCATAACGATCCTCGACTAGAGATCGAGAAGTCGGTATTAATATATGCGGGAAGGAGTTGCAAAATGGAGAAGGGGAACCGGGTAGAGATTGTTATTGCAGGAGCAGTTGGGCCTCTCTTCCTCTCCTCGAGGCTACATATATAATGCAGTTCTCGTAAAAAATAAAAAAAAAAAAAAAAAACGCGCGCCGAGGAGAGAAATTACACCCTATTCGGAATAATAAAAGCTTCGAATAATGAAAGATTACTCACAGCATCTCGCGGGCGGTGGCGGGCACATATCCCACGACGGAAAACCTTCCTCTTCCGAGGGGAACGTGGAGTCGCAGTTGCACAGTCACAGGCGTTTCCGACGGCACTCGGAGCACTCGAAGGACGAGAACTTTCGGGCACAGCACTGGGGCAACGGGACACACATGACACGACGCACTGTCACCGGGAGCTGGCCTCCGGGAGGCGCGGCCGAGCCCGACGGCTCGTCGACGAGGAAAACCGACGCGAGAGACACACGCAGAGGAGAGAGAAGGCGCGCGAGCGCCAGGAGGGAGAGAGACGATGCAGGAGAGTAGGAGGAAGGAATAAAAGCGCACGTCCGCCGTCGACGGGTTTCCCACTTCCGGTCGTTCCTTCTGCCACCTCGGTCCGTCCTCGCGTCGACGACGCGTCGCTAGAAACGAGTCCGAGATCCCGAGGACGCACACAGTAGCGGACACGACACTGAACGATACGACACGACACGACACACCGAGTCGATGGGCGGCGGTGATGGGGGAGGGGGTGAGGAGGGAGAGGAAAGGCGGGAAGAGAGAGCGACGCGGACGCACGGGTTTGGCGCTCTCTCTCTCTCTCTCGTGCCGCGCTCGCGGGTGCACGACGTGCGTACGTGTAGCCGAGTCCTGCGCGCGAACCGACACGATGCAAACGAGACCTCTGACTGAGCAGCCGTCGCCCGTGGAGCCTTGCCCCGACAGATAGCAGCGCCGCCAACCGCGCCGAACAAAAGTTCCTGCGCCTTCCGCGCCAACTTCACGTTCCTCCCGCCCTTCGACCAAGCTCTGCCGAGAAACCGAGCTTCTCATTGCCCGAATACCGCCCTCGTATTTCCATTGGATTTTGCAAGATAAATGTGGATACGTCCTGCGCACACAGAAATGTATTTTGATAAATAGAGATAAGATTCAAGATAAATATGAGATGGTTTTCATGTCGACGTAAAAAAGGATCGTTGAAAGGGATGTTTTTGGACATGAAATATATATTATTCGACGCAATTTTTTCTATTGTTTTGTTCTTTTTTCCTGAAATTCTTTTCTCTGTCAGTCACAATAAACAAACACTTACATCAAGAGCATATTGCGAACGATATAATACTGTAAAAATATAACCAAATATTAATGGCGTCAAATTTTCAAGCTCGTATATATATAAATAAAAACATAGCGAATAAAAAATGTATATCTGAAAACTTAATCGTTCACTATCTAATCACAAAATACTTGAATTAACATCTTAAAAAAGAAATAATGAAGTACGATGTATACCTCGATCCCACGAGCTCCTCGCGACTCTGGCGTCCCAGACCGTCGAGAAGTTGCAGCGATACGTACAGTCGATACTCTCGCGCGCGATAGATCGACTCGGTCGCTCGCTCGCGATTGGCCGAGCGCGGCGCACGCGCGCGAGCCGCGGGCAGCGCCACTGTCAGTCGGCCGCGGAATGTCTGCGCCGCGTGCACTTCCGCTCCGCGGCGCGCGTCACTCTCGACGACGCTAGCGCGAGGAGTCGCCGGCCACGTTCGCGCGAGTAGAGTCGTCTCGACCCCGCGTTTTCCTCGACGGAAATCGCGACCCAGCCATATGCGAGCGCGGCGACGGCGACGACGACGACGACGCCATCACTAGGAGGCATCAGCGGGACTGCCGCTACGAGGAGGAGTCGTCGAGGAGTCGGAGTCGTTCCAACGCGTCATCGCCATTTCGCCTACGACGCGGCCCCCTCGCGACCGACGCTGGCTAGGAGGCGGACCGGGACCCGCGATGAAGAGGAGCTGAGTGGACGACTGCACCGGGTACACGAGGTGTGTATATATGTATGTGTTATATGTATAGAGGTACAGCGTGTAAACATTCGCGAATGACAGTTGAGCTGTGTCAACGCGCATATGTGCAGCTCCTCTTGAGAAAAAGAAATTCTTTTTCTCTTTGCTTTCGATAAGGCTTTCACGTTTACGATAGCGAGGATTGAGGTTATCTCGTGTAAACGAATCGTTAATGATGTTTATCGTGAAAAGATTTTGTGGAGAGAATTTTTTTTTAACCGGTTTTGATTTCTCTAAAATTGTGTTGTCGACGAAAACTTTAGCTAATGAGAATTAAAGCTAATTCTTCTATGAACGTTTGTGTTAATATTGTAATCTTCTCTTATATTGCGTAAAATTGTAAATGTATATGGTATATTGCGTAAAAGTGTTTCGGATGAAGGATATTTTTTATTCCAGCAGCTTACGCGTTCATTAATTCTCAGAAGCGTATAAATAATCTTACGTGCAAAGTATTTATGTTTCTCATTTCAGCATTACGTTAATGCACATTTCTCTAATAAAAGTATATATTTTTCACGTCTTTTGCATTGGATTTATAATAACGCGCGCTTTTATAACACTTCTTTTTAATAATCGCTTAAACAGCCATTTACACTAATGAGAATTAAAGTTAATTTCGCAGAGTAGTTTTATTAAGAATCTTAATTTCGCGTATAAATACGAATGAACGCATGTGTAAGGATTATTTTTTTAACACATGATTATGCTAAATCGTCATGTTTGCTATTAATGCAGTAGAGTTCGCGATATGGGATATTTTGTAGATTACAACGATGATGTTGACAAGGAAGACGACTTCGGGGGACAAAACGTCATCCGCGCGATTCCACGTGTATACGTTGCAAATTCCTTCGTTTAGGGAATTTTCGTTCGGATTGCCGGTCTGCTGCTCTCCCGAGATGCTCGACAAAGACACGCGACTTGTCTACGTGTCCCGTTACCTCCCGTTAATGGTCGTGTGATTAAAAAATCCAACGCGACAGATAGAGAAAGGTGATTAAAAAAAATCCACGCGATAGTCTCTTTATCTGCATACAGCCTTGCGAACCAATCTCACTTCCACAATTTGATAAAACGTATTTGAGTATTAAATATTGGATTTAAATATTTAAGATTTATATAAATATTAGATAAAAAATTAAAAAATATGTCACGTTCAAGTGCAATGCTACAATAATTGTATTCAAACACGTTTATGCAGTATAAATATATACTTCGTTCTACATGAAAGAACACTATAATAAACTTTTATTAATAAGCATGTAAATTAATATTTATTATTTATATCAATATTTTTGTTGTGAAAGATATTGGAATAATTATTGAAGAATTTCCGATATTTAAATTGCCATAAAAATAAATTTATGAATTGGAGGGCTCTTTAATTAATTTTTTAATTATAAAGAAAAAACGTCTCTTAAGCAGTGCATTGTAATATTCAAGCTTTTATGCTTTTAATATATATTCAATTTTTTAAAATCAATTTTAAACTAAACTATCTGCCGCTTTTTAAATTTTGTGCACTATTATTCTTTAATTGCGAAGCTTCATCATAGAATTGAGAACAATTATTTGAATAATTATTATTCACGGTAATATTATGTTAATTTGGTTTGTTTTTACGCTTCGTAGACTTAATAATGGACTTAGTAATAAAAAAATCGGAAAAAAGATAAAAGAAAAAAATTAAAAATATAGAAGAATGATACATGCAATACGAATGAAAATATAAACTTTATATGTGTCTAATTGGCGTATAAGATAATCCGTAATTGCATAAGTAAGGAAAAACATATTTTATCGGAAATTATAGAAAAAAAGGAGAGATAATTAACGTTAAAAGTATACTCGATGTAGACAAAACTTCTGCAGTTACAAATGGTATTTCTTGGAAATAATTAACAATAAGATAACTTTTAAAATTATTACCTATTGTTAATGGGAGACAATCGATGAATTCCCGTTGCAGTAAAAATTTGCTCATTTTATATCCACAAAAAATGGCACGTGCTTCTAGTTTATATTAATTATTGTTATTTCTGCAAAAAGATTCAATAAAATATATCTGCTTAATGTCAATGAATAGACTTTCAATTAAATATGTATACATATGTCTATGTATGCATATGATTCAATAATGGCTATCTTAATATTATACAACGAATCTTATTGTACAATACTCGCGATATGATTGCATTATCGCAATAATTCCTCGGCAGACATTCTGCGGTCAATCCAGCATTACAGTGTCAACAGTTAACAATAATGTCAACAATTTAGAGTATGGATGTACATATGTACACGTGGTATTTGCTTGCGGTGTTTGGAATCGCAACATTTCCGTATCTATTGTACAAGAAATATTAGCGGCACATTTTACAGCGTAATTTATATGCATTTCATTTGATGATTGACATAAATTCATATCGCTCGTTATTTGATTAAATGTATCGTTAAAATATTCGAGACTTCAATAAACATGTAGAATTCGAATGAAATAATAGTTTCTTCTGTTGTGAATTAATTCAGGAATCCGCGGAGGAGGCATTTGTATTTTCTGCCAGATTACCCTGCGTATACGTAATCAAGGATTCACTATTCCGTGAATACTCGGCATATGGCGGGATGCCAGAGGCATGCGAGGCCGAATCCGCTTGCAAAGGCGAGCGTCACGTTTTCCGTGCGAATGGTGCACGTGCGTTTGTCGTCGTCTTCGTCGTCGTCGTCGTCGTCGTCGTTGTTGTAAATGAAACGAGACTCGCATCGCGCGTGCTCGGAAATGTCAGTGAACTCGAATTCAGCTGCTAAGTAGCCAACTACCCCCGCTGCGTCACCTCCCCACTTTTCCTTCCCCTGTCTTGTGCTGTACGGTGAAAATTCTCATTAATTCGCCTGTAGGTCGGAAAAGGAATGCGAGACGACCCGATAAAAGATGGACGAATTAAAATGAATTGAAAGAAATCCGTCTCTGCGAAATGGGATACTTAATCCTCATGATCGGCGACTGATTTATAACAAAAGTATAGCTAAAGTTTCTTTAAGCCTTACACTGACATAATGATTGTTTGGTTTGTCACTCTATCAATCAATGTAATTTGTCATAGTTTATACTATTCGCTGAGGCATTTTATGACAAAAAGACTTGGAGAAAATCCCTTTTCATGAACTTGTATTTAATCTTTGAGAAATCAGGAGAAAATTAGAGAATTTGTATAAATACCTTTCAGTGTAAAATTTACTTATGTAATCTTGTTTCCAATTCACTTTGATGATTGAACTTTCCTAACTTCCGTTTTGACATCCGAACATTCTACTGACCAGATTTACTTCTTGCCGATACGATATCCTAAAATAACTAAAGATGTTGGAACCATTTTATATATATTTTTCTTTTTTGAAAAAGAATTTATTTCGAGAAAAAAAAATAAACCAAATATTTCGATTGTTTTACGCAAGAACAAACAAAAAGAAAATATTTCTGTTATTTTACAGAAGAAAGAAATTGGAAAATATATGTATAATATTTTGCAGTTTATTTTATTTTGAAAAGAATAAAAATATATATAATAAAATTTATAAATTGAAAGCTAGATACGTACAGATATGTGTCGTAGACAAGGTAGAATTATACAATTATTTTATCTCTTCTTGTTGCTTTCTTGTTTAACATTTTCGTTCTTGTTTCGTTTGTTGTTATTGCTTCCGATAGATATTTAATTATACATATATTTCAAAACTCGAACTCTACATATGATAGACTATCTCCAGTATGTAGACATTATTTAAAATTTCTGAAATAGAAGAGAAAATAAACAAATTATAATTAATATTATTATAATATATTATAATATTAGAGAGATAGAGAATAACGGTAGAATATGTAAGCATAACATTAACATTCAAAAACATCTCTATCTTTATTGTGTTTATGTTTAAAAGTACTGTTATGTTTTAATATATTTTGATCTTTGCTCATGGTCCTTGATTTCTCTCTGTGTCTGTTAACCCTGACAAACAAATTTCATTAGTCATTGGCTAACTGTCTTAGCACAAGTATAGAAAATCAAGAGTTATGCATTCGATAAATATACCTACAATTACCCTAACGTTAACATAAAAGTGGAGAGAAGTTTGTATCTTTTTTCATTAATGCGATTAGAGTAGAATTTAATAATATTTTATGAATATTGTATTAATATACATTTCAATAGATGGGGAGCGAAGATATATCTATCATATCACGTTATACATCACATGTATCATTTTATGACATAACATATCGATGTAATGATATGATTCCGTGTATAAAACCCAATTGTTTTCACAAGAGATAATGCAATGAATTTTACTGTCAACAGGATGAGCGGTCCGCTGCTTGGCAGAGGCCGAGGCGGCCGCCTGGCTCTGTATGGAGGCTGCGGGGTGGTGATTGTCTTGTTGTTTCTCCTTTATCGTGCCGCTACTTCGGAGATGGCCAGGCTACGGGAACTCCATGAACAATGCGCTCATCAGCAAGAAGCTCTCGCCGCCCAACTGCAAGGTAAGATGATATAAACATGTGCATCAAAGGATTCACAGTTGCTAATATTAGATTTAACTTGGACGTGCCTTTTAGGGCCTTAAAGTCATTATATATTTCATAGATCGATAAATTTATTGTGAAAAATATTTTTTCGTTCACATTTTTGACAACTAAATAATTGGTATATGTCCTTTTTAGTTATATTTGAGTACAAAGTTCGGCTGGAGAAGTCCTTGGCCGAGGAGAAAAGCTCTAACGCCGCAGTGAAACAAGAATTGCAGCAGCGCGCGTCGCGGGAAAAGTCCTTACGTGACAAGGATAGCATAGAGGCGATGCGAAGATTCGACTCGCTTCAGCAATCCTATCATCTCCTGCAAACGGAACATCAGGATCTAAAGGACGAGTGTAAGAAACACGAGAAGCAGGCACTGGATGAAACCAAGAAGTTGGAAGCGACGCTGCAGGACCTACGTGCTCGCCTCCGGCAAGCGGAAGAGAACAGAACGAAACCTTTGGAGCATTTGAAGACCAAGTTCATAGAATTACAAAATGAGAACCTTAAGCTTCAGAACAAGTACAAGGAATTGGTGGAAGTACACGGCAATAGCGATAGCACCATCGATCATCTTAGAAAGGAAATTTATCAGCTCCAGCTTGAATTAGACAGCGTTAAGGTACATATTTTTTCTTCGATATAAATACATATGTAATATACGTTTATCAGTTACGATATGTATAAAATAAATAACACCTTAAGATAGTTATAATTGCGTCTTATAGGGTACAAACACACGTAGAACATAGAACATAGAACATAAAATATGATTATATATTATAATTATTGACAAGGTCAGTATTATTTTTCGTTTTCTTTCAAATATTCAAGATTAATTTCAAAAATAAGAACAATTATGGGTAAAATTAAAGATCCGTAAGTATTGTGATTGTGTTATGTTTTTTCAGAGGATCTACAGGAAAAGCACATCTCCTAACCCGGTGCCGATACTTCCTCGGGTGTCGGCGCCGCAGTCAGCATTGCAGAAGGAGGACTCGCAACCGATCCCGGCACCGCAATCGCAACAACAGGTAAGTCCGCTGCGGTCACTATACGCATCTCACAACTATCGCGCGGACAGAAAACCAGCTCCCTCGGAAGATAAAACGTTGACCAAGATTGTCAACGAATCGAACAACAGCACTAAACTCGTTCAAAAGAATGGCAACATTATTCCAAATGAAAAAAGATCGAGGAGCTCTCGGGTAACGACTTCCAGCAAAAATTGCAAGGAAATGTTGTCGAACGTCCAAATGTAAAGGACGTAGGCGAGAATCTTCTCGATGAAGAACAAAGGAGACAGGTAATGTCGCCACCGCTGAATTCACAAGACAACAATGGCCCGAGGCAAGACGGCAATCAAGCGATGTCGGGCTCGCAAGCCGAACAACCGTTAACACAACTTGCCATCAAGAAAGCGTCTACGACCGCATCTAGTCGAGTGATCAGTGTCAAAGCTCGCGTAGAGGATGACGAACTGCAAAAGCTACAGGAAAGAGTAAACGGGATCCTTAACTATAATATATCACACGACGAAATTCATTAAATTTTCAATTTATTATTACTCACTTATGATTGGACTGTTTTCAATTTGTATTAGACAATATCAGATTTTTTTATATAATTCGTGAGTCGTATGAATGATTGATTCTTGTTATGTAATATAATTTTTTAATGAAATTTTTTTATTGTTATTAATTATATTGTAGTAATTATTATAATATAATTATTGCACTTATAATGAATTATATATTTAATTTTATTATATAATAATTATATATAATAATTATTATAATATATAAGTATATGTAATTATAATATAATTATCACACATTACTATATATTATAATAATATAATTATTAAAATATATTTAACATCTCACTATATTAAAATTATTACAACAACAATTTTAATAATTATAATTATATTAGCAACATGTTAATATATAATTATATATTAACAGTAATTTATTTCTTAATCGACATGACATACAATGATTATATTAAACAATAAACTGTGACAAAATAATTTACATAATTATTTTTGTTTACTTTTTTTACATTATAACTGACGAGTAATCACATGAGTCAAGAACATTTAATTAATTTAAACCAAAAGTGGTTGCTATTATTTTAGTCTCTAAATCAACTAATGGTTTTTTATAAAATAGGGCGGTGGTGAATAATATTTTTGGATTAATTATATTCTTTTCTTTAATAGTAGTAATAGTAGTTTTATCTGCTTATTAATTATGTAGATATTGTCGGTGTAGGATAGAAATAGAAAAAAATAGTAAAATTCTTCTATTTTCCTACTAAACCTTTCTCAAAATATAATTGTTTCTTTCTTGGAACTGTAATCTCTCTATACTACTGCTTTAACCAGACACATAACAGAATTTGTTCTTATTAAATGAATACTGTATATAACCAAAGTGCAGGAATTCATATGCATATTTAATAAATCAAGATTATATATTATTTATTTTGAAACTGCGTTATATTATATTTTTTGTTTACTGCTCAAAGTTAAAGTGATTCTTATTATAAATTAAATTATTGTAAATCGTATTTGCGTAGAATTTGTTCTAGATGTCTGCGTTTTGGAATATACGTGACACGTGATGTAATTCAAATTCAAATAATTTTATTCGCGTCGGCCATGTAATAAAAATGACATACATATTAATATTTATTAATGATATTTGTGAATTAATTAATGCAATAACAAATTGATTTTAAAAAAACCGTTTAATTTTTTATGTTTAAAATACACACGTACACACATCTGCATTTATAACATATACTATTGATATTAATACCATTTTGAAAATGAATGCTTTTAATCCTGCAATATTATGTAAATCCCAAATCGCCTAAAGGAATCTTTATAAATTTTATAAACAATTATTTTTATTAATTATTATGTATATTCAGTAAGATAATATTTCTAAAAGTTGTTGTATTGTTAGAGATGTCTTTAGGAGTTATTATTATTATTTTTTGCAATTGTTGGCACAGTTTTGTAGATATAATATATAATTTTTGTTGATATATGACGAACAAATGTGATCGGATGTTTAAAGAATTTAAAGATTCTATTTGTGTACATATATAATTTTTTGAGCAATATTTTTTCGCGATAGTTTTGCAAGGTTCACTTCTATTAGGAATATGACATATTTTTGTACATATACATATAATATGGATCGTGAAAATCGTCCTGAATGTGCCTGTAAATCTGTGTTCTATAAATGTATTAATAAATTGTTATTATGTTTATCTGCTTGTATTTTTATTGGCAACCTCATAACAACCTAATTAACTATTAACTTTTGCGTCACATCTTTATTTTAGCGCTAGTTGATTTACATTAAATAAGACTGAATATATTACTTTTGCCAGGCTAAAGAATGTGTCGAGAATTTGTTGAACTGCGAGAAAAGCTTGTATTTATTTACGTAACGCGTAGTACAGCTTCTCTTCCTGCATTTTTATTGCTAAATAATGTAACTTTTAACCTCATATCTTATATAATATTTAAAATCCCTATGCACTGCATTTACAGCTTTGTAGATCACAGTTATTTGATAAATTGCTAATTGAATAATATATTGAGAATAAATAAAATTTTTCTCCTTGTACAATTACTTCTGCACATTTTTGTCTGATTGTGAGTTAGAGATCCTATAAAGCTTTAACTTTTTAATGTCAAATATATTAATAACAAAAAACTATATTGCAATTCCCAAGCTGTTCCTAGCAAATTAGCAATTAATTCTAAAGGTACAATTCCTTCGTTCGTCTAGTAATACTATTGTACATTTATTGAGAGATGACAACTGCCACATTACAACCAGTTTCATGATAACGTTAATTGTCGACGTGCAATTTCTATCTGTAAATTTGTGTATATTGTACCGTATATATAATCTTGTGAAAAATATTTTTCAGAGTGCAGCGCGCGATTCTGCGAGTTCGCGAAAAATGGAAAACTCCACCGTAGCGAACAATGCTAATTTGATGTCGCCGTCTTCAATCGACAAGGTCGCACCGCTACCAGCCAGATCTCTGTCAAAGGTCAAATTGCCGGTCGGCGTATTGCCGATTCCAGAGATTATCGAGCAGAAGATCGACAACGAAGAGAAACGTCAGGAGGAGGTCCGAAAGCGAGATGACGCTCACAATAATTTGCAACCGCCACCTCAGCTTCCAAAACTCGCTTTAGCAGACAGCAAGGAGGAAAAGGAACCGATCGTCGAAGCCGGCAATCTCGACCCTCCGTTCGTCGCGAATCCTCCTGCTCCGCGACACGTCGGCGATCAGATCGTCGAGAGAAGAGCGAACGATGCTTTGTTCAGAGCAGGAGTACAGGAGATAGGCGAAGAATTTAATCAGTTGGGTCGTGTTCCTGGGTAAGTCGTTCCATTTAATTCTAATTTCTAAAGTATTCACACATATATTTGATCCCAACAAATTTATCATTACAAATAATTTTTTCTGATGTTAGATTGGACGATGGACAAGCTAACGGCGGCGACGATCAGTACGATGGTGGCGATTATGACAAAGAGCCGCAGCAAAAGAACGATATCCATTTGGCGGAGGGTGAGGATGAAGGAGAAGGTAATTTAATGAGACTAATCGAATAAGAGAGAACGTGCGGTTCAAAAGTCGCGATCGTGAAATTATTCTCGTATCTCAATTTCAGACGAGGGCGACATGCTCGAGTATCCGCATAATTTGAAGCAGGGTAAGCGGTTATAAAGTCAACATCATCCTTCGAAAGTTTTTTTTACGCGACCGACGATCGGGATTCTACCAGTGGAAAACGCCTGAAAAATAATTAGTCGACCTGACCTAACTTGACCAATGTTCGCAATCGTCCCTGGTTTCATCAGCGAAGAATACTTATTATGTACTATAATCTGCATGAGTCATTCAATGATCATCTCGCGAGAAGAGTTAGAGAGAATACGAGTTATATTTTATCTTTATTCTTTGTTGCGAAAACTTTCATATGAAATTTTAGATGTATGATAGTATATATATACACTATCATACATCTAAAATTTCATATGAAAGTTTTCGCAACGAATATATATATATATATATATATATATATATATATATATATATATATACGGTGCATATACATATATCGTCAACGACATTTGAGTGTTTGACGAAGGTTACGCGGTTCTAATAAATCTTTTTCCGAGAAATGCAAAATGTAGATTCTGGAAAAAGAAAAGAGAACGAAATAGGCTGTATTTTTCTAGATTAAGATGCAGAGCGGTGATGCACGGAGTGAAGTACATTAAGAGTGACTAATCGCACTCATTATTTAAGACACTCGTGACTTTGTTACTAATGCAAGTGCGTTAAGTTGGGCTTGTATTGCATTAGCAGAGCTAACTTATGCAAATACTATTGGACTCGATTAATAATCATTAGAAAATTGAATTAAAAAAATGTTTTATCTAATAAATAATGAAGCTGGTCGCGAATGTGTGTGACTTCTTTCTACATAAATTCTATAATATTCATGCGACTCAGGGTACAGATGTTGATCTATTTACTACTTGTACAAATGCAAAATGCAGAATGTATAAATGTAGATATTTTGTATAAATGTAAATAAAAGTTTGGGAGATTCTCCACCCAATCTTCTTTTTACATTTAAAAATTGTTATTATCGTTAGAAAAGAGATCTCTCATAATACATTATAGATTATCAATAGTAGAGTTATGTGATCTTGCATAATGCAAAGTTATCCCTGCTACTGCAATCCAATTCAAACCTTTTCATGATATCCATTATGATGGCGACAATCGATTTTCTCATTTTCCATTAAGAGAGTTTACATTGGTTATTGACTTATCGTCAACAAACTCTTTTAATCTCATTTCTTTTATAGATATCCGTTGTCGCTAAAAATCGTAGATTGTCGGTTTTTACCAATAAAGTGATTAAAAATAAATGTATCGTCAAATTGACATACATGTAAATAAATTGACGTCAAGTTAACATTCATTAATAAACTTGATTCAATCTAGCAAACCGTGAAAGAGTGATCAATAGTATTCGCGTTTTATTTATTTTATTTTTACCGATAATCTCAAAAATTACGATTCAACTGTTAAAAATAATTACTTTAAGTAGTTTACATACATGACGAGCATAACGTAATATTTTGTTATAGTTTAGAGATACAGTTATATATACACGCGTATACAGAGAGGCGTTGTAAATGTACATAATGTTCTTTTCATAATAAAAGTGATAAAAAAACTTTGTCAAATGCTTTTCTATAAATCTGTAAATTTCTATCGACAAATTTGTTCCTTTTAAAGTATCTTAAGATTTATGACCATCAATAATATGTGCGTTTCGAACTATACGATAATATATATATATATATATATATCAATAAAGATTTCCATTAATGATTTTGATATAATCACGTACATTTCCGACGTGATTGATTTCTTTTAATGGAAAAAAATTTTTTAAACAAATCTCTTTGTGAACTAAATTTTAATTGAGACAACTGGACAACAAAACTTTTCTAGATTATTTAATTTTAAATAGAGTTTATATGTAATTTAGTTTTATAGAGTTTTAAAAAGATATGTGATACTAAAAATGGAAAAAAGGAGGAAATAATAAATGTGATAAATTGAACTTTTGTTATTTTTGTTAAAGAAAAATGGACTCTAGAGTGGTGAAGAATGATTAAAAAGTAGGACGTCCTAATTATTTTATAAAAATAAAACTTGGTTACTTAATAGTTTTTTTTATCATTTCGAGAATAAGGTCGTAGTTATCGGAGCACAGAATAAATAATGTATCATATTAGACGTTGTTTGTTGGCTATTCTGATTCATACAACCATTACATAAGCAATTCTAGCATCTTCCATCTCCCTATCGGTTCCTGGAACCGATATACATGTCAATATGCTAAAAGCGTTTCGCTTGTCTCTCATGTGCGCAGAAAACTATTGTCTTTGCAATTCGAAAAATAAGATATAATCGAATTTATCATGTATTTTAATGAAAAAACTGAAATATAATATTGATAATACATATTTTTTTTATTTTGAATTCTTTATATTAAATATATTTTTTTAATATTTTACTCCCTTAAAAGAATCAAATAAGTGAGATAAGTAACAATAAATTGTACTTTTCTTTTTTAATATTTTGATTTATTATTAATAACAAATATGTCTTGTTTGTAGAAACGTGATTTATTAAAAATTTCTTATCTATTCCTGCTTAGTTTTTCTAGGTTTTTTTAGAAAACACATTTATATTAATTAAAACCAATCTCGATATAATTATATCTCTTTATGTATTTAATGATAAATTATAGAATATCCGCTTGTAACAATTGCAAAAAATTTGCAATTTATTTCTTTGTAAATGCAAACGTTATATTTATCTTGTTTGCTATTACATATTAACTAATGTGGAAATACTTTTTGTCATATTCCTCATCGACATCGTATCTCGTTTACTATAGTAGTATATAGAAAATATATAGGGGATTTGTTTGTGTATATGTGCTTTCACATTTCTCACACCTAAGATGTAAGAAAGATCATTTATTTACTTTAACCTTTTACCCGTGTTATCACTGCAGACCTTATTCTCGATAAACCAAAGAGCTTTTGCAGCAGAATCAAGAACGCAAACACACTCTATATTCGCTCGTGCATGCTCGTCATTTTAATCTTTTTCAACTCGATAATTCCCCTTGACTAGCAAATGTTCTGTAGTTATTCGCTTGTCCAGAGTTCGTGCTATTCAACGAATATCCAACGAATATAGAAGAAAAGAACTTGTACGAATAAAATTTTATTTTGCAACAATTCAATTAAAAAGTTTTGTTTTATCGAATCATGTGTACCTAAGAAAAGTTTCATTAATGAGACTCGAGAGATTCGTTTTTAAATTTTAAAATTAAAACATTTACGTATATATAATCATATTTCTATAAAATAAAAAAACTATAAAAATACAACTACTTTTATACTTTAGAATCCTAAATTTAAAAAATTAAGAAGCATTTTTATTTAAATAATTCTCATAAAAATAATATTTAATATGAATAAAAAATTTGTGTTTTATGTTATATATACGTTTGTATTCCGTTTTTCGTAAAATGATTAATGTTAGAAATAAAGTATGTTAAATATTAAGTATATTCGCGCATAATTTGAAACGAAATAAACTCCTGTTCATTTCATCTATTTATTCGGCTAATTCGTCTATTAATTCATTAATTTTTTGCAGAGAAATAATTTAGTGTGCATCCTTGCACGAAAATTGCTGATACGTGAGTTCTTCTAATCTTTCCGAAGAAGCTAGTAAGAGGATAATTGGACACGACAATTTATAGTATATTCGCACAAACAGACATACCGTGATAAGAACATCCTTTCCGAATATTGCCGAAATAATTATCAGCGATTTCATTTAAAAAATGGCAGTACTACACTGAAAAAAATTTAGTTAATTCTTATAAGTATTTATTTCAATACTGCCAAATAAATCATTTATTTGAAACTAATAATATTTATTTGATATGAAAAATATTAATTTGATATAAGAAAATCCTTTTCAAAATAAATAAATATTTATTTGTTTCAAATAAATGATTCATTTGGCAGTATTGAACTAAATATGTATTAATTTAGTCATTTTTTCAGTGTAATAACAGAATTCTCTTGAAAAATATTCTACAAGAGGTAAATTCGAGAATTTGGAAGTTTAAAAAAAATAAAATAATAAACGCGAATTAAAATGAATAAATCGAAAAATAGAAAAAATGCGATAATCGTAACGTAATTATTAATATACTGAAAAAAGTTATTAACTTGACTGAATCGTTTAACTAAATATTATTTTGTAAATTAAACATATAGAAATATTTAAATTAAATATATAATATATTAAATATAACAAAACGTGTATTTGATTTAAATACTAATATACGTGTTCATTAACAAAATAATAATTATAGTTGAACAGTTTAGTAAAGTTAACATTTTGTTTCAATGTACCAAATATTATGTGATAAATGTTACATTTTTTTAATAAAGATTAAAAATTTATCTTTGTGAAAGAAATTTCGATATCTTATAATTCACCTATATTTTTTAGCAAAATATATTTCGAGATTTGTAATTGTTCGCAGCTGCACTAGCTTTAACATGTTCGCGTTAGCACCGCGTTAATGTTATTTGCAAATCAGAAGGCATGTGTAAATGTATGTGAGTTTTATACGCTCGAAGCGTCTCAGAATAAAATCTAGAAACCACCATGGATCGTTTATGTATGCGTCGGCAAACGATCCTTCAAGATCTACAGGAATAAAGCCTCGCTCTAAAAAATCAGAATCTTTTCGAGGACAGAGATATACAAGATGGTTTCGTAATGGATTTTTTATTTTATGAACATATATGTTCTCTTCTCGTATATTGAGATTCAGTTTTATGAATAATTTTGCTGCATTTATTCATAAGTTTTATGAATAAATTTTACGAAGAAATGCACATTCTCGAAAAGTAGAATATACATGTGTATATATATCAGATGTCAATTTTCTAGCTATCGCTTAATTTACGAAAAGTACGCGTTAATTGTTAATAATACAAATGATATTAATAACTCGATCGTTTCGTATCGGTTCATCTCTTATACTTTCTCGCAACCTTCGACCTTGAGTCGCTTACTTAGTGTGCGTGAGTTTTGACTGTCGTCTGACGAATTCTCGCGCGACGCACCTCGACTGTTGTCATATACCGTACATTTATACACATATGTACATGACCAATACGTAGTGACAAACGATCACGGGACTGACGTAATATCAGCTGGACCCCACTACTTATGTACTGAAGATCGGATTGAGGTTTATAGTTCCTGACGAAGAGCAACAACGTGCCAGTACGTTCCTTTCGTTACTGAAGGTAAGACGCAAAAGAAACACTTTTGAAATCGTCAAGTAAATAGAAGACGTTACATTTGAAAAACAGAGTCGCAATATTACTCTGTGGCTAAAATATTTCGGTTTGGTTTTGGCAAAATTATAAAAAATGAAGTGTCTTCACATTAATCATTATTAATTGACGCGTTGCACAGTAGAGTCGACTTAATATCGATCAAATTTAAGACGATTAATTAATTAATACCTCGTGTTATAATTCCAGACAACAAGGATGAAGATGTTATTCTTAGTCGCTCTCGCAGCGCTATGTATCCAGACGGTGCTCGGTGCAGATCCTCATGAGCACTCCAAGGTGGTCTGCTATTGGAATAGTACCGCCTATGAAAGACAAGGTGAGTCACTTTTTATTATTTTTTATCATTCACATTCACACGAAATTGATCAGAAAAACATTTATAATTATAACTTGTTTAGTCGCTTTTGAAAACTTCGCTATCAACCTTTTCATCAGTAAATAAACGTGAAACTTCCTTGTAACAAAAGACTTGGTAATAAGACATTATATAAGAATAGCGTGAAAATAGTGAAATTAAAATTTCTCCATTATACTATCTTAAAAATAGAAAACATAATTAAAAAAACAATTTTTATATTAATTCCAAAATATCGTTTAAGGATGAGAGATAATTTTCTGCTTTAGTGCTTTTCAAATTTTATGGTGAGAGAAAAGTGGACAAGCAAAAATATAATATTTATAAATTCAAATTTGATTAAAAATATAATAAATGTGAAGAACGTTATATTTACGCGACATTGTTATTTTAATGTTTAATTTTCAAAAATCATCTTTTTCAAATAATCACACTTTGAAATATCTCTTTGACGCGATCTCTGTTATATAATTATATACTATTATGTTCTTAACATATCTAAAACCAGTAACACATCGACATATACATCGAAGCTTCGGTTTGTATTTACTAGAGTTTTTGTCATACTTGTGCTACGATGAATGTTAAGGTCAAGCAAATGGCAATATAAATTCAACATGTATATTCCACGTGGGAAACTCAATTGAAAGATAATATACATATCTCTTTGTTTAGTATTATTTATGTAAATTATTATTATTATTTACCGAAAATTCGAAATATGCGCAAAATTGCTTCGTTTCCTTTACAGGTCCAGCAAAGTTTCAACTTGATGACGTCAGATCAGCCTTATCTCTCTGCACTCACTTGGTCTATGGATACGCTCATATCAATAGCGATTTTGAAATTGTTCCTGGCTCGCCGAATTTAGATACCGGATCGGGCTACTCTTATTACAGACTCACAACGCAGCTGAAGCGATCGTTCCCCGATTTAAAGATCTATCTTAGTGTCGGAGGAAACTCCGATCCTTATGACGACGAACACAAGTACCTTGTATTAGTGAGTACAATTTTATTAAAATAATCAAATAAAATTGTGATAAAAATAAATAAAATAATTTAAAAAATTTGCCTGGAATTTTGACAGACGGAGACTTCGGAAGGCAGAACGAAATTCATCAATTCTGTGAATCGTTTGTTGAACGACTACGATTTTGATGGAATCGATCTGGCGTGGCAGTTCCCACCAGTTAAGCCCAAGAAGCAGCGCGGTACTCTAGGTTCTCTTTGGCACGGTCTCAAGAAGAAATTGGGTTATGGAAAATTCCAGGATACCAAGGAACAGGAACATCGTGATGGCTTCACTATCCTAGTCCGTGACCTCAAGACGCAACTTAGGCCAAGATTCAAGGCTCTGACAGTCACGGTGTTGCCCCATGTTAACGCTAGCGGTTAGTACATCTTGCAATGTACACAAATCTAATAACATTAAAATAATATAATTAATAATAGAGTTAACATTATCACGAGATATTTATTCATATAATTATATGTTTCTTTTTGACAGTCTATTACGATGTCAGATTGTTAGCGCCCAACATCGAAGCCGTGAATCTTTTCGCTTTGGATCAAAGGACACCGGAACGCAGTGCGAAAGAGGCTGATTACCCGGCACCGATTTATGGCAGTTACGGACGCGTAGTAGATGACAATGTCGACAGCGCGACAAGGTAAACCTGTTTCCCTCATAACGCATCCATTGTTTACACGTCCCCAAAGTATTTTTCGCTATATATATATATATATATATTTAACATGTGTAATACAATCAATTTATAACAGTTACGGACATGTGGGACATGACAATATTGATGCTGCGACAAGGTAAACCTAGCTACCTTTTTCCCACGTTATTTTATACAAAGCACAGCGTGTATTAAAAAAAAATTACAAGCCTCATTTCTTAATTTGATTAGATTTTTAAATATTGATCCGTTTTCTCGTGAAATTTGAAATTCTACTTTCTTTCTCATATAATACATAATTCATAAATGACTTTGTCATAATGCATAATTTATTTTATTTATTAATTACTGCTTCTAATTATTGACTACACATTAGCATACATTAATAACAATGAAAATATCTGAAATCGATTACAAATTCAGATTTCTTTCTACTTACTCTCTCTTTTGTTTATTCAATACGGAAATGTTCCGTACACACATTGTTTTCTTAATAATCCAATCCAATAAAAAATAATCTGTAACTCTACAGATACTGGTTGGAGAACGGCACCCCTGGCAGCAAAATTGTCGTCGGCATCCCCACATTCGCTCGCACGTGGAAATTGACGGCCGATAGCCAGATTTCCGGCGTGCCGCCTATCGTGACCGATGGTCCGGGTGCTCCTGGACCCCATACCAACGAACCAGGACTGCTCTCATACGCTGAAGTATGTGCCAAGCTAACCGAACACGCGGCAGGACGACTTCGACGTGTCAGCGATCCATCCAAGAAGTACGGTAGCTACGCTTATCAGTCTTACAATCCTGATACTGGAGCAGAAGGACTCTGGGCTGGCTACGAGGATCCGGACACTGCCGGCCACAAGGCCACCTTCGTGAAATCCAAGGGACTCGGTGGTGTAGCGATCGTGGATCTGTCCCTGGATGATTTCCGAGGTGTTTGCACCGGCGACAAGTATCCCATCATCAAAGGAGCTAAATATAAATTGTAGAATGTCGAACAAGAACCCGACATTCGGCTGACAATCGAAACAGATGTTGAAATTTTAATGCATTGAATGAAAAGTATTCAATTATTACTTATATTGGCTGAAAAGATTTTTTTGTTCCTCTTGAAATGATTCTTGTCGCTGTTTGTTAACAGCGACAACAAGTTATATTTGTATACATTGTCCGACGAGTAAACTATCGAGATTTTTTAATGAGAAAGAAACTTTTTAACGAGAGAATTTTAACGAGAATTGTAATACCGCTGTTCTATATACATTATCTGCGACGATAATAAAAATGGGGACGCTTTCCTATTATTCAAATAGGTTCATTTAAGTCCAGTCATTTCTTCATCCCTAATTATTTTCGAGAGATATAAGCATGTATTTTCGAAATATAAGTAAAACATAAGTAAAAGTTCAATTTATGTAGTTATCATTTGTGAAGAGCTCTTATTTGTAAAGTTGCGTTATTTACAGAATTAAATAAAAGTTTTCTCAAATTATTTTCTGATTTTAAGAAGATTTTATAAAACGAATCTTACAGATTTATTTTAGGAGTTAAAAAAATTTGTATGTAGGTATATTATTTTGAAAAAAAAAGAAAAAAAGAGGAGAACTACATGTATCAAGGTATTCACATACACACGATACATATATGCATATATATTTATATAGATAATATATTTTCGTGCAGTCTATTTTTCCGGCCAAACGATACATTTGCACAAGGTGTATAGCAAAGGTTCTTTTGTAAATAGACTAGACTCATTAACATATCCAACACATTGAGGATTACATCACACACCTTATACAGTTAATTCGCAACAACATTCTCACGCCGATCGCGAATCAAACTTTCTCTCCCATTGGCGAAGTTAAAATGAAAAAAAAAGAAAAAGAAATACGCATACACAGTGTATGATTCATTAACGTGATAAATTAACGTTCTTTGTCACATGTTATTCAATGCCATCGATCGTCATCTCGATCTTGTGCTAAATCGGTCTCACTTAAACTCACAATAAACAATACTTTTATAAAATACTGGGAGTTATAGCTGAAACAGCTTTACGTCTCTATGCTAGAGTTAATAATCTGACAGAGATATCGAAAGTATAAGGACACTCGTGAGAATACAAGAATACAATATAACATATATGTAATAAAATCAATATATTTCCCTCTCCATCTAGTCCCGTTTGCATTAATCTAGATCTACGATTATCTTGATTCGCAGATGTTAAGACCGACAAAATCCACCCAAACTCGTACGCGATTCATCGGCAAAAAATAGTGCGTTGTTTTGCAAATTTGTATGAATAGATTCGATGAAAATTAGCAACACACCGTACTCGTTTTTATATTAATCGTACGATTTTAACGTGCGACGAACTCGTACAAATCGATCTCTTCTTCTTTCCCATGTGACGTACACATTCGCGGACAGAGGATCGCATTATATATTTATATGCATGTGGGTTTATCTACCATATACAACGAAGGAGGAGATGCATCTCGAATCACAGGAAATTACGTCGAATCACGCATTTCTTCGCTCGTTGTATATTTAATACTGGAACGTTCATTCAAATGCTTAGATTTTTGTTATAGGCATTAATTAATCGGCTGTCGCGACGCTATATATGTATATATATATATGTATGGCACTTGGATTACGCGTGTACATCCGTTGTAGGTAGATACTCGCTGCTCTTCTCTGGATAACTGCTGTTAAAGAGACAACTCGAAGAGCTAAGCGAACGAAGGAGATATATTACATTCTCACAAAATTCTCTACTAATTCTAATTAAACGTAAAGTGTCACATCTGCTCCAGTACATACTATCGTATACGCTATTGATTTAATAATACGATATTAGCTAAAGTTAGTTCACAAATGGATGATCCGTGCGCGTTATTGGATTACAGGGATGTGATAAATTGATTAAACTAACGATGAACTAACCGATGAACTTCAAAATGAACGATAAGTTGGCGAAAGAAATTTTTAGATAATCTTGAAAATAAATTATAAGAGATACATTCTAATATTTGTAATTTTATTTTCCTCCAAACTATCGCAAGATATCACAAATGTGATATACATCCTTCATCCAGCTATCCCTCTGATCACGAACGGACGATTCGCAAAAGCCGTTGTTAATAATTTTCACGCCCGACGAAGAATAATATAAGTGTGTGTATATGTGTGTGTGTGTGTTCACTTTAGTTTCTCGATATAAAAATAATTCGGAGAAAGGTGCAAAACTTGGAAGGAGCTCGCGATTTAGCATCCGCGATGATCCCAGGCAGTTTAGTGGAATGAAAAAATTGGCTCTTTTATATACTTTCTCCTTTCTCTAACATAGTATATATATTTTGGTTCGCTTTTTACGCAGATTCGAATGATGAATTTGCTCTCTGCGCGAATATATATATATATATTTTTTTGCATAAAGTGCATTCGACTTAAACGAAACCACGATGCGGTACTCTTCACACCGAAATGCAACACGGTAATATAATAAACAACAGTCATTAAACATCGCTATAATTTTTTTCATTTTTTTTTTAATGGATCGTTACGTTGATCATTTCGTTCTATAAAAGTAAAAACGTCAGATCAAAGCAATAAGGTGGAAATATTGCGTTTCGAGATGTAGGAATAGCAGATCAGATACGCAACTAGAAGATGATCCCTATCTAAATCGAGAGGAAGGCTGGGAAGAACAAAATGAAAACGGTCTCTGTTTCTAAAAAGTGCTCTACGCGTTATCGAGGTCGACAGTTATTGAAAAATTCATGACATAAATTTTTCAAAATAATTGTTTTTCTCGTTATTAACTCAATTGTAAAGATAATATGAAAATCATTAACAAATATGTATATAAATTATAAAAATAAAGAGATCGATAAATCCCTAGATTATGCATATTATCAATAAAAAATAAAAAATTATTATCATAAATGCTGTTATAAAAATAATTTACTGTATACAAATTTAAATAATTTGAATATGAAAAAAATAAAAAGCATTTTTTAAAAATAACTCTGATATAAAGATAAAATATTACAATACAAAAATGTTTTCTCCCACACTACTTCATTTTTTTCATATTCTGCAAAATAAAATTTAAATAAATGATAGAATATAAAACTTACCAAAAAATTATTATTGAATGGCAGAAGTAATACAAGTTGACTCGAAGCCTCGATTTTCGCGGAAAGCGGGGTTCCAAATACGAGCGTATCAGAGTCCTACGGTGTTTCCTAAGAAGTCGGTTACACGCTTTTTCTTCTTCTGCTTCTTTTTTCTTCATTTTACCCTAATCTCTACATGACGGAACATCGTTTGACGTTGTACCTATTATCTTGGTCCACATTGTTGATGCTGAGTACCTTGAGGAGCCTTTCGGTATCTTTGAAACTGTGTCTGCCGTGTTGCTGCTGTTGTTTCATCAACATCATCGTCGCCGTCGCCGTCGTCGCCTTTTTCTTTTTCTTCTTTTTCTTTTTCCGTTTGGTTTGCGGCAACGTCAGCTCTAACATCTGCTCGAGTCGCAGACGAATAGGCCAACCGGCACTTCCGTCCTCGACATTTCCGCCCCGATGATAGGCGTAACTCGTCGACGCGTTAGGCTCCTGACGATCACGGCGATCCTGCCACCACCAGGGGTTCTTGCACGATTTCGTCTGCTGGTCCCGCTGCGGATCCTGATAAGGATCTTCCTCGGCCATCGGCCGTCTAGGTTGTACAAAGGAATCATGAACGCGAACCGGTCGCGCCAACGACGACCTCTTCTTCACCGGCGTTAGATGACCGGATTGATGTCTCACCATGGACTTTGCCAGATTATCTCTGGTGCTTTGAATTTTCTCATATCATCGGGCGGAGACGTCGGTACGTCGGAATACAACGACAGATTCGAGATGGGTAGATGATGACTGCTGCGAATCCGGGCGACAGCGCCGTTGTCGTTATTGTTATTGTAGGTGTTGTTGCTGCCATTGTTGTCGATCGCGTGACGACACTGCTCCGCGCACTGCAGACAATCGTAATACTTCTCGGCGACGTGACGGCGAGATGCTGAGAAACGATCTCGCAGATCAGAGCATCGACGACGTTCACTGCTCGTCGCAATCGCGCTACCACTATTACGCGTGCCCTGATGAAAATGGTAAGGCTGCTGTCACACCTCTTGCAGATACTTGAGGGGACAGCGGATGTCCTTGTAAAGCACGTCGCCCTCTTTGCCTGTGTGATCGGCGGAACGTACGTCTGCTGCGCATCTCACCATCGCCACCCCGTCCATCTCCTCGCCTACTTGGATCACAATCTATGTGATAAAACAAAAGAATTAATATTTTTCATAAATATTGAAGATTTAAAAATAAAGAAACACTTGAATCACAATTTATATTTGATGCACAGTTGAAAAATTTATGTTAAATTTAACAGATATCTTATGTTTCAACGGTCCACAGAAATTTTTGTGTTAATTTAACATAATATGGATATGCTAATGTTAAATGAAGACGCATAAATACTGTGTTAATATTTTAACCAAATAAATACAAAATTTCAAATAATTTCAAATAAATTTTGTATAAAATTAACATAGTTTGAATGTAACAATTTACTAAAAAGATGTTAATTCTAGGTTTTATCATTCCCACTTATATTATAAAATGAAAAATCAACATTTTTTTCTGTAAATTTTAACAGAAATCTTGTCACTAAGAAAATAACAGAATATATTTTGTGTAAAATTAAAAATAGATGCATATATTGTTACTTTTACTTTTTTTCAGTTGTTTTAATAATTTAACATTTAAGTTCAATTAACACAATAGCAATATGTTAAATTAACACATAAATGTGTTAAATATTTAATACAAAAATTTTAACGGGGATTGTTTTTAACAAGAAAACAAATTTTCCTACTGTGTGTAATACAAAACCAGAAAAGTTTCAAATTTTTATAAATTATATTAGAGAGTTAGAAATAAGAAGAAACAAAGATATGTGAATATATATATATATATATAATTTAATAAATTGTACTTTGCATAAAAAATTAATTAAACAAATATATATTAAGTAGTTAATGACTGATATACATATATAATTTTAAAAAATTGACTAAATTGTTTTAAAATTGATTTTTATTTATATGTGCAATTAAAGTTTATCTAATATCAAAATAATTCAATAAATTTTGATAAAATCTTTAAATTTTTAATCATTTTTTAAAACTTCTAAAAAATTAATATTATTGATGTGAATAAAAGCAAAAGAAAAAGAGAACAAGAGACAATGTGAGTATAAAAACGGATGTTGGTACATTAATAATTTTTAATCGCACATAAAAATAAAACTAAATTTTAGTGCACACAAAATTTACATAGTTAAAGTTTTTTAAAGATTATAAATATACCTGATCTCGCAGCAGAGTTGTCTCAGCCAGCTGCAGATTACGTGTGACTTGAAGAGTCCTTTGACCGGATTCGACTCTCAAAACATACGCACTTGGAAAATAACCGACACGTCCGCCGAGACATTTACCCTTCCACCAATCTTTCTCCGATTTATCAATCACGGTAATTTTGTAACCGGCCCTATAAATATCAAAATACATTATCAATCATAAAGTTTTCTTCAATCAATTATTTACCATATATATGTATTTATACACTATGCAAATATGAAGTATATTATGCCCGGTTTACAATGAACTGTTAGCCATAAATCGGAAGTAAATCGACCAATGACAATGATTATTTTTAAAATAATCAACTGTGATTGGTCGATGTACTTGTGACTTTTCATTGTAGACAGAGCTTAATAGAGACCTTCCCGAAATGATCGCCCGTCACTTTAATTCGACACTCCCAATACTTATATTAACACGTAAAATGTGTCTTTTTCTGCAAATATTAATTTCTGCGAAATTAGAACGATAAAACAATCGTAATCCACATCGAAAAAGACAAAAGTACGCACCGAAACGGTCGAATATGTGCCTCACTTTTTCATGGCGTCCTCACCCTCGTTCAAGCCGGAGTTTTTTCCAGGAATAAAAGTAAAAAGAATAAATATTCTTCGTAATATACGCGTATCACCATAATGCAACGACGATTGTATCGAGATTTCATTAATATCGCGAAGACTTTTGAAGAAAAACGATGTCAAAATGACGGAAAGTTCCGACCGCAACGCGCGAACAAAACGGACTGCTTCGACGTCTGGCCTTGACTGGCTGATTTGACAGAACTAACCTTCCCCCACCCTACTCTCGCGTCGCGGCCAGCTCGCTCGAGTCCGAGAATTCCTGGAAAAACTCCCGGTTACTATAAACACAACAACGCGCACTTGCGAATTTGAGCTTCAACATTTTTATCGTGAAAATATCAGAGCATTTTGGACGAAAGAATTATAAGTAAATAAACTGAAGTACACTGCGATAATATATTTGCTATATTATATTGCAATAATGATACGCGACTAACTTCAAAGTGCCGCTGCTTTCGGCGAGGCGCGATATTTTAAATTGATTAATTCAGAATGTATTGCGCGTGAATAATTAAAATAAGCAGTAATATATATATATTATGCATACATAAAATCAATAACAGTATCGAGATGAAATAGTATTAAATATACAATATTAATTAAGTTATTATGTAATTATTTATTAACAATTAAGAAATGCAGAAATGTATTTATACAAAAAGAACGCGCGTGAGAAATCACTTAGATTGTTAAATTAATTTATTTTACTTGGTAACTTAAAAAAAGAAAATAATCTAAACAAGATAATTCTTCTTTACAGAAATCGTCTTTTTATTATAAAAAATATTACTTTTCTATATTTTTGTATCTTTCTCTAATTTATTAATACGACATACATATATATGTCGTTAAATAATAACTTATTCTTTCAAAAATTGTAATGACTTGCGATAATTTATTGTTTAATATTTCTTATGCTGTCGTTTCTTTCATTTTTTAGAATTTTATTAATTAGAGACGTTAATTAATTTTTTCATAATTTTATGATTGTTTATTAGATACAACTTTTGCGTATGTTTTTCAATATCTTTTATGAAATATAAATTATGTAAATTTCTCAAACTGTCAATTTATTACATTTATTGATGCATTCTTCTTTTATTTTAATTACTATTATGTTAAAAAAAAATTGAAATTTCTATTTTCATTGAACTTATACAAATAAACATATTGTTGCACAGAAAACGAGAGAAATATATTTGTGAATTTAAACAAAAATTATATATTTTATTTTAATATTTCTTTATCCTGTAGTTAACCTATTGATATCTTTATATTATTATCATTTATGTTACATATTTCGTTCTAATCTGATTAAAATATCCCGCCACTCTGACGTAAGCAGCGTCACTATGAAGTCGGTTGAATATGCTATATTATACCATATTGCATATTACTGTATATATTTACTATATTACGTTTCGAATAATTTTATTCAGTTATATCATAAATAAGAATATTTCAAAATCTTCGCGATAAAACCATTTGAAAAGTGAAAGCATCGATAGTGGCCGTATTTGCGGAGAAATGTTCTCTTTTCGGAAAAAAAAACTCGAGCTCGAACGCTCGAAGTTCGGAGAAGCAGGAGTGGGGAGAGAACACTCGCCACTTTCCTCGTGTCCTTGAACGACCCAAGTCGGGCCCCGGCCGTGAAGCGCGATTCTCGCGTCGTTTAATCGTCAAAAATAATATTTCGCGCGCGTACAAGTGTCGGAGGTGTCGAATTAAGTGACGAGCGATCGTCTCGGGATGTTAATTAGCCTATAAACGCGCATAATATATCATCCATTATCGAGTCTTTGTCGTTCGTTGATCCGCGAATTTCGTGCGACAAAGATGGCGATACTTCGAAATCGACATCACAAATATTTAGAAATCTGCGCGTAAAACCATTTGAAATCTCAAGAAAATATAATCGAGTCGCCGTGTTTACAGAAAAATATTCCCTTATCGCATTTCCTGGAGAAAACTCGGGAGACGCTCGTCTAAGGAGAGGAAAAAGGACATACGCCAGACAGTTTTACTAATGTAAGCATTTGTGTCTATATAATATTCGCATTGTCGATCACGATTCTTTTTCGCGTCGTTTTATAGAAAAAAAAATATTTTTCGCGCATATATACAACCCAGACAGCATCAAGTCCAAAATTGGCGTATAAGATATATCTTTAAGAAATCTTATAATATTCAAGACACCTTGAAGATATCTTAAAGAAATTTTTTACGCCAATTTTGGACTTGGTGTTGTCTGGGAAGTATCAAATCAAGTGATGGGATATTATTTATTATTAGTTTACAACGAACAATTTTCGAGAGCGCCCTCTCGATTTAACAATCGATAAAAAAATCGATTTAATCTCGCGTCGAGTTTCCAGTCTTCGTTCGACCGCGAATTTCGTGCGCGATAAAAATATTTTAAAGTTGGTAGCGCTGTTATAATATTTCGTTATATTTGAAACGGTTTTACTTTGTCAAGAATATTGAGAAATTTTCGCGACAATAATTAAAATCTCAAAACAATCGCCGTCGCGACGATACGCGGATTACGAAAAGATGATTTTGATTGTTTTGATCTTCCTAAAAAGCGCGGGCTCGAGCGAGACGCCATCGCGCGGTGGAGGTGGGAGAGAAAATTTGACTTGACAGTTCCGCCTCGTCCGTCCGTCTACTCGCATCGATCGCGGATCGCTCGCGTCATTTATCCGCGAAAAAGAATATTTCGCGCGCGTACAAGTGTCAGGAGTGTCGAATTAAGTGACGGGCGATCATCTCGAGATGTTAATTAGTCTGCAAATGCGCATGTCATCTCGCATCGAGTCTTCGTTCGTTCATTAATCCGCGAATTTCGTGCGCGACAAAGATGGTGGTATTTTGAAGTTGGCTGCGCGTCGCTTTCTTGCTATTATTTCGTTTCATTTCAAATATTCGGATATATTTTCGCGATGATAAATCTCGAAGTAATCGCCGCTGCTATACGCGTATATAGTACACGAAAAATATATTTTCATCGCTTTCCAGGTAAAGATGCGGGCTCGAGCGAGGATGAGGACGAAGAGGACATTCGCCGAGTCCTTCCATCTATTCGCATCGATCGCGATCGTTTTTTCTCGAAAAAGAATATTTCGCGCGCGTACAAATGCCGGGAGTGTCGAATTAAGTGACGGGCGATCGTCTCGGAGTGTTAATTAGTCTCTAAATGAGCACGATTTCGCGATCGATGTCTCGACGACGAGATTCATCCCCCTAACCTATATTTTGTTCTTTAATTATTAATTTGCATATTTCGCGATATTTGCTCGTTCGGCGAGTTTCAAGCAGACATCGAAGGATATCATCGCGTGATAATACATCGATCGGTAAATATAATTATTGAAATACAATTGACGACCGCCATTTTGTTAAGCGGCGTGAATTTTTGGAATTGTTTATCGGTCTGAAGTATAGAGGGTGCCAGGAACATGTAAGCCAGAAGTGTCGCGTAAATCGAGTTATCACAGTATTTCGGGTTATGTACTTCTTCGAATTTTACGTAGTTTCCGGGAGTGCCGATGATTTAAATACACGCCGTGTATTTTATAATATTTGTCGGTCTGGCAAAAATGTGTGAAATAAAAAAAGTGCGCGAGTGTATCGGGAGTGTCGCATGAAAAATATAACGGGCGATCGTTAAAAATAATAAAAATAATGTTAGCGATGGTTATCCATTTGTTTGACCACTTGAAGCAAAAAAGGAGTAAGAAGGAATAAACAAGCGGAAAGGAGTGGAAAAAGAAAGGAGCAGAAAATAACACAACATTGCAGTGGTGTATTATATTACGGAGCAACATTAGCTGAAATGTAAGTTCATTTTTTCACGATATTGGTTGTCGTAGCAATAAATATAATTGTGTTCTGTTAGGAATAATTATGAACACTTTTTAAAAATAATTTTAAAATGCTTCAAATATTATTATTTCATGTGTCTTTTACGAAAATAATAGTTTACAACATTTTACAGGCAATAAAAATTACAATTATTATTATTATTAAATTGAAATTAAAATAGAAGTAGTATTAGAATATACGTATTTATAATATCTTTGAAATTTTTTAATTATTTAAATATCTATTATTTTTGTCTTTTTAAATTCATTAAAATTTATTTAAATAAAATTGCATTAAATAAAGTAAAGAATTTTAAGAAAAAATAAAGACACGCACATTATTTAGAGTGCCTTCAATGATTTTTAATTTCAGATCAAAAGTGTTCATAATTTATTATTATAAAGGCGATTGATTTATGCAAGCAAAAAAGAAGAGTCCGTTTTTGCGCTTGACGCAAAGTATAACAATTGAATTATTTACTCACTTGAGATCCAGCTCATCCGGTTGTCGCGCCTCGAAATTGTATAGCACGACATAGAGATTGTTTGGCGGTAGGACACGTTTACCACCGGGTGGATTTAGGTGATTTTGATTGTTCGTGTGCGGTGACGGACACGGTGACGTACTCGCCGACGAGTACGACTTTTCGTTCTCATCCGGCAACTCCATGCTCGACATCCGGATGGCACTTCTCGCCCCGTGTTTGTGCGCGCCGTGTGTTTGGCCCGGACTGCAGGGCGCTATAAAAGACGCATTATAAATGTAAAAGACATATTTATGCGAAATCTGCGCGGTCCCAATATTCAGTCATAGGTCGCTACACGTGAAATGGCCGTATTTGGACATTTTTCCCTATACATTTAATTAATAATTGATAATACGTTCTCTAAATCCTTTTCGGAATAAGTTAAATTCTTTTCGGAATTATTAAAGGGAAAAAGACGGTTTCAAATATTTTCTTCATATCTACATGGAAAAAAATTGTTAACTTGACTAAACTGTTCAACTAAATTACTATTTTGTTAATTGAATATACACATAAGTACCTATTTAAGTTAAAGACATTAATTTAAATACTTATACACATATATTCAATTAACAAAATAGTAATTTAGTTGAATTAAATCGTTCAACTTAATTATTATTGTGTTTGATACATATGTTTTGCTAGATTTAAAATCTTGTATTTAATTTAAATATTTCTATATACATTCAATTAACAAAATAGTATTTAATTGAACGATTTAATCAAGTTAACAATTTCTTTTCAGTTTAAGATGTTTAATTACACATACTGAAATTTATTATTTTGATATTAAAATATATGACTATTCTTTTACCAGATTTATATTACGCTAGTTAGGTGTCTGCTTATTAATTTATAAATTATGAAACAAGATTGTATTTTATAATGATCTTGAATTTTAAGAATCCCGTTGTGCGTGTAACTTAAAAATCCAATTTGGAAAATATAAAACACTGTTTTACAGAGAAATTGTATCTCGGAATAATCGAGTATCAAGTAACACTTATTTATTATTTTACAATCGAGATTTGAAAGAAATTTTAAACTAAAGGACACTCTGAAATGCTAAATACTCTCTTAAGTACAGTCTTGCAATTAGAGGGCTTTGCAAATTGACCATTTTACATGCATCTATTTAACATTTATTGCACGTGTGAAAACTGCGGTTTACTCACATAGCCTGTTGATACTACCACTGTCAGAATGTCGGGGTGGGGTTGTCTCTCTTGCACCAGTACTAGAGTAGTAATCTCGTGGACGATGCCGGACGTGCGTAGTCCCTTCCGGTGAGTCCAAACTGAGGCTCTTCATCCTCAGATTTAGCCTCTCGCGTCTACGTTGCGGACTATGCGGTGCTTTTTCGTAATAATCGGTTAGAAATTTTTAGCCATGAAAAATAGGAGAGTCGACTTCAACGCTGACATCGAATAATTATGAAATTTAATCATGAAACATAATAAATATGGTGATTTTAAAAAATGTGTAAAAATATAAAATATTTCGGCATGCTTTTTACAATTGAAAATTTAAGATTGTAGTTTTTTTTTCCAAAGTACAAAATTAGATGAGAGCTTTTTGTTTAACGAAATATATCGAGATGTCAGTCATACACAATCCCGTTTCAAATAAAAGCAAATAAAAATTAATGTGTCTCGTAAATTAGTAAAGTAAAATATTCAGTATTTATTTTTGATCTCTTTTCTTTGTACATAATTTTTTTAAATATAATTTTTAGTTACTTAATTTATATTGTAATTAGTAATGTAAATCTTTATTTAATTTTGATCTCTTTTTATGTACAGAATTTTTTAAATATAATTTCTAGTTATTTAATTTAGAGTTGTGTGTGAAAGAAAACAAAAATAAAGCAATAATGGAGGTTAATTAAGCTTATGCAATTAGTTGAGCGATTTATGATTTACTAAAAAATTTTATCAAAATAAAATTCTATTCACTAAAATAAAAATAAAATTCCACAAATTGTGATATATCTATCTGTAAAAAAGTGTATGAAATCGATGTCAGCGTCGAGTATATTGAAGTCGGCTACACCAATAAGCGGAACAATATCTATTATTTACACATACATGAATTATTCAATGTAATTTATATACACTGACAATGAGAAAAAAAGCGCACAAACAGCATAATTACAACGGGACACGACTCGCGTAAAAAATATGAAAAGTTTTGTAATTATATTGCGGAAAAAATATATTTATTTACATATTTACATATTTTCATCGAAAAAAAAAAATATTAGATACATTTCCAATGTGTGTGCATGTGTGTGTATGTAGGAAAACAATAGCTGGATAATAAGCTACGTGATTTGCATTACTTTAAATCATATATCAGATATTTTTGCAATCTTCTTCTTCTAATCACACAGGTGTCTGACAGTACAGTTTTGTATTGTGCGATAATAAACTTATAACAAATAAAACTTTGATACGAGGTGCGAAAAAAAATTTAATTGATAGGTTCTCTGTAACGATAAAAATGAACATTTTTCACAACAAGTTTAGGCTACTATCGATACAAAGGCGTTTCGCCAAGTTTATTGTTAAATAGAAATGGTTACTTTTGTCGCTCTTTATTGTCCATAAAAGTGTGTCGCTAGAATTTTATAGCTCGTTTTATTTTATTATAAGAAATTGTGTATATGTTTGTTCGTTCTAAGATTATTTTCGAATTGCACGCTTCGCAACAAGAAATAAACGAAAGAAAAAACACGATAAACGACTCAACAGTGGCGTGTACAAAGCTGAAATGAATGAAACAAATCCTGTTCGCGTTGCAACAATAAAGAGACAAACCGATAAAATAGCCTCGTTCGCTATCACAAAAAGGCGTAAAATCGATAGTGGCCGTGTTATATTGATCTAAATCAATGACAAAGCGTAAATTGTGTTCCGCTGGTCGTATTTACATACTACGTGCAACGAACCACAAAGTGCAATCGTTTTTCCCCTCGCTTGAGCAATAAAATTGCACGATTTGATACTTGTTAAAATCATACTAACTTGGAATCCATCTCTGAAAAATATTTAGTGAAAAATAAAAAAAAATTCTGCTTCCTTTTTAATTTATTTTTCAAGCTATACAAATATTTTCCAGAATTCATAAATTATTTACGTCAAAGAAAAAAAGAAAATAAAATTTCTCAAATTATATCTGTATGTTTTTCTAACTAATTATAATAAATAATTATTAAAATAAATGATAATTAAAATGATAATATTTGGAAATAAAAAATTCAATAAACATTTTTAATTTTGATATTTCATTGAATAAGTAAATTTTTTATCTGTGTAAAATTTGCATTTTGTGCATTTTCGAATTTTCGGTAGACTCAGTTACGTGCCAAACTAAAATTTTTATTCGAGTTATATTTGATGGTATATCATATATCGAAATATTAGAAACAAGACCTTCTTGAAATGGTGTTAGTTGTTCGATGAATAAACAATCCTAAGCGCGATGGAACGTTGCAAATGTCTGCAATGTCGAAAATGAAGGATAACAATATAAGTATGTAAACAATTCGAACACATTAAATTCCGTGACGTTACAGGCGAATTTCGATTCAAAAACCGAAAGCGTATACTTGCATCTTTGTCCTCTGTTCTCGCGCGATCCTGTATATATATGATCCTATACACAATTTAGTGCATTCGTTTAATCCAGGTATATTTCCACCGTATATGTCTTCTTCTCCTCCTCTTCGCGCGGTTAGCTAACTACCTCCGGGGAAAATAAATTTTTAATAATCGTGGTACGGCCCGTATTCGATCGATTCACGTGGGAAGCGGTTTTTTTCTCTCGTCGTTCATATATAAAATATAGTCGACCTCTATATATTCAGTTCAGATCGATATATATTTGACGAAGAATCGATGTTCAATTTACTCGTTTGCGCATCCGGCTAATATTCGTCTAATATTTGTTTTCGCGACCATATCCATTAGTGTCCATTAATCAGCGAGTGCGAAATAGATCTTTCCTCGAGCGTATCGCGAAACAAATATATAGTCAAATTGTATAATAGAAAGTAAGATATTGTATGCGATACGTATTTAATAAATATTAGATGCTCCTCGAATATCGTTAAATATTTATAGCATCCAAAATTGTTTTATTATTATCATTTTTTATTATATGCAGTTTCATATGAAGATATAATTATTACGAATATAAATGAGGATATAATGAAGAAAGATATAATATAATATAAAATAAATAAATATTATAATAAATAAATATTTTTGTTATTAATATAATATAAAATAAATTATATTCTCATTCTGTAAATTTAAACATTTATTTTCTCGTAAAATAATAAATAACGACTGTTAAAACGAACGTCGAAAAATTCGAGCATTGTCAGAGTACTATTCAAATCATGTGCGATAGATGTCCAGGAATATCTATCAAATAAATATATATTTGTATCGTATAGAGTGTATCGGAGTGTATAGAGATCGGAAAATCGGGAACGGATCGCGCAAACAAATATATAAATAAAATGACAATATTCGGGCGGAAAAGGAAACGACGAAACCGGCGACGTCGCGTTCGAGAAAAGATCTGTCGCAGTATTTGTGGATATTTCTGATGCACTTGCTGCATTTGTGCGCGATATGCACCATTCGTACGTCGCGTCGCGACGCGATGCATCGTCATCGTTTCTTATTGGCGCCGCGTTGAGCTTGCATGTCCATCTCGGGTGTCTTTAGCGAGGTCGACGTCGAGGGTGGCGACGACGACGATTCCTGCGACATCAGTACCAGGGGTTGCCCGAAGGGTCGCGTGCCGGAAGTGGATCCGCCGCTGCCACGTCCTGACGAATCAGATTTCAGAACGATAACGCGATCATATCGACATATCAATGCTCTTCCGGTTGTGTGTTCTTTTCATTCTTCATTCGATTTCGCGGTTGGTCGCAATCTCGAGATGTTTGTTTAGAAGGAAAAAGCTCGCACAAGTTCTCATTAATTGTTCTTATTAGGATAGCACAAAGTCCTGCTGTTACCGTCCTTCAGGTTAGTCGGCGATATTTTTTTCGTTATTCGCTCCTTGTTGTCTTCTCATAATGTGCATTACGTAGAATTATTCTTATTACGATACCGTATAACTTCGCTTTGCGAGGTGTATCAAGTATACAACAATATCTATCGTTACATAAAAAAATATAATTACAAACGAACAGAAGAATCAGAACTAATAATTATAATAAATTATAAATGATCAAATAACGAAAAAGAGAATCGTAAAAATAATTAAAAATGATCATTGTTATTTTATTAACCTGTTCTTTTATTATAACGATTACTGATATCGTTATTATAATGTCGTTATTATATTATTATAGTTAATATTTCTTAATTATTATAATTATTATTTCCTATTATCAACACTATCTTCAAATATCCATGATAATGATGGTAATTATTATAATTATTGTTATTATTATGGTAGATCCTTAATCGAACATATGAGAAAAAGCTAATAGGAGATGATTTTGGGTGGGAATCTTGATAAGCGTGAGATAAAAGTCAAGAGGGTGAGAAGCGATAAAGTGTTTCTCTCGTCGTCGAGGAAAGACATTCACGAAGATAATAAATGCCAGCCTAAAAAAAATCGATCCATTCGACTTATCAACGTGATTCTTGGTTGAGAGAGAAGAGCTTGCAACAAAAGCTTCTTCAGAAAATCTAGTACACTCGTAACGAAGATAAGTAAAGTGCATAGTTTATATTGTTGCTTAACAAAGTGAAACGTAAGTAAGAAAGTAAACTATAGACGAGAGGTCTTCATCCTTTCGATAAACTTCTATATTTACAGTGTAATTTTGTACGAAATGACATTTAATGCATCTCATATTTTAAAGATTTAATTTAAAACTATATATATATATATATATATATTGGTATATATACAAAATGTTGTTACGTGTAATTTGTAATTTTGTAGAAGTCATTATACAAAATAAAAGAGATAAAAATATAAAGTCGAATACATGATCATAAATAGGTGGCATTTATCGTCGCGGGTGCGCAATCATATGACAAACATTATAATGTTTAATACAGATAATCTTAACGATATAACGCGTAGTATGTATAACAGAATGCTGAATAATACCAATAATAATGTCAGCAACTTACCTCTCTAAAATCGGTCGAATTAATCGTAATAACAAGCAGAATAAGGGCCGATTTTTCCAACTTCTTGGTAAGCTTTACCCGACAGGTAGTTATTTTCGTCTCTTTTCAGATACATTTAAAAAAAAAGAGACAAAGATACGCTGTCTGTCGGGTAAAACTTACCAATAAGAGTTGGAACAACCGACCCTAAATGGTAGATATATATAGAAGAAGAAAAAGTAGCAGAGAAAAAAAAGAAAAGATATATATAGACATGATAGAAGGAGAAGAAGAAGAAGAAGAAAAGAATACACATTGAAAAATCGAGAGATAGATTACGAATTTACGAGTCATGTCCCTGAAGAGGACGAGCGATTTTATACAAACACATAGAGTGATTTCGGACCTTGGAACTGACAGTACTGGAGCACGAGCGACATAACAAACACGCACAATATATACGTGCTTCAAAAAAATAACACATAAGTACAATTACATAGCAACAACTTGACTAATTGAGAAGATAGAAATATGAAGTAGAATTATAATAAATTTGAGACATCGAAAAACAATACATAATTTTTTCAATATAAAAGTTTTTGAATGTGTGCATTTGATGGTTTACACAATTTCTCATTTCTATTACTATGAATTAATTTTAAAAAATATTTGAAAGTTATTAAATTAATATTCCTATCTTCTTTCTCTAAATACAATAAGATACATGTATATAATAGTAATTACAGTAATAAAAATTAAAGCGTAAAAGGAGGGAAAGAATTATTCGTTCTTTTTATGCTTCGATAATAGAAACGGAACTTACAGAATTACAGAATAGTAAAAAATAAATATAAAAATGATTGATTAAATATTGGTATATCAAACTTAAACTGAAAAAGGTAAGGTACACATTCAGAAACATGTTCACTCCAGTACTATGTCGGTATGCTCCAAAAATTTCGATATATATTTCAACAGTATTTATTGTTTAAAAATCAAATTGAATTTTATAAATGTTTTCTCAATGGCGGATTAAATTATTTAGGGCGCAAGAGGCACTGTATTCAGGATTTTTTATTATTGTATCACAATTTATTCTTGTTTAAAATTCTTAGATTAAGAATTTTTTATTGATATAAAAATAATAATAATAGTAAATGAGTGACAGATTTTTAAATAAATTAATAAAATGTTTAATTTATATTTAGATTTTTAGATGAATGTGATAAATTCTAAAGAAACAAAATTCTATTTTTGTTTCGATATTTCGAATGAGAGCGTCTTATGCATTTTTAATCCGCCACTGTGTGTGATGAAATTTCGGGGAAAATTCCGACGTACGTTCCAAGGTCTGTGGGAATTGTTTGGTGGTGCGCCTTACCAGAGGTGGACGAGGAACAGGGATGGGAGGAGGCCCTCGCTGACGAAGGTGCTGCACCGGAGGAGGGATGTTCTGCTGTAGGAGGCGTAGGTGGTGAATTTGTCGAATTTCCACGGATCTCGCCTGCCTGCTTCAGCACCTGGTATATGGCGTCCACGTCTGCCCACACGGGATAAAGAGACACAGCAATGCAGAAAAGCGCACCGATAGGACTGGTTTGGGTTTTATGATTCGCGCGCTCAATCAGTGCTCTCAATTTGCTCACATTGATCTGTCTTCTTCTTCCCTTTTTTTTCTTTTTTCTTTTGCGTTTGATATAAATGATAAGAAGTAGCGCACGAGAAACGATATATAGCAACAATGACATTGAACGTGTAATTCTCGCAGATTAATTCGTATTGCGGAAAGAGATGCTTCACGAGAGATATAAATGAATCTCATCTTCGAAATAATATTCAAATAATTTTAATGAAATTGGAATTTTAATTACCATGAAACTGAAATTAATCTATTTAAATCTCTAAAGGAGAAAAGAAAAAGATTTCTGTTTAAAAAATGATCGAAAATATATGTGTGTATGTGTATCAAATTTAACTATATGTACGCAATGAATGAGCTCTTATTCTCTTATTACTTTTTCGCGATAGTTACAATATCGGCAAATGAATGGAATTGTAAGTAATTCGGAAGAATTGAAAGACTTTTTTTAATTAAACAAATTAAAAAAATTAAATCATATATATACATACTCTCTCTCTCTCTTTCTCACTTTGAATTATTTAATGAATGATTGAATTATTCAATGAATAATTCTCTCAAATATAAAGAAGCAGTTCAATAATAATTCTTGTATTTAAAAAAATGTCTATCCTTTACTTTTCTGAATTTATTCACGCACTGGCCGTCGTTACGTATGTTGAAACACGACAAAGAGAAACCGCGAAAAAAGTCCTACCGCGTTTTGCGGCGTGTACTTTTTAACGAATTTCTAACAATTTTTAACAACGCATCACGTATGAAAGGAAACGCTGGTTTTTCCATGGAACAGGAAAAAAAGAAAAAATTTCCAATCAACGAGAGATAATAAAATTATCGGGGCTGATTCTTTTCATTTAAAATGTCCGATGAAACGTCCTCGACAATGAGAGAGCAGTCGCGTTGCCGGAGGACGAAGGGAGGAAAAATAGGATGAAAACACGCCAGATTCTCTCTTTCTCTCTCTTTCTCTCGAAAATATGAAAAATTGTACTCACTGTGCTCGGACGATGCCGGCACCTCGTCAGCTACCTGCGTCTTTTGCCGACGCAGCAGCGGTATCCCACCGCTCTTCTTGGGCGCCAGACTCGGGCACAACGCCGGTTGCACCATGTTGATGCAGTCCGTGTGCGCGTTCGCCTTGCAGCCGCGACAGCGAACACCCTGACGGCTATGACCGCGCAGCACCTGTCCGCACGCGTCGCACGGCGTGATCTTGCGGTACGTGTACTCGCGCCACGTGTGTCCGCCCTCGGACTCGAGGCTCTTCCTGCGAAACCACAATTTCTCATGTTCACTTTGCTCTCGCGAAACTCGACATGTGTGCGTGCGCGCGACATTGCTGTTATTATTTATTGTGTTACCGTTAATTGCGTGCTTTCAGAATTCATAATAATATGGAAATGGCGTGAATTAAACGTGATGCATACATATATATCCGAGAATTAGAGAATCGCTCGGAAGTGACGTTCACATAATGTTAATCAAAGATTTAAATTATACACGGAGATTTTTCTCTTAGAATTTAAATGCAAAGTTATGTTAATCATGAGACAATATATTGTATTGGAAGAATTTTTCTCATTAATATTTATCACAATATTAATATGTACATAGTAAAATTAATCGAACATATTTTATATCTTATTGTGATAGATATTCATATTTTATTGTGATAAATATTAATCAGAGAAACTTTTATAAAATTCTAGCAGAAAACTCTCTGTGCACATGGTGCATTTTTAAAAATTAAAATTAAATTAAGACAGAGGTCTAATAATCGTAATATAAGTGGGAAGTTTTTTATTATTAGAAAAATTAAAAAAGGTGAATACAATTTTTTCATATGAAACATATTCGAGAAGAGTGACTTTGAAAATTCCCCCCAAAATAGGCACATATATTCAAAATCAATTTTTAATATGAAAAAATTTTATGCTATCTTTCAATTTTTTTTTTATTGAAGGAACTTTACATTCTATCAACATGTGACAATTTCAATAAAGAAAGTTAGTGAGGAAGAAATCATTCGAATTATTAAATATTAAAAAATTGACGTAAACGCGAAAATATTTTATAATAATGATCGTCTAATTTTCGCGCGAAAAAAACGTGATTAGGGGGCGCGTTAAGAAATAAAGAAGCAAGTGTCAATTAACGTTCATATACGACAATCTGGAAAACTTACCTGGACATGGCGACGACAGTAGAAACTGCGTGGTACATGGTCGCCTGCTTTCCTCTTTATTAGTCGAGCATTCGCAAAACAGTATCTACGGTTATTCAAAATCTCTTTTGTCTAACGCCTATGGTTCCCCTAATTGGGAAACTTACAAAGCACACGGAAGTAAGAGCATATATTTAACTCGAACGTCTCTCTCGTCTCGAGGGAATTGACTTTGACAACATCGTTCTATAGGTATGCGAAGATTGCAGCGAGAAAAACTTTGTTTGCTCCAATGCCTGTTTGTTTCTCGAGATGCAATGACAACGAATTTCCTTCGTTCAAATTGTTTGCGAGACACAAACACGAGTTTTCCTTGCAGAACTTTCGCATGAAATTCAATTAATACATTAACATTGAAGAAAAATCACTAAAACGATGACTACACACTCTTCTATTTTAATATTCTAAAAGTTTGCGAGATATCCTAATTCTATATTAAAATAATATGAGAGAGAGAAACTATAACGTTAAAGATAAATATTAGATTTATATTCTATCTACGTGTGTTGTGATAAAGCAATGTCTAATTTTAATGAACATTCGTTATTTTCTTACATGTTCATGCACACGTCACGTAGGATTCGCAAGATAATTCTTTTTTTTTATTATACATTGTGCAAAAAATGAAAAAAAAATTAAATATAATTAATTTTGTACGTTTGTTGGAAATACTTTCAAATTATACAGAGCATCGTCTTAATTTTATTCCAATGTTATCTCACGAATTTCAATTTGCGCATCCCACGAATGTACTCTATTTTCTACTGAATAATACGAAACAAAATTTAGCAAGATAATAAAACACGAGGAGAGAACAATCAACGTCGGATTACTCGAAAAGCAAAGTCGTTTCTCTTTCGTTTCCGGAAGTATTGAAGAAATATACGAGTAGAGATATAGCAAACATGTGTACGTGTTGTAGTTTGTCGTTCGAAAAACCATCTCCTACGCGTCGAAAACTTTGTCGACATCTTTTCGTGGCATGCACGTGATCGAAAATTGATTGTACTATAGTGGAAAAGGAAATTAAGTAGCTCACTTGTCGGACAGAGGCGGCGTCGTAGGCGTACTGGTTTTCAGGCTTTTGAACGCCTTCAACCATTTGAGCTTCGGGCTTCCGGTCGAGCCGTTCGACATTTTCCGACTGGCCAGCCCATCCGGTTGACCGGCCTCTCCACCTCCGAAAAGTTCTTTCTGTAATTTATAGGAAATTTATATATAAAACTTTATATAAGATTTAATTGTGTAACAGAACATCATATATACAAATAATATATTAATAACGAAATTAATAAAATAAATTGTTTTTGAAACACACAATCGTAAAATCGATAGCGTGATCTCGAATAATTAGAGTTTTTTGAAAAAGATTTATAATTTAAAGGGCTTAGAGAGAAGTTGAAGCATTAATATAAAAACTCTTCATTTTTATTTATAATTTAGTTTAAACTTTGTTTTAATTAGATTTCACTTGGAGACTTTATTATCAAAGTAATTAATGTTAAAGGATTATTAATATGAATAAGACGTCATTGCACTCGCGGTCACGTGAAATTTTTTTAGTGATGAAGGTAGCCTATCGATATTGATCAACGAATCCGTATGATAATAAAGATAATCTTGAGATCTTATATAAGTTTATGCTCTGATCGAAAGAAGAGTCTATTGTGTTGTTGTATTAAAATTGAAACGATAATTATGATTATATTCTTTTTCGCGTGTCAATTTATATGTTTACATATCGCTCTAAATGATTAAGGAGCGAATCTTACAGACACGTGACTCAGAATGAGTGGAATATTTACGTGATTATATATTAGAGATGTTCTTTCTATTATTACATGCGCAGATGTCATTTCACGGATAATAATTGTAATGCATAATTTGGCGAAATCACGTTAATCTGATAAACAATAGAATTTAGTTCAAAATGCCGATATTTTTATAAATCTAAATGAATAAAAACAGTTGTTGATAATTGTTAAATATAAATATAAATTTTAAAACACGAACAATAGTTCTTATTGGACGTAGAAAAATCTGTAAATCGCGAAAATAACTTTTCACAAGCTTCAGAACTTTGAAACTGCAACAACACATTAAGCTGCATTATTAAACTTTCATGGTTTTCGCATAACGCGTATATCTCATTCTGTGATTAAGAGTCGACCGCGAAAGTTTTATTTTCCGTCACAGTAACGCGCTTAGTAACGCATACCCTGAAAGATAGCACGGATTCGTTAATACACCACCCTGATTGAAAGTGTTTTCACGTAGATGTAACTACGGTTGTTCCATTTTCATACAAATATATTTATTGACACTACGTACATGTCAATTTTCATTGATCCCTATGGTCATTCAGAATGTACTCGGCCATTGTTCGCGGCCGCAACATTACTCCCTTTGTGCTCGACTTCACAATAATGAATAACTTCTTATCCGTGTTTCATATAACTTTCACGTTCATTATTTTTCTTTGTCATATAAGTTAAATATTAAATATTTTATAAACACGTTACAATAAATTTTTAAAATGTATACGTTGCATACATATACATATATTAAATATGTTGCAACATATAAAGTATTTATAATGTTAGATATTAAATATATATATTTTAATATCTATGTCGAAGATATGTTTTTATATACATTTCATAATTGATATAATATCAAAACAAAGATGCGCACATACTTAATCACTTTGGAACGTCGTAAGAATTAATGACGGCATTATTTATCCGAAACAATAAAAAATAATCGACCATCGTAGAACCTATTTTGAATAACCATAGGTATCACAGAATATCACTGAGCACTTTTCAATCAGGGTGATCCTGCTGGTCGAGCGAGTCCACTGGATCATGCGGCACCCTCGCTTTTGCGATCAAACACGCGCGCGAAAAATGTGACGATTGATCGGAAAGGGGATAGAAAAAAATACTAACGACTCGCGTACGCAAGGTGGTCCAACCCATCGTTCAGGTTGGACGCGACAGTTCGGCAAAATAGAGAAGGAGCAGAGAGAAAGAGCCTGTGCGAACGACGGCGGCCAGACGACGATCCTGCTCGCCTGACCTGGATAGACGGACTCTCTCTCTCGGCGAGGCCAGAAATGGATTTTCAGACGCTCGTGTTCTCGCCGATGACCCAGTTGCAAGGGCGCATGTCGCGCGATTGCGCGCCACCAGTATTTATCCGGCGTTTAGGCTAAAGCGCATCAGTGAATGACCAATTGCCAGTGAATGATCATATTACTAGCCTCCATTCACCAATTTTTTTCCCGGAACTAGACCGTTCGTATTTACATATATTACGTATAGGGAAAAATCTAATCTGAACTCTTAAATTCGTTCTATGATCGCGTTTGCAAAAATTTGTATTCCGTATGATTCTGCGTAGTAATATCTTTTTTTTTAAACTCTTTATATCACTTTTACACCACAATATTTTTGCAAAATAAATTTAATTATTTTTCAATTGTACGCAGAGAGAATTTTCTCTTAGAATTTACTCTGAAAATCATAATAATCGTGGGATAATATATATGGTATTGGAAGAATTTAATGAGTTTCTCTGATTAATATTTATCACAATAAAAATATTAATATCTACCATAAATAAGATATAAAATATATCTGGTTGGATTAATTTTACTATGTATATATTAATTTTTTTTTATTGTGGTAAATATTAATTAAATAAACTCTTATAAAATTCTTCCAATACATAATTGTACTATGGTTGGATAACGTTAATTTGTTTCGAAAGTACATTCATAAAATTTAATATATTTCTGTCGAGAAGATTAATTTAATTTACAAAAACATGCATTTTAACAAGCGCAACATATTGAAATTTGCTCACGATATATCACTATACATATACAGCAACAATTATCTTGCAAACACAAAAGGTCGTAATGTTATCGATCTTTAATTATTATCACCTTAAAATAATTAATTCCTGGATGTTTATGATTATTATAGTGTCGTCGATTTTACCGTTTGCAACATTTTTCTTCAATTATCAATTTTAGACGATATTACTTAATTTTCGCTTTCAATTAACGTTCAAACAATTAGGCAACTATTCACTGGTGCATATCCGGTATATATACTGCGCGTATAGATGAAACGTATCACGGGCGATTGAACAAATTGGATGAAATGGAGGGAATGCGGGATAGAGATACCCTGATCAATTGTATAGGTCGTGATCATGGAAGCGTTAAATAAATACTATATACGTCTATAGTAAAATTTAACTAAAGTTTACAATTGTGTTTAAATTTTTACTTTAATATTGTATACATATATCACGTTTCACACACCCTCTATTTCAATTTATTACGATTCCATAAGCCAAATCACAAAAGAATCGCACGATTGATGCAAGTGTAATCTTCTATTCTCCGCGTTAATACGATAAATATTTGAAAAAAAATCGTGTTTTAATTTGAATAGGTTGTACAAAATAGCAGTGGACTCTTTTTGCGGCGAATAAAGTAATAAATTCGGGTGTGTATATTAGAGAGACGATCGAGATGACAAATATGCGACGCGCGCGGATGCAGCAGCGTTAACAAGGACGTTGTAAAGGAAACCAAAGGACATGTGCATACCTGTGCTTGCACCGCGGCTAGACGCAATTGCGCCACGCCGAGGTCGAAACGCTTGAGAGAAATATCTTCTTGCAGCTCGGCCACTTTTGTGAAAAGATTACTCTCGGCGCTCCTGCAATGGGAAGTGATAAAATAACTCTTATCCGTGTGTTCCTTCTTAAAAGATTAAAAAGCTGATATATTTTCGTGTAAAAGTTAGCGCGTCTACTGGGACAGGTAAAAAATATAACTGGAAAAATAAGAAATGTATCCGTGCGCGGAACACTGAAAAGCAATCTCGATATCTTAATATGTTTGGAAATAAAACGATATCTCGATCTAAAAAGTATATGTATTTTAAAATAGCGCTATATATGTATATATAAATATATATAAATATGTATATATAAATATATATAAATAAGTTTTATTTATATTTATTTATAAATTTTATTTTAAATTTTCCATCATGGTTAATAAAAATCTCACGTCACACGTCACGTATATAATTTATATAACGAATTTGACGAAAATATATAAAATTGCGCAGGATGAAATAAAATACAAAATAAATTATTTGCAAAAAAGAATTGCAGAAAGATATATGAAAACACTTGTTTCTCGTAAATAAAATTGATTAATGCGCAAATAGCAAAACGCGAGAGTTTAGGTTCGCGCAACAAACGAAATATGCGGTTGCGTTAAAAATAACCGTACGTACTTGCGCTGCATTCGCACCAGAGCGTCCAGAGCGTCTTGCAAACGACCTATTTCCTGGATGAGGCTGTCGTACTCGAGTTTGAGATCTTCCATGAGAGGGAGCGTACTGGCGCCCGTTGGTACCAATTCGTCCCTGAGCGTGGGTATTTGACTGATTCTCTCCATCGGTACCTGTTCGGGCGGTGTCGGCGCGACATAAAGGCGTCGCGGCGGTTTCCGTGGTGTCGCGCTCGCGGACAAATTGCGCGCCAAGGCCTTAAATGACATTACATTGCTCCATTTTAATCAAATATATTTCATTTTATATACGCGACGAATAAAAGATCACGAGAAATAATTTTTTATCCAAGCAACATCGTGTCTCAAATTGGCGCGTAAGACATTTTTTTAAGTGTCTTTAAGACGTTTTTTTGCTGGATATTATATTATTTCTTAAAGACTTAAAGATATCTTATGCGCCACTTTTAGACATGTTGTCTGAGTAACCTTTTTGTGGTCTCAAGCTGGGATATTCCAGTAAAGCTCTTATTTGTCCCAAGCGATTTAAAATATATATATATATATATATATATATATATATATATATATATTTGTCATCGTATATTTGTACATCAAATAATAAGTAATATATCAAATAATACAATAATAATACTAATATAAAAAAATTACGAAAGCGTGAACGAGACGATGTCGATATGTTACGTAACTTGGAATAAAATATTTGCCATATCGCTTTATCATCATTCTATCATTAATAATTGACAAAGCCGTCGCGAAACGCGGGTGTATCCGCGAATAGGGATTACGTTGCGTTTAAGTGACAAATCGGTATATCCGTGACGAGGGTTCGCACGTTCGTGTATCCCGATCGATTTCGAGGAGGACGAATCAGGGAGAGTGAATAGCGGCACATTTCGTCAGTGTCGAGTTAATCCGTCACATACGAGCGACGCGACGCGATCCCGAGAGGCCGATATCCCACTCGTGCAAGGGGATATGACCGACTTTAATCAGCCGGTCCTGTTTTCGCATCCCTGTGTGTCTCTCTTCCAACGAATGTAATCCGCCGCATCGAATCCGCCCCGAAATTGGATATATGTCCGGTACGTCTATTTGCTATGCGTGATCAATATGTCCGGATAGTGTGGCTATCGATCGCTTCCGATTGACATATCGAAACCGATATTATATCACCAATTGTTGAGAGACACGAGTTTTAGAGTTAGAGAGAGAAAGAGAGGCTGACAGACAATCGCGTATTTTTTTTTTCTTCGAGCACTCGGCTGAAAGTGAATAGATATCGCTTTAATAAAGTAGCTTTCAACAAATCCCTCGTATTATTTTTGTTAACCAGAGTGGGAGAGAATGAGAAATACAATATTTGTCTCGTTTCTCGTAACGAACACCTGTATAATATTTTCGTTTAATTTCATTTGAGATTGAAATAAAATAAAATAAAATAAATGATTTCTCGCGCGCGGCGTCAAAGATTTCTCTGATTCGAAACAGGAGATTCAGAATAAAAAATAATGACCTGCAAGTCGTTGGCTGGTACAACCGCTTGCGCTTCCTTGGCCACGGCCTGGTAACGTTTGGCTTGCTCGCCAGCGCGTTCCCCAGCCGTCTCCGAGATCCCGGCAACGCATTTGCAGGTCAATCCGCAGAGCTCCTCGTAGACCTCCGCAATCTCGCCCAACAGCCCCGGTAGACAATGGAACTGATAACGCTCGGTGATGGCGTTCGTCGCTCGTAGCTGCAGGATATAGGCGTTGTGCGACTCCAAGTAAGCGCGTTTCAATTCCTGCTCGACGCTGCCGCCGCCGCTGGTTAGCAACGCGCCGTAAGCTCGTTTGTAATCCAATCTCGCTCGCTGCAGCTTCTCCTCCGTCTTGCTAACCACCTGCTCGTAAGCCTCGCGGTGGTCGAATACCTATGCGAGGAGAGAGAGAGAGAGAGAGAGAGGAGAGAGAAACGTGGCTGCAGTGTACGAGATAAATTGCATGGAGAACACGATCTCTTGCTGTCTTGAATCGAAATGCCGTTCGCGTAACCAGTTTAAGAGACAGAATAATTGAGCGGAGAGAGGTCGCTTGGGAAACTTTACACCACCCGCTCTTGCGCCAAATACGACACAAACTCGTCTCTTGTGACTCGACTTCTGATTGTCAGCAGCGATCAGACGTCTTTGAAATAGCAATTGCAATTTAGCACAGAATAGCAATACTCGGATAAATTGATATCGTCGCTTGTGCATTGGGTACGTGTACACGTTGAGATATATAGTGCGGAATTAAAACGGTTCACGAAAATAAATATCTACCTTAAAGCAAAGAGATTATACAAATACTTTTCTGAGATTATATTTATTTTATTTAATTGCTTTGCAGCTTGGGATGACTTCCGGTTGACATTTTATCTCTTTATATTGTAACGCTTTTGTACATTACAATGAATTCAAATTCGATTAAATTAAATTAAGCTAAATTTAAAATTAAAATTATGAGAAATTCTAAATAGAGTATACAGACTTCTATATATATTTTTTTTAATCTGCCGACATCACGCAAATTGATTATCTCTCTTGATTCGTAATAGTTGAAAGGCGCGAGAGCTTACCTTCCTCGATTGCAGCTTTCGATGAAAGCTCGCCTCTAAGGTGGGCCTGGACAATTGCTGCTGCAGCACCGCTGCCAGATCGAGGTGGGACGATGCATCCGCCTCGACTTGCCGTAACAAATTGTCCCAAACGCGTCGCATGCCACCGACGTCGACTCTCGAGCTGCTCGATCGGCTACGAAATTCATCGACCAGACGTCGCATATTTGCAGAGTGGCTCTCCATCGCGGCGCCCAACTCCTGGGCAAACTCGGAGACTGCTCTCGCGGAACAAATAAGAGAAAGCATTAATCAGATAGTTACGATCAGAGCGATTAATGTGGCGGTAAATGGGAATTTCGATAAATGTAATTAATCGTGAAACTTGAAATGCGGATTTTATGAGAAATTAATGTGTGTGAAGTTGGCGTCCGATTTCGTAAAAAACTTGTAAATAATTCAAAGTTCTGACTTTTATTTTCAATAGTTCTACACTGAAAAAAGAGTGGTTGTTTTTCGACGAAACAGAGAATTACTGGTTAAATCGAGCAGAATTCCTTTTAATGCAACAAGAATCTTGGTTATTTTTTGTTTGCAACAAATTGTTTGTGCTAATCAAGATTCTTGTTGCATTAAAAGGAATTCTCGTCGATTTAACCAGTAATTCTCTGTTTCATCGAAAAACAACCAAACTCTTTTTTCAGTGATAGAGTTCTTGATAGTTTAAAAGTTTAAACAAATAATTCTGGCCATTAAAGCAATGCGAATGTTTTGGAACAAACTGACAATGAAACGCCATCAGTAATTATCTGGATTTTAAACATTTATAGTTCTACATGAGTTTTAAAAAAATTTTGCCTCCCAAAAAAGCAAAAAATATTCAACCAAAATAAAGACAACCGAATACCTATTATCTATAGATATTGAGATGAGACGCCAGTCGATTTTTAAGAATTATATTTATTCCGAAAGCTTTTTGAACGAATCTCTTTCGCGAAAGTGTTAATTATCGAATCTCTTTCGAGCGCGCGCGCGCGCGCTATTAGAATAAAGTGTTGCCATCTGTGATTTGTCTATCGTTAATTTTCTAGCTCACATATTTATATTGTGTATGTTACAATGCGGAATAATAAGATTATTCTAATGCATGTATGCATTTTATTTGTTACAGGTGTTGCGATACACAGTGCGATTCACGCGTCGTGTCGGGAGTGCCGTGTAAAGTGTCGGGCGATCGTTAATTATTCGTGATTTCGCGAGTGTCGTCAGTACTATACGAGGGACCAAAAGAGGAGGAGGAGGCCTTGGAGGCTCGGGTGACAGCGGGGCAACTGTGAGGTATGCATAAATATTATATAATTTATAACGTATTTAATTTATTAATTTGCTACTGGGATAATTACTTGTTTTATCTCCACGAAATTTATTTTACATTATGTATTTATATACTAAATTTTTATGCATATAACATATTTTAGAAATTTTATTTTAAAATACTTGCCTCAAATATTTATAATTATATATTTTATGTAATATATAATATTATATATAATATATACACATGTATTTACATAATTTGAATATTTTGTTTTCAGGTCAATGTGCTACAACTCCGCTACTGCACGATACGACGTATGGGTGAGTGAGAAATTGTTTATTGTTTACTTTATAACAGGTTTGTAGCGGTAATTAATAGCTATTATTATGTAGGATATATGAGAAACTATTCGAAAAGAATGGGAAAGATATTTTTAATTCTTATATAACAAATTTATTTTATATAAATAATCCGTTATCTTATACATGAAACAATGAACACAATCGTTAGTTATAATGAATAAATAGTCAGAGAATTATTAAAAGAACGGAGAAAAATGTTTTCCATTAGGAAACAGTTGAGAAAATTCATTTAAAGAATGGTTTTATTGATAAGAAAAATATTTTCTCAATATATGAATATTATATAAATTTCTACTAAAAATCTATAGCAATATATTAAATTGGTGATTGCAATTCGGAGTATATTAATCTATTATTCAAATCATTTTCTTCGCTATAAAATTTGAAATATATTTCACGAACGAAACCAGTGGCCGTATAAATAAGCGAGACGTTATTTAAACGGGGGAATGAGAAGTCTCGCAAGTCTTGTTTTGGAAACAGAAAAGTCCCCTGGAAATTTGCCAGAAACTTAGCAACTGACGACGGCGAGTGCAATGCGCGAACGAAATGGCGCGGTTGTGACCCTTTATATCGTTTATAGTCTATATGTCGATTCGATTTGCTCGTCAAAGGCACCGCTGTGTGGCACTTTCGATATCGGAATCGACGTCCTAGAGAGAAAGGTTCGCGGGGTGGCCGAAAGTAAATTGCTCTCCGGTGGAAATCGGCTCCGGCGAACGTTATTTTGGGCGTATATCTAGAGTGGTACTCCAGATCGGGCGAAGAGATGAGAGAAAGGGAAGAATTCAATATTCTTGCCGTCTTATCTCTATCTCGCGCGCGCGATCAGGGAATTTTGAAATATCCTTTTATGGATCACGACCCAAATGGCATCTTCGCGACTCGGGATCACGGATCAAAAGCATGTGCGGAGTTCTCTCGTAACTCGTTATCGCTTTCGTCGTGATAGCATGTGGCCCTTTACGTTATCTCTGCTTCCTGGCGCGGCTTATTTCCTTCGCTTCCCAACGAATCGCGAAATTTTATCGAAATCTCGCATTTTTGAAAAGAGGGCGAAACGTAATTTCTTGTAGAACCACGATCAAGAGGAGAGGCAGGAGTAATAAGGAAGCTAAAAAGCCGATCAAAGAGGATGCACTTTTTTGGTGTGAACTTATATTATCCGATTATACCGTGAATGTGTAATAAGCAATTCTTATTTTTTTATTTAATTTGAAATTACAAAATATAATGCGATTCAGATATGCAATTACATAATATCATTTCAATAGTATTGTATTTTATATTAATTATTATTGATGTATTTAAATATATTCAAATTGCGTTATTACTTATTGATGGTATAAATTGTAATATTAATGATTTCCTTCTAAGCAAAATTATTTCGCTTTAAAAAAGCAACAATAAATTAATTGATGATTTTGTTGGATTACATTTTTAAAAAGTATTGTTTAATCGGAAATTTTTAAGATATGTTTTTAAAAATATGTTATTGAATTATTCAAATTCTATCAATATTATAATTATATATACTCTTTTTAAAGATTTTCATTTATGCATATATTTTTATTGGATCAAATTTATTTGGGATAATAATCGTCGTGGGCAAATGCGTAGAGAATATCGCACATATTACGTCAAGAAATACCTTGGCGACGAAAGCTCATTGCCGTCATTTACGTTATATTTCGTCCACACGTCGCGATTATTTTGGCAAGAAGAATTTGCACACCTCGAGAAATATATTTCTTTCTGTTATACGGTAGGAAGAAGGGACTGCATCAAGTTTCATTACTTATATGTGTGTGTGTGTGTGTGTATGTGTATTCTGATAATAAATGTTTTCTCTCTAGAGCGATATCTTAAGAAATGATTGTTTCTAAAAATTAGAAAAAAAGAGAGAATTTATAAGAAAATATTTTATTAAATATTTGTTATATAATATCTGATAATCAAGCTTTTGCTCAATGACAACAGATTTGATGATGATAGTAAAAATATCGCGGATACACGAATAAATTCTATTATTATCCACGTCAAATCGTCGGGATTAAAAATAAAATTATTCATATTCTTATCTGTATATGAAATCGTCGGAATTAAAAATAATATTAAGAATATATACGACAGAAATAATGAAAAATAATTCGACATGAATTCTCTTTATTCTGGTTTTTGTCATTATGTGTTTTCGATGTAACCGGTGAATCAAAAATACATAGGAGCTTTTACGTCAAACCTCGGTCAATGAAAATATGCAAGCGGAAAAAGCACGTTCGCACGTGTGCAAACACACACGTTCGGTCGAAAACGGAGCGGAAACGGAGCGAGAGAGATACAGCACAATGCGATAGTGTCATTCAAATAATTAATCAGCTTATCATCTCTTTATATTTCTGGCGTTCGAGCATTGATTCAATATCCGGTGTTGCAATTTTGCGCGACAAAAGTTTGCGATAAATTCGAGATGGACGAGAACGCGAAGGATAGAAATTCATGCCAGCCAGCCGGGCGGCGACAACGACGAATCTCGTTTTTCCTCGTCAGACAATTCAAACAAACGAAGGCTCTCGCGACAGGGTGACATTATTCCTCGGAGCGGGCCAAGATAACCCGGGAATCCAATAAGGTAAGCCGAGCTCTCTCTCTCTCTCTTTCTCTATCTCTATAGAGCCTCCGAACTCCGGCTCTTACCTATCTACCGTCAGGTAATCCAACCCGTTTTTGTGAGCATTTCTCGTTTAGCCGAGTGCTTTCGTCATAGATATCGTCATTAAAATTGTCTCTCGACGAAGAAAAAATCCATATTTGAGCGATATGTATATAATATATAACATATTAGTATACTCGTGCACTTGTAGTTGAAGTAATTGAAATATTGAATCAGCAAATGAAAGCAACTGTTGATCGCAATATTGGAGGCTAATGAAATATATTTCGCCTAAAGAGATTTTAATTTCTTTTGAGAGCTTTCGCAGTTAATGTCAACTTGAATTTCACTTAACGAAATCTCGACTAGTTACCAGATGTTTCACGTTGAAACTTCGCAGAAGTTACGAGTCGAGAGAAAATATAAGTAAATTATCATAGAGGAGCATCTTCTTCGCTTTCTCGCGTGGAGAGACCTCGAGAAAATTTTCAATGTGTCGGTAGACGGAAACATTTTGTTTGCACGCGACGGGCTTACATATAAATATTACACATATTCATCGCGCTTGCATAACGCGATATCTATGTGTGTACATATACGAAGGTATATCCTATAGAAAGCACAAATCCATCGGAATTATGATGGAACGGGTTATCGATCCCGTCCCATCGATAGTGATTTAAGCGAGCGAAGAGCTTTTATACGAACGCGCGCAATATCGCCCTCATTAAGACATTTGCATTAGCTGGCCGAGCTGCCCCGGTTTCGGGAATTACGTATAATGCGCAATTTGTTCACTGATTTCCCGCGTTAGCGTCCTGGAGAGATCGTTTAATCGCTTAATCATCATTTACCGGAGAAGCCTGCTTTGCGAAGAAACTTTGCGTGACATGCATAATGCGGGTATTTAAACGTTTTGAGCCCAGATCAAGGATACTTATCGAGAAATTTAGTTCGAAATTGACGTGTGATATATGTTGTGTAATTCGAGAAACTTGGGGGATTTGTTTCTTAATTATTTCAACCCACTTGGAATGTGCTTTTCTCTGTTAGATTTTTATTTTGTTTCAAAATCGAAAATCGCGTTGTGCGACATTGCGACATATGCAATCACTTGTATTCGAATTCATCGAGATGTTCGTTACATCTATTCGATCACTACAATAGTTTATAATTGATAATGTTATACAATACAGTAATATTAGTATTGGTAATGCTATATGCAATATAATAATATTGGTTTTCATTAAAATCACTGTCGCGGAATAGCTGTATTATTATATCAATCTCTCACGAGATTATACGGAGGGAATATAATATCACGTAACGTGTGAATACATATTTTATTGTAATACTCTCTTTGATTGAAATTATCTGGACTAAATTAAAGTGCCGGACGTTAATTTCCTTTTCACTTTCAATCGAATGATTAAACGACTAATTTTCCGAACATCCATGTGTGCGAAAACAAATCATCAGTCGACGCACGCGAAGAAAATGGAGCTACACGATGTCGGTGAATACACCGACGTTTTCCCTGACTACGGTTTCGCATTTGTCGCGTTACTCACCTTACAATGACCAAAGTCGTCCGAACTAGCAAAGCTATTTCCACTTTGACCCTTTGTCTACCCACCCTCTCATTCCGAGTTTCCGTTTATTACAGTTCCGAGTTGTATGCGAGAAAGCGTGTAGCGTGTAAGCGAAATAATTTAAGCGAAGGAAGAAAACGCATCGAGGGAAGAGAGAGACTTATTATTCTTTCTATATATATCCGCGGAAATGAAATATATTTTCTCTCGGCGAAAAACTTGGAGCAGCTCTTTTCGGGAAATATCAGAGCTGGCGCCGCGAATTATCTGCCGGCGCGCGTTCCACTTTCGTCTCGCGCCAGAAATCGGGCGTGAAAGAAAGAATATCTGTGTCATATACGCGCTTTTGCATATACAAACGCAAGAGAACCCGCGGCGTTCTCTCGCCCGAAGAATTTCGGTTAATTGAATTCGCCGTTAATGGCGAGCCCGCCCCATTATGTTATATCGTCCACCGGGCCTATTTGCGAGTTCGGTGAAGCATATCGCGCGATGAATAACCCGCATACCGAATTCGTACAGTTTTCATCATCGTCTCGCTTCGTTATGATTTCGCTCGATAATGGTCAGTTCATTAAATACTTCAAATTCCAAGAATAGGAAGATCGCTCTATATTCTTTATATAACATTTTAGAGAGAGATATTATATATAAGATGTCTAATATTCCATCAATATTATCAATTTTATTTATATTTATTATTAATTGTTAAT